GTAATGCCTGATTAAGTAAACTCTGCCCAGCATATACTATGTAGATACACGGCCCTTATCCCGTGCCGATAAGGTTCGAGCCAGACGAGAACGAAGACAACCTGAGACGATGAGACGGGACGAGGGACGGGGCAGTGGACGGCAGTTGAACGCTACCTACCATGAAGGATCGACGGAATGACAGGTCGTAAACGGTGATTTCCGACTACTCCGGCGTACAAAGAAATGATTATCGCACTATCTAAGTCAGACGCCAGTGTCGTCCCACACTTGAGCGGTAGCGTTGTCGACCCAAGCCGGTCGATACGGGCTGACTGCTGACACCCGACCGTTGACTGCGGCAACCCAGAGTCCAGGCCCGAGGCACGCTAGAGCTACTACGGAGCTAGTAGCCTCTCGGCCCAGCTGGAAGAAGTACCGCGTTGCCTAGAAATCCCACCTTGGAGATTATTCCTTAGGTAGATATCTAGTCCGCTCGAACAAAGAGATCCTGACAGTCTGACAGACCAGGTCGACAAGGCTTGTTCATCCGCCGGGCCTAGAAACAGCACGTGCTCATCGCTGTATGCGGGACTAATTCTTAGAGGGGGTCAGTGCTGCTACTACTGAGGTACCTTAACGTGCCAGCCTTCAAGCCGCAGTTGATGGGACTGGGAGAGCCATGATCCGGGTCACCTTGCTCTACACTTGCTTAACCACCTGAGCAAGTTGATTTGCAGATCAATGTGATCGGGTATCACGGAGCAGGAGTAGACTCAGGAGGGATAGTGCTCTCGAGTAGTACTCCGTACTCCCCACTAGTTAGGGACGACCGGCGGATCTCCTCTCCATCCCCCGCTAGGACTGAACAGGACGCGTCCGAAATTACCTCGGCCTCATTAATCATTCTGGGGAATGGCAGGTCCACGGGTCCCCACCACCAGGCACAACATTGTTAGATTCCGTCTATCATCCACCCATCGCCAGTTCTCACTCTCAGACTCACAGACGGGATGCTCGGGGACAGGGCGGAGTCAATCAAGCAACACCGCGACAGCTTCCCCCACCTAGGGAACCGCAGCAACGCGGGACGGCACGACTGGACCTGAGAGCGAACAACTAACCAGGCTAGTCGTGTTCTACCCCTGTTCTGGCGGAACGACGAGGATAGGAGGTCTTCCATGTCCGGCGTGGATCGACCGCGTCGCGTCGGGTAGGAACTTGAAAGGAGCTCGACGGGGCAAGTGGTCCGTTTGTTGCGACCAGAATGTGGGATCGTAGGGTCATAGGATCATACCAAAGACAGGAACCTAACAAGTAGCCTGATAATTGTCAGTCCATCACAACTAGGTAGCAGGTACATTATTGTCAGGGGGCAGGGATAAGAAGGATAAGGTAGGGTGAGTTCCACCGTTCCATGGGTCGAGAGCACGATGGTGCCTCCTTTCAAGTTGGAGTCGGCCCTTGGATGGAAAGAGGGGCGCCTCGTGCGGCGTGCCTGATGGTGGTGCCTGGCAGCCTGAGATCTCAGGAACCATCACGTGTCCGATCAGGTGGCCGATTGTTTGGTTTGCCTTGTCCGATATACTTTCTGGGTCTTCATTTCCGGCCATCGTCCATGATCGATCTTCATCTGCATTCCCTGGCCTATCTCACTGTCTACCTACCTTCTCTGCACCTACTTCCCACTTCCCAGTCTATCCAGTATCCGCAACCAACTTGCTCCGGCCAAGTGTTTCACTTGCCAACTGCACGCTCCTTCAAATGGATCCCTTGACCCTCCACGGTCCACCGCCCCGTCGGTCACTCGGTCCACAATTGACCCCGATCAGTTTTCGGTCGCTAATATTAAATACAAGGCCAGGCGTCAATCCCGTCTGCGGAGAATCAGGTATCTGAAGACCCGTGGAGCCCGCCGTCGACAAACATTGACTCGGTCGATCCCATCGAGTCGAGAACGATGGAACAGCTTCCGGTTTGTTGGAACCAAGCGCATGCATCTGCGTGATTGTTCGAGGTTTCGAGCAGCTGCATGTCATGACGTTCAACCAAATCTAGCTCCTCATGCTCCCAGGTCTACGACGATGGCATCCTGGCTCAGTGTACATGACAGCAAATGCTCCAATGCCTGTTCGAGATCGCCTCCGTCGATCTTTGCATAACGAATACGCTTCTCAGTTCCCGCAGGCAACCCTGATGACAGCATACGGAGTAGATAGATCAAATTCGGGCTCGTCGACGCTAGGAGGTTTCGTCGAGTCACCGACAACTCACGGTGGACCAAGTGGATCCTCATCGCCAGTTATACCCCTCAAAGTCAGAGCAAGGCGCGCATTAGCGATATATCCAGCCATCGCCTCGTGTGTCTCTCCACTCTTGTCCTCGATGCCTCGATTCTGCATGAGCGCACGTTCACCTGAAGAAACGGCATCATTAGCATCACACTTGTGAGATTGAAAGTACTCCGTACTCCGTACTCCATCTTGTTTTAGCCAACGGAACCATCTCGTGCATTCCCGTACGCGCGCGCGATCCAATTCTGCAGGCCCTGCATATATCTTGGAACCGACTAGTAGGTAGCTATCAATTTTCTTGTGTTATGGCGTCCGGACTACGGCACAGATTGAAGCTGGATTCTGCAGGTGCATGCTATAGTTGATGGGGCGCTGGGTTGCCTGGATAGGCGATTCAACCGAAGGATCAGCGTGCGATCCATTTCCGTGATGGCCTACCTGATTGGCAAGAGTCCGTTTGCTCTGGTCAGTGCTGGTGACACTAGCTGGTATTCACTGGGTCGGGGGGATCTACCCCATTGACATCGGTATACACTGTGCAGTTGAAGTTGACTGTGGTATACTCCATCTCACTGGGCCATCTACAGGATCTGGCCTTCGGGACCTCGGGAGTCGGGAAGTCAAGCACGAGCCATATCCTTCGTGTGCCTTAGCCGTCCTCGGCGTACCCGATGCTCGTGACTACTCCGCAATGGGCTAGGAGTTAGTCTCGCTCTTGTCAGGTGGATGTTTGTCACACAATCATGATATTCATCCTAGCAAGCATTCTCGGGCCATGAAAAGAACGCGCACGTCACGTCGCCGGATCTAGCCAGCGGGTGCAGAATCCTCCCCTGCCGCCACAGCCACGCCACTGAGCCCTCGGAATCAGGGGGTCGGGACAAATGTCAGCCCGATTATGGATAGGCTACGAAGAAGAAATACCGATGGAGGGTAGCCATCTGTCGGTATGTAAATAGGTCGATGCCTTTTGTCGGGCCCGTCTTACCCAAACCAGCAACGCCATTGGGGGTCCTCAGGAGGAAATTTCAGACTAAAGCTCTGCTAGAATAAAGGCTACTGCAGCAGGCGCATACCGGCAAACAATATCAGAAGCCCAGCCACTCAAAAGGCTTCGCTCAGTTCCCAACCGGGGTAAGCGGCCTAGTCCATGCACGCTAATCAAGCCATGCAGGCTCGCTCGTGGGATAAATTTTACACGGTCAGCCAATGATCGATCCACCACGCACATTCTCCCTTTCACGTGCGGTGTGACTTGACTGCATTGTCACATCGGATAGTTTTCTTTTCGGCAATAAGTCCTATTGTGGGATAAGGTACTCTCAGGTACCCTTTACTTTGAGCATGGCATGCGTTGACGGGTTGTTTGTCCTCTGGCTGAAGAATCCACTGGCGAGCCTAGCGCCGACATTGTTTGCCTTTTGCAGAAGACCCCGTGTTCGGACTCTTGTTCGTACGATGATGGTCCAGGCTTGGATTTTATGAAGGATCTGGCGGTACGCGACGCGTCCAACCTTGGACAACCATGTCAACCTAAAGCAATTGCAAGCGACCGCCATATGCCCATCGCTACTACTTTGTATTTCAAACCAAAAAGAACTGTCACACCCCATATCTTCATTAATTCATGCATATCAACCAATTCCACACACAACAACAAACACTCACATGATTGTTCAACCTCGGCCTTTTCACATTCTACTCCGATACCGGAGACCCCAGACACCAATGGAACCTATAGTTTCTTTTTCTTTTCTTTCACTACCTACGGAGTATCAAATCATGATTCCACATCTCCGTATCCACATTTAGATAGATAGACAAGTAATGATAAACATGCAACAAGCAGATATATAAAAGTACACTGCAATCAATTCCATACGAACTTGATTTATATATACATCATCTTCTACGAAGCCAGAACACATCCAAATCCTCCACCCCCCAACACACAGATATATATAAACACCTCGATAAATATATAGTCTAGTTGAGCTAGTATGGACATCTTCACAAAACAAAAGACAGCAACAACAAGATAAAACCCCAATCAATCAGCTTAGACATTTGAAACTCATCGATGATACTATATAGTATGTAGTAGTTTACTTATGGAATATTCCTATAGAATATATATATGTACCTATTTATCTATCTATCTAGTATCCAAGCAACTTACTTACTATATCCAAGATCAACTCTCAATTCACCAGGAAGCTCTTTCTTTACATATCGACTCTAGTAGTAATATCGAATAATCATAACCAACAATAATCAAGAATCTTTGGTGAATATGGAAAGTCATTCGTATTCGTTTTGGATTCGCTTGATTGAGTGTATCATATCATTTCATTTCATATCATGGCTTATTCATTCTATTGGGGAGGGCAGGGGGGTTATAGATATCAGAATATATTATATACTTAGTCAAGATGAGGTGGGTTTAGCTAACAATAGACAAGGTGACCTTTATGTATATGAACACATATTGGTCTATTGGTCTAGACAACGAAGGTGGAGGGAAGCGTATGGAATGAAGATAATGCCGGGACTTTTTCAACAGGGGGCGTTTTATGGATTTTATTTTTGATTGGGTTGATATAGTTAGTACTTAACTGCAGAGAATATATCCTGCTGATGAGGATGTGACTTTATTCTGTATAAAAAATATAACTAGAGTATGCCCTATGGTATGTATGATGAACAATTGGTACATTTTACAAAGTACTTCGCTTATGATTGGAACTATACACTAGTAAATCAACTAGAATAATCCCTCCATATCCAAATCCAAAAACTCGGGATTCCCAACCGCCATATCAGCCGCGTTCAGCACATCGTCGATGCTCGTGTCCAGTCCTCCACCTGTCGACTCGAGGCCCATGTTACCCATCCCTCCCATACTCTGACTACCGTCCATTCCCGCGGCAGCCGCGGCCGCCGCGTTATCTAGCATCTGGTTGATATTATCGTCGTGTCCACCTGGGCCGGATTGCTCGAGGTCCATCTGCCCTGGGCCGCCAACGCCTAACTGCATGGTTTGAATGATGTTGTTCATGTCCAGGTTGGGGACCTGGGATGGCGGCGTCATGAGCGCGTTCACCCGTCGGTATAGGCGGACGATAACCTCTGCGCGTAATGGGTCTTTCTCGGAGATTTTGGGGACGTGTTCGTGCTGGATGAAGAGAGCACCCCGGAGGGTGAGGATTGGACACCGGGACAAGGGCTCCTTACTAGGGTCGATGGGGTGGTGGGAATGATTGTTCTGGTCCACGGCAAAGGATTCAGCAAGTGGTGCGCAGATTATTGTAGCTGCGACATCCAGGGCTACGTCGCCGTTACCTGTCTCGGTCTGTAGCTTCAATTCATCGATGATGGTTGTCAAGACGCGGGCTGACCCTTGGATTTGGATGCCGGCGAGGAGCTGTCGGTGTGTGTATGTCTGGGGTGCCATGCTCATGCCTGGGCTTGTACTCCATAGCAGCAGCGACTGGAAGGTGCTTCGGATGCTGGCTAACAAACCCCCGGGGGTATGGCTGGTCCAGGGCTCCAGCTCGCTGCGGTGGCAACTGCCACTTCGCTGGAAGGACAGGCATGGCTCAAGTGCATCCAGGATCGGTTTGATATCTTCTGGTTGCCGTGATCGGATACCCTTAAGCTGCTCCTCCAAAGAGCGGGCGGTGATGTTCAGCACGGTCCGGTGGATTTCTTTCGCTTCCCCAGATATCGAGCTGGGGTTTACTAGCGACTGTAGCGTCTTGAGTGGGATTGACGGGTCACTTTCTGTCTCCCAGATGTGGTTGCCCAGCCAATTCAAGGCCAAGATGAGCGACGGGAGGAGAAAAGGCTCCAGAAGGTCTGCGTTGTTGTTAGCTCGAAAGGCGACGCTTAATTATGGCCAAACTCACATTCGAAGCCTCCCTTGAGTGTATCAAACTCTAGCTTTCCCGCTTCACATGCCCCCAAGCTCTGGTTGAAAAGCGTACTTACGAGGAGGTAGAATTCTTGCGGACTGCAAGTCGACATGGTTTCCTCGCTGATACCTTCAGCCATGAATAGAGCGTTGATCCACGCGCCAAGATTCTTGTTCTGCTTCTCGCTGAGATCATCAAGCTTCTGACTGCAGAAGCCATTCTCGAGCAGTCGCAGCACGAAGGAATTGTTACCACCGATTCCCATGTCATGCGGTCGCAAATCGTATCGGAACTTGAATGTCAGCACCAGTAGGAGGATACTTCCAAACTCGTCGTAGACCGGCTGGCTCTCTCCCTGGTCCTCGTCCCAGTGCCAGGCATCTAGCAAAGCGCAAAGCGGTTGCAGTATTTGTTTTGTGCTCCGGAAAAGCAGAATCACATCCAGGGCCTGCGTCCGTCGGGAGAGCGAATTACAGATGTTCTTCAATGTCATCGTTTCTTTCTGATTGCAGAGATGGTGCATGACCTGACCATGTCAGTCTCGAGCCGACACTCACGGAAAAGGGAGCCTACGTCTGTGATGGCACCCACGATGGCACCCGCGTTGCCCTCCATTGATTCAATCTCATTAATCAACTGCTCTGCCCGCTCCGGGTTGGTATTGATTTGTGAAACAAGCTCATCTTTATGATACGGACCCCCAACAGGGAGGGTCTGCATCGGGTTCTCCCCTAATAGGCGCTCAATGCTGGACTCCGGGATCAACTTGTGCGAGGCACAAGCGAACAAGAACTCTTGTCGCACATCGGACAGAACCGTGTTGCCCTGCATGGCAAACATTTGCGAGAAAGACGGAAAGGTGTTCGGATCAAGCCGGCTCAAAGCATGGCTGATACAAAGCTCCATCGGCAACGACACCATGGAGGCGGCCAACATGGCCGCAATAAAGGCGGGAAGTTTGTTCACCAGGAATGAACGTAATAGAAACATTGATCGGCTGGACTCGCTGCGGTAGCTGGCATTTGATAGGACATCGAATGCAGCTGTAATGATTTCTTCGATGAGAACTTGATAGTGTCCCTGTGATGGTTAGCTACCCGCTGTAACAGACGACGTCTACTCACCCCGTATCTATTAGAGAGAAAATTCAGCAGCATACTATCATCGACCAGGGGGCGGCCCACGAGCTAAAAGCCAGTTAGTGAAGTTCAACAAGTATGATGCAACTGATATACCATCGCGTTTATATAAACGTAGAGACCTGCTCTTGAATTAATCATAGGCCCATCCATGACCGAGTCCTCGAACTGAAGCGCGTTCACGTTGACATTTTCCATCATGGAAACGTCCAACGCCTTGGATGGAGGCTCTCCAAAGAGATTGAACTCCTTCTGCAAGCCATCCAGACGGTTACGAAGCGGCAGCGATACTTCCACACAGAGAGGAAGGTATGCTGACAGAGCCTGACCAAGCTTGATTTTCAACGCTGGTAGAAGTCGTCAGTACCAAGAAACACTAGACAAGAATATGCGGAGTCTACCTTCATGGGAGTCAGCAGAAAGAACCTGCAGACCCTTGGCAGTCCCTGACAACGCAGCGAGCAAAATTCCCAACGACTCGAACAACGAAACAGCATCAGGGGAAGACATCAGCCCCCCTGTTTGATGGCTTGCATCCATATGGCTATTGTGCCAGGCTACAACAGCCTGTACCCAGTCGACAATAGAGTTAAATATACCAATAGCTTCCAAAAAAGTCTTGGGCGCACTGCCCGTGGAGACAGAAAGCATAGCATCCTGGACGACTCGAATGTCCGTCATTAGGGTATAACATTTCCGTTTCTGTCTGCTCTGCGCCATCTCCGAGCCAGGAGTTGGTGGCTTATCATGGATGGATGAGTACTTAAGGAGAGAATTCAGCACCGTGGAGGTTTGCACCACGCCCATCTTGCAGAGACAGTCAATATAGAGTGGGAGTAACGGATCCCATTTAATCCCTGTCGCGAGTCGAGTCTCTAGCAGCACATTTAGCAGCGGTGCCTCAGTGATGGGGCTTCGCTGCAAGAGCAGCCGCGTGAGACTTTTGAACTCGGTGGCATCGATCCGGTGGAGCAAACATTGTCGGAGGAAAGTCCCCCATTGTTCAGAGGACGTCATGTTCTATATATTTTGGCGGGGATATCTGGCCTTGCGGAGCGCATAGCAGATGTGGAGACTGAAATTCTCAGTTTATACATCCAGCCGAGCACTGGGAGAGCATTGTTTCGACATCTTGCTCGGGCTGTTTTGACAGTTGTTGATTCCGGGGAAAGCTTCAACCATTGTTTGGACGACGTCAGGTGCCGGTCACGTGCTATTAGCTAAGCACCTAGGGTCACATGATGGGTGGCCGGCGAACGATATGGCTTATCACTGCACAAGTACACCAGCCACAGTAAGGTAATATCCGTATGTATGTTGTACCGTCAACTGTATCAAACTCCGTAATTCCATACAGATACACTCTTGTATCCCATACCGTATGAATCCCTTCACCTAAAGAAAGAGGTACTTCTCCCTCCTCTACCCTTACACCAACCATACTCCATCCAAGTAAACCCATACTCTTTTACAACCTCACATCAACACCCTGAACACAAAATCCGTCCCAAGTACAACAATACCTTCTCCCTCCCCATCATAACACACAACACCCACCCCTCCTAACTATTAACAGTCAATAGTACAAACGAGTAAAAGAAGAAGACAGACACTAAATCCTAGCGCTTCCACCGGCCACCCACTTCCCCCTCCCCGTCGCCCCTCCCCAACCCCGCCCTTCAGCCGCGCCACCAAACCAACCACTCGGATCCCCATCGAAAACTCCAGAAGAAGTTTAATCTGCGGCGCCCGGTCCAGTTATCACAATTACGGGATTTGATCGAGTTTCCTTCTTCCTTGCTTGTTTATTTTGCGTGCTGTAGGCAGTAGGCAGAGGTTTACATGCATATACGGACATTACAGTCATGTTTATATATAGATGATAGATATAGGACGGGATACATTGACTACTGGTATGATGTAAGTAAAGTAACAGATGAGGGACGTAACCCATGGATTGGGGATATAGGGTACCGAATCACACACAAACCTACCATACCCTACGATGGATGGATGGATGGATGGATGGGATGTGGGCATCGGAAAGCGGCAATCGTGCCCTACTTTCTTCTTCTTTCTTCCCCCCCCCCTTCACCCTACGTACCTATATCCACCTGTTCCTTTCTTTTATTCATATACAGGGCAGCTAAGGCGGACAGTGACTGATTGCTTGATAATCATCCATCCACACTTCTATTCCCACTTCCCACATTCCAGTATGACCCTAAGTTCAGCTCAATTTGGGTCAGGTCTAACAAACCAGTGGGGCGCGCCGGTCGGCAATAACTTATCCCATAGACATAGGCACTAGTCTCTCACATGGGATAGAAAGAGAAAAAAAATATTCTCAAACCGACCGGGACCTGAATCAGGATAGGATAGGACTGGATCTTCGGGCTAATGCCGCGGTCCGTCGGAAGGCGTTGGCGTTGGCGTTGGCGCTGGTGCTGGTGTCAGGGGCAGGGGCGGTGTTCAGGCATCAATGACCGCGAGCCTGACACTATTATAGTGTATCACTAATCCTATATTATTGTTGTTTATTTGGGGGTTGGTACCCAATGCAGGGGCTTTTCTCTACTGTGTAGAGACAGGGGAAGTGGAACTTCAGGTACCCATGTAGTTATCTACCTGAAGCACTTCACTATGAATAATGGATGAAAAGGGGTAAGTATTATCTCGTTCGTTATGTCTGTCCGGTCGTATATTCACAACCCTCGCAAGGAGTCCCACGGCTTCAATAATTCAAATCAGAAACCATTATGTGGGACTGCGAATTCATCGCGCTCAATATCCAAGAATTCGTATGATCATCGTCTCATGCTGAGTCTCACCAACTCCGTGCTCCCGCCAGCCTGTCTAGCGTTGGGTGTAGAAATGTAGTCAAAAAGTACCGGGAAAGATAGAGAAATGGAAAGAGTGAAATCATGCTAACTGTCATCCCCGCGAACTCTGGTGTCGTGATAATTGTGACGAGGAATCGCGAAGCACGTCAGGCGCTCGCGGCCCGACCATCCAGTCTTCCATCGCAAGCCACTCACTCCAACTCCGCTCCGCCGCCTCAATCTCCGAATCCAGTGGCCCCTGTAACGGGCGTAAGAATGGAATCGTCTCGAGCGGGGGCATGTCGTAGTCCTTTTTCACTGCGGCCCATCCACCACTCTTGGCTGCAAAGAGGTAATTGCGCCGTTCCTGCTCGTGAAGGGGGCCAATGCCCGTGCCCCAGTCGTCCCCGAAGAATCCATGCAGCACGCCAGGGAAATCCATTCCGGTGGCCACGAGGCGGCGAATGTATGGGATCAGCGAGACGGATGGAGGCAGAGTCGAGGCGGGGGAAGATGCGGATGGCGCACTAGCGGAGGATGATTCGGCGTGGGAGTTCATAACGGGATTTGATTGCCATTGGAAGGGGAGACGGATGTTCAGGAACGCGGAAAGTGCTTGGACAGGAACGCTATGTTGTGCCTGGTCCAGGAAGTATCGCTGACAGCTCTGGTATCGAGGGTGCCATTCGAAGACGTCAAAGTTGTCGCCCGCAGACGCTTGAGCAAGGCCCACCATCGCGGCCGGATTGAATTGCTGGCGATCGTGCATTGGAGATCCGGTGGAAAAGTAACTCGAATTGCGAGGGTTCCTGTAAGAAGACTGCTCTTAGTCGCTTTCTTTTCACACCATTGTCTCTTTGTCCACGATTGGAGTCAAGGACGAGACACAGTGACGTACATAGCCCGAGCACCAAGACATAACCAATGGCGACCAGGTGAAGAGATACTCCGTACCTGTTCGAAAATATACTTCGTCCTCGACGGAGGAAGGACACTCGGTGTCGCGGGGTGGGAGTCGGGGTCGGAGAGGGCGAAGGTGAGGAGCGGAACAGAGTCCTGATCGCGAAACCTAGTCCTCTATCCGAGTGAGATTCATTCATGGACATCTGCTAGGCGTGGTCCATTTATAGGAAGGATAAAAACAGCTCATGAGGGCATGGGCCGAGCAGGAGGGGAAGGAGGAAGCGAGCAGAGATGAAGTAGATGGACGGAGGCTCTAGATGATGGGGCCCATTGAGGAGACGAGATGGGGGGCATGAGACATACATAAATCCTCGGGCTGAGACAAGAGGAAGAAAGTGAATTAAGAATGGAACGGCCGAGCAAAAAAGAGTCGAATTGCGGAGCAACGTTGGCAGTGGACTGGACTTGGATATTGTTTGGAACGACGAGTGACTAGAACCAGAACGGGTCTACCCGATAAACTCAGAGCAGTTGGGCTGGAGGAATGCATGTTCAAAAAGAGGTCGAGCAAGCATATCATATAAATAAGAGAGATCTGATACTTTCTTTTTTATTTTTATCTCGGTCATATTTTTTATTGATTATTTTTGCCCCTAATTTTCATTTTTTTTAATCCGTTTGATGATTTTTTTTTTTAGGGGCACAGCCAATAATGGACAGTAATAAAGCCAGTGCTAACCCTCTGTCCCAAACTAGGCAGTGGCCCGCTGGGGACAGGGCAACGCTGCGTCGACTTCTGCGCTGATTAATCCCAGACACAACGATCATAACTTCTCCGGGCATTATGATACTAGATCATGACCATCAGTCGGGGCCATCCTATCCCAGTGCAACACAAGAAAGAGATAATAAATATTAATTATAATTAACTTCGACCATGGTCCCCCTACCCAAAAATAAAAAAGGGAAAATCAGGTACAGATCGAAAGGAAAGGGTAGTGCCCCATATCTTAGGTTAGCAGCTCCGTCCTTAGCGGATGGCAAAAAGCGCTGGTCATCGCGTGTCCTTTTGGTCAGTGGACCCGGGAAAATGCTGATAGGCCCGTTGCCCAGATCAAAGATATCCGTGCAGCTGCACAGTAGTTGCGACGTTCCTACTCATGTCCATACCTCAGTTGTACTTCGATATCGGTCAGAACTTGGCCTGCATCGCTTGATGTGACTGCACCCGGCTCTGTTGGGTAAGCCATAATCCTTCATTTGGATGCCTACACAGTCAGGAGTCTCGTATAATGAAGTCTGCAAACAAAAAGAAGAAAAAGGACAGTGTGCGAGATGTAAGATCGTCATCCGTATCTGCCGCGATACGCTGACGGTACCGGATGTTACCATAGTCGGTAACAGTCATCTACATGCCCCAATCAATAGGGCTCAATGGCCAGCCTGAATGATGACAGCCATGTGCCCTGGCCCTACCATATAAACCAACGAACTCTTCAGATCCCTCCCTCATTGTCAGGGAAGGATGCGGTGTGAGTGGCGTTTCCATAGTTTTGGCTGCTAGCAGTGGCACATGCGGCGGTCAGGAACCCCTTCCTTGGACTTCAGCTCCTTTTCTTTCTGCCTGGTAATATATCGTTTTCAATCACCCGGGCGCTCGGCGGTGATATTCAACGCCGTCAACTGAATTGACAGATAAGCAGAGGTTGCAATGCCGTACTACTAATGCATGTTGAGATATGGCGGGGTACAGCATCGACATCTCAACGCCGCCCTGTTGTGACTTGATTATTCCTTTTTTTTTTCTTTTTGTGCTGTCTTTTCTTTTTGCTCTAGTCGTTAATTACTTAATTTGTCGGGTGGCTTGAGCAACTCCACCAAGGTCGTTCTCAGGAACCGAGTTAATTGGCACTTACTTGGTAGGGAATAGGGATGAGCTGGTCAACGGCTATGATCTTAGGATTCACCTGCTGGGTGGAACACCCGCAGCCGCATGACGGGTTTGGTTTCTTCATGGCTGGCGACAATGTCCTTATAGTGATTCACTCTTCATAGCCGTCTAATCCTGCAGTATTTCGAGGAGCTAAAATTGTTCTAAATTCTGAGGGGTGAGAGAACTACTCCGTACTACTAATCAATAAACAAAGAACTGTCCCGATGCTAACCACCAATGGCAACAGTACTAACAGTAAGACCAGCCAGCCGACCCCACCATGCAGGTCAAATTCCACAGGGCTCGCGAGAAGGGGTAAGGTAAGGTACCGTCAGGTAAGGATCCCCGGGGCCTCTCCCCCATCACTTATCTGCTCTTCACCACTCTCTCATCTCTCGATCGCCTCAGTTATCCTGGAGCAACCTCCACAACTCAAGTGCTAGGTCTCTTGTTAGAGAATCACAATTATCCAATCAAACTTCAAAAGAATTAACCACTGGTACTGACCAGTGCCCCAGCGCGCCTTTTGCTAATCACATCGGTTCAGCTCTGCCAGGCTAATGCCAGAAAATTTGCCACATCGTGACGCCGGGGAGTTTTGACACCAGCTCAGGCCCACTCGCTGCAATATCGAGGCCGCTTCTGCACCTTACTGGGTGAGTTATAGTGTCGCTGGACCAATCGCCGACCCGAGTCCAGCATTGGTGACGTCTCATCCTGATCTTTGTTGATGTTTTCCCTGTTCGGTCAGCTTGCTCCAATCCAGCTGGCACAGGCAGAAGAATTAACATGGGCAAACGAAGAAATTCACTAGCTCGCAGGCAGCGGAGAATAACTCGACCGAAAACTGCGACTCTGACTTCGCTTGCGTTTCCTGGTTCGAGAAACTACCATACTGCTGGGAGACCGGATTGCAACACATGCAAGCATGTCCCAGCAGGCATTGAACCAGGGATAGAAAGGGAAATGCTGGAGGAGCGGTGTGGCAAGAAGGACAAAACAAGCACTACCGGCTGTCTAGTGCCCACACCTTGCGGCTTACCAGACGCCATGCTCAGGGTGCAGGTGATGTGCATTCTTTCCTGACGGCTTTGACAGATACTTACCGAAACAACGCAGAGAGATGCACCTGGGTCGTATCTCTGCACCATGAACCATGGCTCACTGTGGCTCGTTCGACCAAGTGGCTGTTGTGTCCTGCTATCGTTGGTGGAACTGGGTCAGTTTTGCTTTTTCCTTCGAGATCCCCACTGCACACAGCTCCAATCAGGTTAAGTGCTTACAACATCGGAGTCGTCTGATGCATTGCGTGCGGTTAGCATACTCTACGGTACAACACACAACAAAGTCAATGCGAGATAGCCGTTGACTGCGCAATGACACCGACACCAGTTTTCAGGTTCTGTCAGGGGGTAGGTCGCAAGGAAAACAATTCCGAGGGGAGCTCAAACGGGAACTGCTCCAGAACCAATATATTAATGACCACCGCCGATATTGTGCGGTTCAGCTCATGCAAGGCGGTACGACTATCTGCTCGATCTGGCTCGTCTCATATCACCGGTATCTTGTGGATGGGGCGGCATCACCAATTCCCGGAATTCACTGCCATTATGTATGCAGGAGCACGTTCGTCATATCCACCGTGGAATTCCAGCCCATTTAATTGGTCACCTGATAACCTAGAGCTGCATGATGCATTGTGCCCATGTTAGACCTCGCATACGTTTTTGCCACAGAAATTGGCCCGTCGCGAGGTCCCGGCCTGGTTGTTTTTGTCGGAGAGAAAGCAATAGAAGTGTGACATCTCACCGGGTGAATAAATACCGACCCGGAGCCGAAACGTCCATGCGACTATTAGGGGTTGAGGTAGGGGATGATCAAGACCCATGAGCTTACCTTGGGTCAATGCATGTTTTTCCATGGGTGTAAGTTACCGTTCCGTTCGGTACCCTTCTGCATCCCAGCTGGCCATTCCCCACGGTACCTACGGTACCTACGGTACCCCCAAAGATATCTCTCGGATCGGCCTCCTGGTGCCTCGCAACCGAGTCTACACAACACGCATCGCAAAGAAATCTTCGTCTCAGGATACTACCGTCTGGGAGTCCCGGAGAGACCGACGCCACAGGATCTGCACTGCAGCCGCAGCACAGTTTGCCACAGTGGCGCGTCAGCCCCTCCAGCCACAGATTATTGCCACTAGTCTGCACTAGCCACAGCTCACTGCATGGATCAAGGGTTTGCGAGCCACACTAGCTGCTGTTAGTGACTTAGTGTGTCGCGAGGTTTCAGATGCTACCAAACAATGGTGCCGTGTCTAGCCTGTGGCTCGGCCTCGTCCAGGTGTGTGAAGTCCCCACTGACGGTTCATCACAGACCAGGGCAGAACCCAAACTAGACTGCTAGTACTAATAGTAAACAATAGTGACTGGGAGGCTATGTCTTCTGTGCCGTGTGGTCAACGACATGATCGGCGTCAATATACGCTCGTCGATGCAAGAGTAGAATTATACCACAAAAGGCAAATGCATCATTAACTCACGAGTGTGCTTTGACAGTCTCAGACTCGTGATGTCTCATTGGGATCAACAAAGCATCAATAACAGGGCAATAAGGCAAGGCTTACATTTGGGAAGGAGCCGAGTCCATCTAGCAAGGTGTCAAGGTTCTTCTAGGACCTCTTTACAACAAAGAGTCCTTCGCTACTGCTTCTTAGTACATATGGGAAGTATACCTGACAACTTCCCACATGTCGGTTGTGTCTGAATCTCTTCTGCTGTCAATTATTGGCCGGCTCGGTTTTCTATGAGTCAAGGCTACGGCTGCTAAGTTTAGATCCATGACTTTCATGCCGTAGGGGTGTTCAAGGCTCGAGATGCAGTTGTTGGGGAGCCCGACATGGTAGCAACTCGCCTGCTTGTGCAGATAAGGCGTTAAAGCGGTTTTTCGTTGCCTTACCATGAGTGCTCAGTGTGCAGGGTGATTTTTGAGACAGCCTCATACCTATGCATCTGTGCTTGACAAAATCTAGTTCACTCTGAACATAGCATCATATCTGTAAGTAACCCTGTCTCTTTTTGGGGCATGTCACTTCTCCCGTGACTTGCTACTAAGCACTAATCTTGAGCAGATTGACCAAATGCTTATAAGCTACTACCCCAGGCCTTCATAGATGGGCGAAGGACCTGAGGATGTAACATACATCCCTTGCTTCCATGGTAAAACCGAGGCTTCGCCCTGATTTGTCTTTGAGCGTTGAGGATCAGAACGAGCCGCCGAAGTGGCGCCCACGGGGCCGGTATTTGGGAGATCAGTGTCCACATAAACACAATGAGTCTAGGCATCGTCTATTTACCTTGTAAGTTTGCTCCGTCATGCAGACTCTGTTAGTAAGAATGAGTCTTTCTCCCTAGATCGGGCTCCACGGACCAACCATCGGAAATCCAAGTCCCGACCTCGGCCGGATTATGGCACCATCAGTGATTCTCCCAATGAATCTACTACCGACGAGTCAGGAACTTAATCCCTGGGCTTTGATTGGCGCACAGCACTTGGTTATCCTAGGTTTTAGCCTAGGACCACAAATGATCACTCGTGCAGCCCCAATGCCAATTCAGTTGTGCTATGCCCGGATAAACGAACAAACCCTCTTTTACTCAAAGAAGTTCGTGAGTACTAAATGTGAAACGAAACGGCTAATGGGTACTTGGGTCCAGGGGTCCGTCCACTTTAGGAGACCAACCGATCACGACTGATAATTTGTCCTTCTCTTTAACATACTTCATACGTTCTAGCCTATGGAGGTTCGTGTTTGACGCTCGGTTGGCCTTCACTCCTTTTGTCCTGCTCTCCGCGTCCCCTTTCTGAAAAGAGGAAGGGAGGCGGTCATCAGCCGCGTTTCTTTTCAAGGCCCACGCTCTGCTGTACGTCATGCAGTATCACTGCGGTCTGCTAGCAAGTTCCAACGACTGGGTATATTCGCTTGCACGGGATAGAGCCGATTACTCTCGGTTGAGTCGCAGGATTCGATGTATTGGACATGGAAAACTTCTTTGGATCCGCGGGCATGTGGGGAGCAAAATTTCCAGTATCTGACTTTGAACATATGGTGTTTATCAAATTTACTATCACAATGTAGGTCAAATCTCCAGGGCTTGTCATATAGGCGACTGAACAGTGCAGAGCGATGACAGTGGAGTCTAGTCCAGGGTTCGGCGAATTTCTGGCGTCATGTTATGTCATGTTGCGACGCGTCATCGATACTTGTGTCATAGCTTACCGGTTTGATTACAACCTGAATTACCATACTACTTATATTACCTACACTGATTAAAGTTACAATTGATGACCAATACTGCCGGATCTTCCTGCTATATCATTGCTATTCAGCAAGCCCATTTGAACGTTCGATCTGAGTCGGACTGGTTGTAGTATTACTGATGCGCCGGTTGCGGCTGGACTTGCAAGATCGCCCTGTGGCTCTTGCCCTCGAAACAGCCAGACAGTTAGATATAGGCAGATGCGAGTCAGTAGATGGCCATGACTCATGAAAGTACTTACCTTCAAGGACCATTCACATGAGAGTCATATCATATACAAAGTAGATAGGTACACCCAACACCAACCCTGTATACATACCCAGCTTAAACGGTATCAGTGTAAAGTATTTACAGGAAATACATTTCCGTGGTGTCAGCCCGACGGTATTATACAGCTGGTCCCGATCTTCACGGTGTCTCAAATTTCCAGATTCCGATCCTGATCGTTCACAAATCAAGTGGAGAGATCGGCAAGGCAACAGGGCCAGATGCGCACAAGATCTATCCAACCATCGCCTATTCGCTTAATTGGGCCCATTGTGCGCTTAGTGGTTCTGGTTCTGGTTCTGCTTTGGAACTTCCCCACGCACCCTCCTGTGTGTATCCATGTCCGTTGAGCCGCCGATCGGGTTCCACGGTACCTTTTGTTGGAAGCGGCGGTTTTCTCGGAATTAATTGCGCTGGATGGAGTATTTTTGAGTATGGATGTCCACCACGGCAAACGTCCGAGAAGAATGACAGTCAGTCTTCACCGACTGCAATAACCAATCTAGGTAATTTGCCCGGATGTCACTGTCTTTGAAGCGTAGACGGTAATGTAATTACGTGAGTGCTGATCTAGATCTCCCAGACCTGTCCCATGCAAGATCATGATATAAGTATGAATTGTCACAGTTGACAATTCATACTGACATACTCTACTTTCCATCTATAAATTGATAATATCATGGTATCATCAGTGGATTTCCTTCATATGCTGACCAGCAGCATGTTTCTGGGCTGCTCAACCACAATTCACTCTATTGTAATTTATAAAAACCGACCTAGATGACAACAAAAGGATAGTTATATTAGATGGATTATTCATTTTACTACTGTCAGATTAATGCCCTATCTCAGGTATCAAACATGGGAGAACACTAATCCCTGCAAACGTACAGAAAAGCAAGTATCTAACTTCAATCAGACCCTATGAACATGTTGCTGACCAATGTTTACCCCTCCCCCAAGGCATCAGCTGTGGAAATTCGACCTTATTCCTTGACAGAACATACCTATTCAGCTGTCGTACCGGCACCTGAAGGCGGCTGCTCGCTTGTAGTTCTTCGTATTGACCCTAGACCCTAACCTGTCTCTTTAATGCCGCAGTACGGCCAGAAGTCCTTCTACTCATATCCAATCTCTTCCACCAAAGCGAGTAGCGTATTCTTGGGGAGGTATTTACCCGTGGCTTCTCAGAAGGATTGTTTAATTTGTCCTGGCTTGGCCTCTTGTAATCCATTGAAGTTTCCTTGCCATGCACGCCGCATGACCTGCAGATAGGATGAACGTGGAGGTGGGTCTGAATGAGGTTTCTAACTGTTGTTCAAATTTCAAAAGTCTGTCCGCGAGTTGTTCGATACACCTTTGAGTTTTCTAAGGACTTTGATTTTGTATTCTCGTGTTTCGTCACCAGCCATGCGAAGAGAACCAACCGGATAAGTATGACAGAACCAGTCAACCGTGAAAAAAGGCAACATTGTGCATGCATATAGTATATAGAATTCTCTGATGGAGAGACACTGGAATGTCTCGAGACACATCCTCAATGATCATATCTGCGCTCTTATCTTCTTGCACTATAGCTCGAATATTGTTGATTATTAGCCCCAATATATCGCATGAGTAGGGACTGTCATAAAGATAATTAAATAAACTCAATCGAGTAACCCTCGGAGGCTACCTCAACACCATGGATATTCTCCTTTGATCTGAAACATTGGCTATGAAGGATATTAGATCTGTGATGTGGTGTCACCATGGTAATTTCTTTCACCACTCTAGACTAGTAATTAGAGAAGTGGGTTCAACGTACCTGTCATTTAGGTCTATGTCTATGGTGTGTATGGAATGGGGGATACCATAGGATGGCGAATCCCTGTGACAGTAGAATAAAATATAAAAGCCAGTGCCAGTGCTGCAGGAAAACCTTACCCGTACGTTTTCTGATGTATACAAGTATTCGTGCTCTGACATGTACGGTGGTATCACAACACGCCTTAGCAGTGGGTCATCGCTGAAGGGGTCCACGACCTCCCCGCCATGCCTGATAACAAGCATCACAGATTTGAGATCGTCTACATCCTCATCTCTTGCCATCAGCATAATAAACTCATATCCTTGCCCGGAAAGCTCGAGAGCCGCCTGGCAGTCGTACAGCACACATTGCCACAAGGCTTCGTAGTTCAAAGCAGTCCCGAAATCCATCTTGTGGTACAGCTCGCGAGGTCCTTCGCTCAGCGCCGCTGTGTTTTAGGGGGGAGCATGGTACTGCGAACGGTTCCTAGTGTCAACAGTCTAGTTCAGCGATGGTCTCGAATCTGAAACCATCTATAATGACACCTATGGACCGGGGGCCTGGTATCCACCCTGTACAGTACTTCAAAAGGCGCATGCGCGGGCCTGCGTCGAACATTAGCTCCATAGCAAATGAATGCCTCTCGTATGGCTGTGGGAATACATTGCCAGTGTACTCACCCGTGAATGTAACTAAGTGCCTGGATTCCGCGATGGGTATGTACAGATGAAGCTTCCCCAACGGGGCAGCTGCCACCGGATCATCCTTGTCTTTTGAAACACCCCATAGCACAATGGGTAGTGGGACTTGCTGCTAAGCAGGCAATGCACGGGTTTCACCAGTGTATAGGCACCATTCCATATGTATATTCGCCACGGGTGAGCTTTATTAGGCTTCGTTGCTGTCACAGGCATCGCTTCAATGTTAGGGTGAATGTAGCAGCCACAACACTCTATCTCTGCGGCTTCCTGCATAAGTATTGTAGCGTAGATCAATTCCAGAGTGTTGACCATATATGTTCAGTGTTGCATGATAATGACTAGCCACTGCAAAGGTAGGTACCTAAGCGTTTGACAGGCAAGATGTGTAAATAATAAGATCTCGCTCTTCATTATTTCATAACGCTTCAAATTCAAGCTTTGTCCGCCACATATAACACACCTGGATGTTGAGAGAATGACACTGCTTGATTCGACACATATCACAGCAAAGTGTAGCTTGTCTTAATATATTGAATCTGAGAGCAGCAATCATCACAGGACTTGTAATCCTGTTGTTTATGCGGTCCATTAGTCAGTATGTAACCGGCGCTATGGCTTTTCTTGAAGCCCTATTTCATCGGCGGTAAAAGAGCCCTGATATGACTATGTATTGTAAATTTCAGCCTCCCTAGTACTAGAGTATCTGGTGTCGCATCTGAGTATTTCCCATAGGCTGTGTATATCATTTTAAAGCAGACCCCGCACGGTGGTAATGATCGTGGTCAGCTGTAGGCGCATAATCAATCCAAGGCATTCCCACCTTCTCCAATCGCTCTCACCTGGCCGTAAACAACATTAACATGCTACCAACTGGCAGTGTAGAAAGTAAGACACCACATCGTCTCCCTCTCCAGCACTCATATCTTCTCCGACCTCCGACCCTCTGGCAAACGCCAACTTTCCCAAACATCAAATTCTCGTCCTCAAAGTGTCTCCAGTTTTCGTTCAGGGCAGTGTTGTGCCCGATGTGTTGTTTTCGAGGTACTAAGGGCCAGAGTATCTAGTTTCTTGTCGACTGAAACCTCTTAACTGGCGGCTCGCATAGCCTGGAATCTCAATTGGGTTTTGGTCATAGATGGCAGGATATTATCAAGCTTCTGCGATATAATCAATGCTTTGACTATTCTTCTATCGTGGTATGGTTATGTCATCTTTCTTGAGAAGGATGTACCGGATCTATCATGGCGCAGGAGGAGGAGGGGGGGGGATAAAGGAGGCACACACAGACGGATCATCTGAGGGCTTGCTGAAGGGGAGGCGGGGGTGAAAGACATCGTTAAACGATATCAAGAAAGGGCTGCTATAAGAGAAGATAAATGTATCACAAAGACACAATATGCCAGCCATGGACAGGATGCAGAAGCTTATTTTCCAAAAGTACTTGAAATGGTGTCGCTGATCCCATTTGTCGCAGTGCAGGAGAATCTATCCCATATTCATCCTTCTTAGAATCGTCTGCTTTCTCTGCACGATCATTGAGGTGCTGAATGTTGGCGATGAAAATATGCACTTCCAACAGCGCTTGTGGCAGTGAGTATCTTTCATTGTGGGAGAAAGATCATCAGTTCATTTCTATAGGACTGTCATATCTGTTTCTGTAAGGTCAATATCATCTGTTGCCTGTTTAATTTTTCTGATCCGCTAGCGCCAATCAACGAAGAATATTCTTTTCGATGAGCCTCTTCTCTTCTTAGACGTTGGTAGCAATGGAAAGGGATAGTGCATAATTCACAGCTGTCAAGATACTCAGTATCCACTCCACAGCGGTATAAGGAACCATGTCCACCAGATCGTCTAGTAGAAGCCCGACCAATGTCTCATCGTCTGCTTAGCATTCAACAGCGGAGGGAGGAGAGGGCCAAGGACAGCCCTATTTCCCTCTCCTTCTATTGCCGTACATCTTTGAATGCCCCGAGCCACAGTTCATCATCCTCAGTGACTTCACGGATAGACATTCTCAGTTATCTGGAACAGAGTCAAGAAAAAACGTTACCTTTTCCTTCTCTTCTGATCACCACAGTGAAGTCTGGTCTTCTGGCTAGACATATATTCTTGCTGACGTGGATAAAGTCACGGTTTGTCCACGCCTGTCGATGGATTTCTTCTCTGTAATATGGCTCCAGTACGCTGTGCTGAAATATGTGAAACGGAATTTCGTCTGCTGCGTTAACTCTCCCGATGTTCCAGGGAGATTTAAGACAGTCTCAATATATGTATAGACTACACAGAGTCTAGATCCAGATAAGCGAATGGATCGGCGATGTGTCGAGCACGGCATATTCTTGGGCCGAAGCCATCGATCATGCACGGGCTGCAAAGTCAGTGCGTCAACTTGTCGATTTGTTAGATGTCTGCTCCTCGTTTCTGATCAATCTGTCGCGAGATGCGAAGTGCTTGCCATTCTCTTCAAATCCAGCCTACGGCCTAGCAATGAAGAGGTCATTCGTAGGGTTCTGCTTTTCGTCCAGTAAGCCGTATGGTGGAAACAAAGCCCAGCCATACAGGCTCAGTCTCACTCTTGGCAACCTTGAGAGGATCTATGTGTGCATCATTGACCAGTTATATCACGGACGACAAAAAGTGTTCCAGTTACTTACTTAATGCATATGGAATGTAATCACATATGGATATAGGTAATCAGCCAGTTCCCTATTTGGGCATTCGTCAGGTATGAAACCCGTTTAAAGAAGGCCTTATAATGTGTCATATGACATATAATGTATTTCCAATGGCCTTCATTGAACCATTTCAATGAACTCACCCCTGGTTGAACGCTATAAGACCGAGTAGTCCAGTCAACCCGGCCAGCCGCCTTTTGAGCGATTAGACGGCGCTTTAGGGCCGCATTAAGGAGGAATTTGTTAGGCCATGACACGCTTTCGTTGCTTGTCATGTCGATAACGATACTTGCTAACTAGTGTCCTGTAACCCACTTAAACAAACGTGTTTGATAAAGTCAACGAGACTTGTGTTTATTGTGGCTCCATCTGCTGGGTGAGATAATCGTTCTTAATAAGAGTAGGCCTGAGCACTCGCTCAACGCATCAATTGGAGCGGAATCCTCCAGATACCTGACCGGTTGCCGATCCATGAGTGGACATATCTTCTATTGAGTATATTGAGATGGTATAGGATATCTGCGAGTAAGCTGTTTAACCTGACAAGTAGACAGGAAGAGTGCTGTAGAATGAAAGGTAAAGGCGAGTAGTAACTGCCTTGATGATCTGGGATACAAATTTCCACAACAGTTCTCATCTATTGCAGGTCGATCTGCTATATTGGGTTTGCTTGCGAAGTCAATCGTCTGTTTTCTGGAATGCGGTTTTCGAACCCTTCTCCTGTAGTCAACGTTTGGTCTACGACCTTCGAGGATGGCTCGTACTCTGATACTGGACAATTCTTCGCAATCAGACTTTCGTTAACCATGACAATATATCATCGCTGGTCCCGGATTGGTCGGGTCGGAGTCATCTGTCTCTGTATCTCCAGTCACTGTAATTATTGAAAAAGGAATTACTTGGACAAAACCATGGCCAGTAATACCTGGAACAAATGCCTAGCGTATTGCTTGCGAAGTTGAAGATGGCTGTGTCTGGGTCACACCGAGCGATTTCATCGGTCTCACTGCTTGGTACCGGTTTAATTCTAGCAGCATATTCTCTTATTCTGAGGCTGGTAGTGAGATCTGTTTCTGTATTATTGTGGTTGACGCTATTGCGACGGTAATTTCTGCGTTCTGTAGAAGTTTCAATGAATATCGAATTCGGTTATATAAGACCGCATAAACCGATTCTGCAAGATGAATATCAATCATGGGATCTTTTCGCCTTACAGCAGCTCCAGGCATGAGAATTATGGCAGTGGTCGTAATAGATAAGCTCGTCTGGAAACAAGTTGAAGCGGAATGATTGACCTATCAGGCTGTTTGTATCATTCCAGTAGTAGTTGCGTATAGCTCGTTATCCAACACCCGCACGTATAGACTTCTCGCCAATAGTGGCATCTTCACTGAGCACAAATTGTAAAAGCGCCAATGTTTGTGGCACTTGCATGCTCAGGAGGTGGGGTATATCGTCTTATTCTGTTTGAGATAAGACCGGGCTCTGAGTAGACGTGGGAATAGCATGAGTTGAGAATAACAGAGACGGTCCCTTGGACAATAAATGGACATAAAAGGTCTAGCATATGTTGCCTCAAGCGTTTAGGGGCACTGTCAATATTAGTAGTGGTGACATCAAGGATGTAATCTTTGAGACAATTCATGGAGTCGACACTAGTTGTTCTGATATAGAACATAACTTTGATCTCTGGGGAGCGATACTTCTCAAACACTGAGAAGCCATATTGCTTACTCTCTTTAAAAAGCACTGTCTTTGATACCAGTCTAGGGTGGGAACTTTAGTAGTTGCGTTTGCAAGTTCTGTATCATCGGAGCCAAGTGACTCGTAGCCCTTGTCACGCTGCTTGTTGTTAGCTATAGATCAACCGCGTCAGAGAATGGGTAATTTGGATAAAACAAATGGATACTTACCAGAACGGCTTATCCGCGAACAGGTCTATGATAGTCATATCAGCAATGTGGATGCATGTAATTCATATTATGTTTGATGTCTAGGTTTCATAGACTGCAGTAAAACGGATAGTCACGGTCTAGACAGCGTCATCCTGGGACAGTACTCTAAGTAAGCATAGATGAAGGAATTGTTGTGGTCGAGCTGTATCATTTAGATAGTCATGATGGAGATACAACAGATAGATACAATGCAGAAGAAGCCACTATTTATACCCCTGATAATCATTCAATATGATGGTGAAGGATATAGCAGGAATGCGAGTTCATTCCATTGACAGCGATGAATGCCCGTGCCAGGCATTCAACAGATCAAGTGAATTATCCAGTCACTCACACTACATGGTTAGCTTCGATACCTGCACCACTTGCATCACCTTAATCCATACCATCCAAACAGACACTGACCACCCAGATTCGAACCAACCGACCCCCCCCCAAACCTTAAAGTCCCTCGTGACCACCACAAACTTCCAGGCCCACTTCCACCCAATCACCCGGTCGATGCCAATCAAGCATCACCATTAACCTGCGCGCAGGAAGTATATCGGCCTGAGATGCATTAGTCCTCTTGGCGATCTCAGCACGGTGAGTGGGGCGGTGCCCCGTCGGCAACGCGACTACTCATTGGTCCGGACGCCACCACATGATTAGGCGAGGCAACTGATAGGCAAAGCGGCCAACCTAAAAGCAATCAAGACCCTGTCCGATCCACTCCGGTTGGTGTGACTGTCATGCACTGCAGCAATCACCAAGCCTAAGTCTAATTCCAACACAGTAAGCTGGTCTGGGGCAACCCAGTCCGACACCCCAGATCATTCACATGCAACTGGAGTAACCATGACTTTGTCCAGATCATAGATAAGTCCCCGATATCCAGTTACATAAGCATCTGTCGATGTGACAGTGACATGAGCATCTCCATGACTGGTCGACACCAACTCTCCCACGTTCCGACAAAGTCTACCCTCCGATGAAGTAGAGTGGACTATCTCATAAAGCTCATCGGTGAAGTCCCCGGTCGCATGATCAGATCCCCCAGTGAACCGTGTCCAACCATGACAGGAATCCAATCCTTCCCCCACGCCGGGGCTCACCGGGGAAATGGGGTCCTATTATCGGAGGATGAATTCCGGTAGATGTGATGCGACTAATCTGGGGAGGATTGGGCGATACGAGTAGGTAAAGGAAATCCGGCATCAGATAAGGGCACGTGGGGCGGTGTGTTGCAGCATCGAACCAATGGGAATGTAGCTGTCAGGTGATCCGCCACTGCAGGATCTCTTGGCGTGCGAGTAAATCCATGATCGGATCGTATACTACAATAATATTTGCACGGTATACTAGAGAGAGACACGGAGCACTCTGCTCAGAAATTTATTCCAGTATTCCGTTCCGATGCAACCACACAGTGTTGCCACCCGGTTCCTCCCGAGCGAGCGGGCGATTGGCCATTGGCGGCGGGCCAGCGGATTCCCGCCGATAGATAACGGCAGATTCTGTGACCTCAACGTATCGACTAAGCGCCCGAAGTTCGGCGCCACAGCCACCCGCCTGGCAACGGCACTCACGGCCGACTGCCGGGCGGGGCTGCAGCGGAAAATGGCACCAGCCTGAGGCAGTGTCCGACTCCGGCTGTACCCCCGCCGTCGCCCCTCCGAGAACATAAATCCCCTCTCTCCTCCTTTTTTCTCTTCCCCTCTCTTCTTTCTTCAGACCTTCTTTCTTCTCCCACATACTCTGTTTTATACCCCGCTTAAAAGTTCATTCCAATTAGTTCATTCTATCCCATCCATCAAAATGTCTAACCTTCCCCGCGAGCCCGAGTTCGAGCAGGCCTACAAGGGTATGTGCGAACTTTTTCTCACCGATCGATCAAATCTGACATGCAACAGAGCTTGCCTCTACCCTTGAGAACTCCACCCTCTTCCAGAAGAACCCCGAATACCGCAAGGCTTTGGCCGTCGTCTCCGTCCCTGAGCGTGTCATCCAGTTCCGTGTCGTCTGGGAGGACGATGCCGGCAACGTCCAGGTCAACCGCGGATTCCGTGTCCAGTTCAACAGCGCCCTCGGCCCTTACAAGGGTGGTCTCCGTTTCCACCCCTCGGTCAACTTGTCCATCCTCAAGTTCCTCGGTTTCGAGCAGATCTTCAAGAATGCTCTCACTGGCCGTATGTCGCTGCCTCGAATGATGTTAGGATAAAGCTAATTGTTTAGTGAGCATGGGTGGTGGAAAGGGTGGTTCCGACTTTGACCCCAAGGGCAAGTCTGACAACGAGATCCGTCGTTTCTGCGTTTCTTTCATGACCGAGCTGTGCAAGCACATTGGTGCCGACACCGACGTTCCCGCTGGTGACATTGGTGTCACCGGTCGTGAGATCGGTTTCCTCTTCGGCCAGTACCGCAAGATCCGCAACCAGTGGGAGGGTGTTCTCACCGGTAAGGGTGGCAGCTGGGGTGGTAGTTTGATCCGTCCTGAGGCCACCGGATACGGTGTTGTCTACGTATGATACCCCTCTGATTCTGATGGCCAATGCTAATTATAACAGTACGTCGAGCACATGATTGCCCACGCCACCAACGGCCAAGAGTCCTTCAAGGGCAAGCGCGTCGCCATCTCCGGTTCCGGTAACGTTGCCCAGTACGCCGCTCTCAAGGTCATCGAGCTCGGCGGTTCCGTCGTCTCCCTGAGCGACAGCCAGGGTTCCCTGGTCATCAACGGCGAGGGTAGCTTCACCCCCGAGGAGATCAACACCATTGCTCAGATCAAGGTCGAGCGCAAGCAGCTGGCCAGCATTGTCGGTGCCGCTCCCTTCAACGACACCAACAAGTTCAAGTACATTGCCGGTGCCCGTCCCTGGGTTCACGTCGGCAAGGTCGACGTTGCCCTTCCCTCTGCCACCCAGAACGAGGTCTCTGGCGAGGAGGCCCAGGCTCTCATCGACGCCGGTGCCAAGTTCATCGCCGAGGGTTCCAACATGGGTTGCACCCAGGAGGCCATCGACACCTTCGAGGCCCACCGTCAGGCCAACGCCGGTGCTGCCGCCATCTGGTACGCTCCCGGTAAGGCCGCCAACGCTGGTGGTGTTGCTGTGTCCGGTCTGGAGATGGCTCAGAACTCTGCCCGTCTCAGCTGGACTGCTGCGGAGGTTGATGCTCGTCTCAAGGACATTATGCGTGACTGCTTCCAGAACGGTCTCCAGACTGCTCAGGAGTATGCGACTCCCAAGGAGGGTGTTCTGCCTTCCTTGGTGACTGGATCCAACATTGCTGGATTCACCAAGGTGGCAGCTGCCATGAAGGACCACGGAGACTGGTGGTAAATGTTTATTATGTGTGATGATAATGTTGATTTTTAGCGCGTGATAGAGCGGGACCTAGAGGAGCTAATGATAACCATGTATACCATGATTATAGAAATACCCAGGTAGTATACCATCATACCCAGGTAGTATACACAATGGTATACATTCCGTGACTTGAGTGATAGCCTGCTGTCTTAGTCCCTCATTGTGTCTGTAGGCTCACATTCTCCTGTCTGTACATATATTCCTTATTTCTACTGCAATCAGTATATCATTAAGTGTAATAGGAATGTATGTTGTGTTCAATTGTTTGACATGAAGTAACGATGATTCTATCAAGTAGTAAATACCCATGCAAGAGAAGAGGTTCTCAGGATATTTGGACTTGGAATAATGCCATGATATCTATAGGCCCGTGGATGCTGTATACTTTTTCCTGACGAGGGAATGGAAGCATGTTGATTGCCAACTGGTGGGTATTGATGGCGACCTATCTGGAGAAACGATGGATGTTCTTTCAAGTACATATGCCGCTGTACTGGTTGTGTTTGTAGCACCAATACCCAAAGTAGTTGATTCTATTCATCGCCAACAAACCGCCTTCTTTCCCTATTCCTGTTTTCCCGTCCAGACTTTTTGTTTACTTCATCTCTCCATATAAAACGATATCCTCATTTTAGACCATTTTACGTCATTGCTGACTCTTTTGATCGGATCAACCTATCTCTGGATGATGTTTCCCCAACTACTCCGGACTCCGCATGATGAGATACGGAGTCCGGAGTTCAACGATATACGGAGTACCTTACCCTCTCCAAGCAGGGTGATAGTATAAATCAAGTACAAGTCTTGCTCCCAACAACCTCAGAAGCAATCAACTCCTCCCTTAAATATGGCCTCTGCTGACCCCGAACTCGACTCGACAGCCAACAAACAAGAGTCCATTCCACCACAAACATCCGAATTGGTACCATCCACTCCTCTCCTCTACGTATATCACCTAACATCCAACAAGGTCACCTGGAATGGACCCAACGACCCATCCAACCCTCAGAACTGGACCTACCGCCAAAAATGGGCTGGCACTCTCATCATCTCCGGGTTTGGACTCGTCTCGCCCATTTCCTCATCCATGGTCTCTCCCGCCGTGGACGCCATCGCCCATGAATTCGGTACTTCCAGCACCATCACCTCAGAAATGATCCTGTCCATCTTCGTGCTGGCCTGGGGACTAGGTCCGCTACTCCTCGGACCATTATCAGAGATGTATGGCCGGGTGCGAGTCCTCCAGCTAGGCAACCTGATGTATTTGATATTCAACATCGCCGGAGGATTTAGTCAATCCACGGCGCAGATCATCGTCTTTCGATTCCTGAGCGGTTTTGGAGGGAGTGGACCATTAGTTGTATGCACCCTCCGTCTTCTCACTTGATACACCGCTCTAATTCCGTTCAGCTAGGCGACGGCGTCTTGGCAGACATCTGGCCCACCGAACAACGAGGCAGCGCCGTAGCCATCTACAGTCTGGCACCACTATTCGGACCCGCCATTGGCCCTATCGCGGGGGATTCATCACGCAGTACACTACCTGGCGATGGACATTCTACTCCATGTCGATAGTCAGTGGTATGGTAGGCCTCCTCGGCATTTTCTTCCTCAAAGAAACCTACACCCCATACCTCCTCAAACTCAAAGCCCAGAACCTCCGCAAGGAAACAGGAAACCAATCATCCACACAACTATGGAAAACCTCCATTGCACGTCCTTTTCTCCTCCTCGGCACCCAACCCATCATCCAAGCCCTAGGCATCTACATGGCGTTCCTCTACGGACTGATGTATCTCATGCTGGCCTCGTTCCCATCCCTATGGCAGGACATCTACCGAGAAAGTATCTCCATCGCCAGTCTAAACTACATTTCCATCGGAGTCGGCCTACTACTAGGAACCCAAATCGGAGCTAGGCTAAACAACCGAGTACGTCCCCCATCCCCATCCCCATTCCAATGATCTAAACCCTACCAGATCTACAACCACCTCAACCACCACACTTCCACCCCCACCCCCGAACCTCTCCCCGAATATCGCATCCCTCTCCTCCTCCCCGCCTCCATTCTCGTCGGCACCGGCATGTTCTGGTATGGCTGGTCCGCCAATCCCCACATCCCCTGGATCATCCCCAACCTGGGCATCGCCCTCATCAGCATCGGCATCATCATCGCCTTCCAATGCATCCAACTCTACATCATCGACACTTATCCTCTCTACGCTGCATCCGCAATGAGCGCCACTGCAATACTCCGCTCACTAGCGGGGTTCGCCTTTCCACTTTTCGCAAATGATATGTATGCCCGGTTGGGATATGGATGGGGGAATACTGTCTTAGGGTTCGTAGCAATATTAGTAGGGGGACCGGCAATGATCCTACTTTGGAGAGGAGGCGCCGGACTTCGAAGACGGAGTCCGTATGCATCGGGATGGAGTCAGTGACTCACAGGCTAGTGGCTGGGCTTGATGACTCAAGCTTATGTCAGATTCTGATTAATGACACGTTGGTTCTTGTTGACTCGGTTATATCCGGCCAAGACTAGATGCTAAGCTCAATAGCTTATCTAGAAGCTTACTTATCCACCCCACACTTATCACCAGATGCCATTATAAAATGTCCCATCGCAGCTCTCCAATACCTACATACAATCAAATCTAAGCCCCAATTCCACTACCCAACTACCAAACCAACATGTCCACTCTTACCGACACCGCCGCCTCCATCGCCCGTCTCTCCCTCCACGACCCCACCCACTTCAACATCCAATACTCCCAAACCCTCCACCGCCTCACCCTCCTCCAACACTGGGACATCACCCCGGGCTCTACAATCCTCGAACTCGGCTGCGGCCAAGGCGACTGCACCACCGTACTTGCCTCTGCCGTAGGCGAGCACGGGAAAGTAGTCGCCGTTGATCCAGCAGACCTAGACTACGGTAGACCCCAATCCCCTCCTACCCTACCCTACCCTACCCTACCTAACACCCCACTAACCCCCCCCTCCTACGGAATCTAGGCTCCCCATACACCCTCTCCGAAGCCCAATCCCACATAACCTCCGGCCCCCTCGGCCCCAACATAACCTGGATCCACCAATCCCCACTCCCCTACCTCTCCTCCCTGCCCTTACCCCCCACCCCTCAACCTCCCCCACATTCAACGCAACAATCCTCGCCCACAGCCTCTGGTACTTCTCCTCCCCAACCCTAATCCTCAACACCTTCCGGGCCCTAAAACCCCACACCTCCCGACTCCTCCTAGCCGAATGGTCCCTGCTCGCCACGCACCCCTCCGCCCAACCGCACGTTCTAGCAGCCCTAGCCCAAGCATCTCTCGAATGTCGAAAAGATAGCGATAGCAGTGCGTCGAATGTACGCACCGTGCTGAGTCCAAAGCGATTGACCGAGTTGGCGGTCGAGGCGGGGTGGAGGTTGGAGAGGGAGGCAGTGGTGCCGTGTAATGAGGGACTGTTGGATGGGAGGTGGGAAGTCGGAGCGTGTCTTTCGGGGGGGTTTGAGAGGGAGGTGAAGATGGTGGTGAAGGGGGAGAGGGAACGGGCGGTGGTTTGGGCGGCGAGGGATGCGTGTGAGGTTAGTTTGGGGGGGGTGGAGGGGGGATGGGGATGGGGGGGGTTAGGGCTATGGATGTTTGGGTTGCGTGTTTTGTTTGATTTATCTTTCTGTTCGGTTACTACTTACTACATCCCTTCCTTCCTTCTTCCAACCAATTCCCAATCACTTGACACTTTACTTGTATGTCAACCCCAACTTCTATCCCTATCCAACCATCGAAAGAATACAAAATCCATAACCCAACCCAATATCAGCCTCCCCTTCCTCCCCCTCATTTCCCCCCACACAAATAACCAACAACAACAACAACAACAACAACAACAACAACAAAAACTTCACACAACCTCACACCCCAAAAACCCCCCTTCCTCACCACCCCCCCCCCCCCTGCCCCTGTCCCTGCCCATTCTCCTCCCCCTCCTCAGCCGGTTTATGTCTAATAACCCCACAAAACCTCACCACGGCCTCCGTACTTCCCCCCCCCCCCCCCCCCCGATATTCAAAAATCAATCTATCCGGAAATGTCGTCACTTCTGCCCCCGCATACACCTGTCCCGGATCATCCCGATCAAGAGGAAACTCCATGATTTTCGACCCGCATTCGAATGGGAGATGTTCGTGGTTGTTGTATTTGTGGGGGTATGCATCTATACCAATCTATTTCATTGGTATTAGTATTAGTATTGGTATTAGTATTGGGGGGGGGGGGGTGTGAGGAGGAGGTATAGGAATACTTTTCCCAATTTTCTTATCCCCATTCGCCAAATTAGCCGCTTTTATAAAAGCTGTGGTCAGTTGGCCTGACGTGTACGTTGTTGCTTTGTATTTGGTGGTTTGGGGACATAGGTAGGATTTTTGGGCATGCCGGCGGTTTTTAGGGTTCGGGTATGGGTTTTGCGGGTGCGTTTGTGGTGGTTGTTGTTGTTGTTGTTGAGGATGGGGGGTTGTTTGTGGTGGGATAGGGCTTCGGAGATCATTTCTTTTAAGGTGTTTCGGGGGGATTGGGTATGGGCATGGGTATGGGGGTGTTTTTCGTGGAGGGTATTGTGTGCATCTTGGGGATGGGTGATGGCGTGGCTGTGGATGGTGGTGAGGATGGTCATGAGGAGGAGGAAGGGGAGGAGGAGGGTGTAGATTGGGGAGGGCATTTTAATTGCAGAGTATCAGATGAAATGAAAGTGAATGTGGATGTGGATGTGGATGATAGCGAGAGACAGTTTAGGAGGGCTTCTGCATCCCTTTTATGTCTACTAATGGCGAGGCTGGAAGGGCAATGGTATTTAGTAGGACAGAGGGGCCAAATGTATCTATCCAGGATAAAAAAGTAAGTATCTCTCAGCTGAGCAGCAACATGAAACCGCAATGTCACTTGCTGTTCTCCAGGGTAGCACCTGATGCTATACATAGAATGGAGCCGATAGCAAACAAAGCCAGGTACCAAGCATCCGGACCAATGAACTCCCCACCTTGATATGTGACTGCATGCTTGTGCCACCGAGCTAACCCAATCACGACTAGTCACCATGCCGTCAGCTGTCACATCCAAGATACATAATCTCCCTCATCGCCTCATTCCTCTTCCATCTACACTCACCACCGCCCCGAACAAACATCCTCAAACACCCCCCAGCACAACACCGCAAAATGACCTCTCTCGAAGCCTTTTGCCGCGCCCAGCGCGAGGAAGAATACCCCACTCCCCCTGAAATGCTCACAGCCCTGGAACTCCTCTTCACCGACCCCTCCGTGTCTGTCTCCACGGCCGCCCGCATCGCCATGACCCCGATCATCATCGACGAAGGCATCAACCCTACCCCAGAGCCCAACCTCTCTGACTTCTGGATCATGTTCTTCAAAGCTGTCGGTCTGTTCACGAACCAGAATGACCATCTTTTGGAATTTCTTCTCGCTATTCAATCCCTCCCTGATTGTAATGGAGGGTTTCGTAAACTTCCTGGACTTGATGAGTATTTGATGGAGTTTGTGTTTGACTGTATCCCCCCAATCCTTCTCCCTTTCTTTCCTTCAATTAGACGATGACTATGAAACGAAACTCAAAACTAATTGAAAATCAGACATCGACCACCCCTTCAACCTCCCCTACACCGACCCCATCCCCGAACTCACCGACACCCCATGGCTAAACCTCCCCTCTCATCGAGACATCCAACGCCAAGCCTGGCTAAACGTCAACCGATTGACCGCGAACTTGCACCTCCGGAGCAAAGGCTCCTTTCTCGAGTACGGGGGCCTCACGGTGCGGAAGACGCTCGAAAAGGCGCCGTGGGAGATCTTTCACCATGCGGATCTGGAGGAGCATTTGTCGTTTGTGCTGAATGTGGGGAATGAGACGGAGTATAATCGCGAGAAGGATGATGTGATGGAGAGGATTGATATTCGGACGTTGGATGGGTGGGTGCCGGCGGCGGCGGTGTGGTTTCGGGTCTGTGGGAAGGAGATGTATGAGGTGAGTAGGGTGGGGGAGGAGGAGATGATGTTTGGGGAGTGGAAGGGGTCGAAGTGGGTGGGGAGGCCTGGGTGGAGTCGCGAGAGGTGGATGTTTTGGAAGGAGAGGTGGGGGTGGATTGCTGGGGTGACGGCGTTGAATCGGAGGACGAGGGAGATTGCGAGGGATGTGGTAGTGGTGATGGGTAGGGTTGAATCTGAGGGGGAGTAGTACTACTAGTAGTAGGAGGAAGAGGAGGCAGGTAAATAGGCAGAGTATCTTCGGACAGGGTATGTAACCCTAATTGTTGTCGATATCACCAGTTATGAATTACAGGAAAGAGTTACCATCTTGGAAATAATACAATGCACTTTGTGCTCACTCACTATCTGTTCTTGTATGTGAGAAATCCGGACTGCTATTTGCTTCTATCCTTAAAATTATGTCTCTGGTTGGCGTAGTCGAGTTATATGATTGATTTTGTATATCGAGCTTGGTAGATAGTATGGTATGAGGGTATTGAGGGTACTACCTTGGTTACTTGGGGTCGGGTTCTTTGTTCAATAACCTTATTGAATTATATTGTGCTGGGTCCTCCCTCACTTTCACTGCTGATTTTATAACTTGTAATATTCATTTACAGCCAGGAATCTCTATCTCTACCCAAGCAATCCCTATTAAACGAAAGATAGATAGAGTATGTATGTATCAAGTCAACCCCCACCACATCTCCTGTCCCCAGTTAACCAAACCCACATCCACATCCACATCCACATCCAACCAGTCTATATTCTCCATCCCCTCCCCTCCCCCACTGAACTGTCCTCCACCCATCAACTCAGATGTACCGTTCATCGAGACAGCACTAGGCGGCACCAACACCCGATTCAACACCCCCCTCACCACTCTCCGCGCCTGCATCGACATGACATAGTTGGCTTGGCCGGGGGGGACGTACGTCTCTAGGAAAAAGACAAAGATGCTGAGTTTTTGGATGATTTCGGCGCGGGGGAACTCGTTTTCTTCCCCCCCGGACCCCACCTCTGGCCCTGGCGATGGTTCTGGGGGTTGAGGTTGGGAGTGGGAGGAGTGCTGATGAAGTAGTTCAGTGGCTAATACCCCTGCGCAGGGAAGGGCATAGTAACATAACTATATCCATGCATATCAGCATCTATCTTACCGTCAGAGTAAAGATGATTGGGGTTAGCTTACTGATGAATCCACCGGCACGATAGCAGAAAACGTTCTATCCGGGTTGGCAATATCAGCAATACGGTCCAGGATAAGTGAGAGGATCTCATGCGCAATGCGGATGAGTGGGATCGAGCCAACCCCCGTGCGTTTCACGGAGATGCGGTACAGGAGAAACTCGGTGTAGAGAAAGTCGAGGTGGATGGATTGGATGGATGGGTTGGTGTTGTTGGGAGTCCAGTGGAGAAAGGTAGGGAGGGTAGAGCGAGTTTGACGGGTTGAGATGCATAATTCCCTGCTTGGGTTAGTTGCCAGGAATATATGTCATGTCGTGGGAGAGGAATACTCGATTCGTTCTGGGAGATTGTCGAGTTCACGACACGAAATCACTTCCAGGACCTTCTCTCGGAGCTTTGCGATCAATATTCCAACCCGGGGATGGGCCCCTTTCGATAACAGTCCCTGTCGGTTCCATCCATTTGCATCAAGTTCACTCAAGGCAACTTCTCGAGTCGACACATCGGCAATCATCTCCGCATAGCTGAGATCCAAAGGCAGCAGCAGATCACAGTACCGATGGGAAATACGCGGAGGACGTCCCAGAACCGTGGCCAGTTCTTTATCCACGATATACCCCGCAGCCATGGTTCGTTTACGCAATTCAGCCAGAAAGAATGGAACCGTTGGATCTGCAGGATCGGGCTCGTGCAGACCCAGAGCGAATGCCATTGTCGATGCATCGCCTAGCAGTTTCCACGCACGATAGTCTACTACAATCAGTCATGGCACTGAACCCACGGTAGAGTCTTACCGGTATTCCCCCACAAAATACTAACAAGAATCGTCTGCTGAAACAGCAACCAAGTCAAAGGCTCACTAATCAACCCCGCATTCTCACACAGCTGGATACACGTTGCAGCCGTAGCCGCCATACGCATCTGCAACGAGCGTTTATCTGCATCGACAAAGACCGGATGCTCGCCGCGAATATGGTGAATAGACGCCCCGGTAATGGCAAAGAGCAATCCAATGCCCTCCCATCGGCCCGCCAACAACCCTATATACCCAGCAAAGGTCATCCCCGAGCGCACCACAATAGAAGCATGGCTATTCCTAAACATCGTCTTTGCCACCTCCTCCAACCCTTCTTCACCATGATGAAGCCGACGAATATGATCAACCAGTTCCTGGACAAACGGGGCGCCAAACGCCCACGGCTTAAACAGCGATGCATACCGCGCGTCACAGATATCCTTATACAAAGACAGATCATCCAGACGCTGCAGCACCGAAACACCTACGGTCACTTGCTGGGGATCAACTGGTCCCGGTTGAGGCGTAACCGGGTCTTCCGGGGGCTCCAAATCGGCAAAGATACCCTGTGGGCTGGTGAGGCCTAGCCATCCCCCCGGGCGAGGGCTCCAATCGACTAGATCCTGAAGTGGCTGACTCTGCGATGTCTGAACCCGGCTGGTCCGCTTCCTAACAGTGGAACGGCCCGGTCGGGTCATCGGCGCAGGATGGTAGATGCATCGCGACGCCTGGTCTCGTCGAGCACACCGTCCACAGACAGGTACCTGGTGGTCGCAGCGCAACTTGCCCTTGCGACATGGCTCGCATGAGGACAGCTGTCCGTTTCGACGCTGGGTGGCCATCTTGCAGATGGATGGATGGGAAAGAAGAAGAATTGAGGCGCGGAATCCGGTCGGAGTACGGAGTTCGGAATTCGGAGTATAAAACCACTTGGAATAATGTTGGGATATGTACATGACCAACTCGCTAACAAACAATGGGTATCATAGCAAATCCCAATATATACAAAACTAATCCGTCCCCTCTGGCCATGGCGCCAACTCGTGCATCAATCCTCCATTCCGCTTGGTGTGATCCGCCAGCTGCACCGTCGGCAGCGGATCCGACACCACGCTGCGCCGGCGCGATAAGACGCCCCCGACCGACGGGTTTTCCTTCTCGCGCGCCACCACCGTCGCCTTGACCCGGCTGCGCCGTCGGTGGTGTCGCAGGTGCTCGTTGGGCACCGGGTCTACCTGCTTCTTCGCTGCCGGCACCACGTTCAGGTACACCGGGAAGAGTGCCCCCGCGCTGAACAGCGCTACCAGCACGCAGTACGAGTACCGCACGCCTCCAGCCATCTCTGCCGCGTACTGCGCAAACGGGAAGAACGCCCCTCCGCTGATCGCCACCGTCAACAGCACTGTCGCCGTCTTCGTGTGTCGTCCAGTGCCTCGTAGCGAGATGGCAAAGATGATGCTAAACGCCCCACTCTCAAACAGATACACCATCTGCGCCATTGCCTCGGCCGTCCGTCCCGTCATCTTCATGCATAACACCGAAAACACGATCATGCCAATGTACGACAGCATCAGGATCCACCGCGGTTTCAGGAACCACTGCAAAAAGGCCGCGAGGAAGCGGCCGATGGCAAACACCGTGTGGGCGACCGTCAGCTGTTCAAACGGGCTCAGGGCGGAATTGGGGTGCACCGTGCCGACATAGTCGCTAAAGCTCATCGACAGCACTTCCTGTCCAGCCACGTAGAAGAACTGCGACCACACGCCCAACGCCAGCGTCACCCAGACCACCGGGATTCCCATCACTGTGGCCCGATTGTCGGCGCGCCGGCGGTTGGCCAGCTCCTCCAGATCCTCATCCGAGGCCTCCGGAATGGGCAGGTAGTAGAACGCCAGGGCGAGCAGCACGTCGAACAGCGCGATGCCGAGATACGTCCACTGCACATCGACCAGGGCGCTCACGTCCGTCACGCTCTTGAACAGCACCTTTTTAGCCAGTAGCGGCGAGACCGCGCTGCCAATTGCCTGCACGCCCTGCGAGATGTTCAACCGGATCTCCGAGTTCTCGAGTGGTCCACAGAGCGCTATAAATGGGTTGGCCGCCGTCTCCAGCACCGCCAATCCGCAGCCTACGATAAAATTAGACACCGCAAAGGCGGCGTACGAGGATAGCACGGCCGACGGCCAGAAGATCAACGTGCCGCAGGCGTAGATGCAGAGGCCCGTGATAAAGGTCGACTTGAATCCCCACCGCTTCAGCACGACCCGCCCCACCAACGACGGCGCCACGAGGTAACCCCCAAAGTAAACCGCATGCAGCCCAAACGACCTCCACACGTCCAGACGCAAAATGTCCTGAAACTGCTCATTCAGAATATCTAGCAGACCGTAGGCAAACCCCCAGAGGAAGAACAGGATGGTCGTCAGCGCAATCGGGGTAATAGACTCCTTGTTGCTGAGCTTGAGCATGTTGGCCGGCTTCTTCATGTTGACAAAATCAAAAAATGTGATGCTCGGAGGATACGAGGTATTGGTTGTGACGGTGTTCGTCCGGTTTTCGACGTCCGGTGGCCCATCTGGCGCGGTGCTCAGAAAGTCGGCCAGGTCGACGCGAGCCGAGGCCGCCTGGCTGCTGTGGCTGTCCGATTGTGACACCTTCCGGCCGGTGGGCCCGGAGACGGTGGGGAGCTCCGGGGGATCGGGGGACGGCATGGGGAGGTCGGTGACTTGCGAGCTCTCGTTGGTGTCGCGGATCAATTTCGGAATGAGTCGTGCGACGAGCGGCTTGAGACTAGGAACGCAGGCACAAATAATGGAGACGTTGACTTCGATGACGGACCACATGAACGAGAGCGCACCGTACCCTGGGCCATCAGCGGAGTTACACAGAGGAGGGAGAACATACAGCTTAAATCATCCCCCGGGGTATCCTGGAGGTGGACCTGTCGCGACGCAATCTGCCGCGCCGTGGCCGCATCCTGAATATAGGCAATGCGGATGACGTCGACGACGGCGACGAAGAAGCCGAAACTGAAGGTGATGACAAGGATGATTTTTTGCTTCCGCGGGAGACGCATCTGAGTGAGGATTGGATTCGGGAGGAAGAGTATGGCCAGATCGGTGACAATGTTGACCGGTGAGGAGGAAAGGTAGAGGGTGAGAATGTCGATGCACTGGGCGCCCGCAGGCAAGGGATAAGCAACGGCAGCGCCGACAGGGCGACATTGGAACACATTGACGAGGGTCAGGGCGAAACCGGCGGCATTGACGACGAAGAGGGTAACGTAGTTGGCCCAGCGAAAAACCTTTTCACCCTGGGTGAGGGTGAGGTAGAAGATGAGGATGGAGGTTTTGACGGCCATGAGGGCCGGGTTCTGGGAGGTCAGAGGGAGCGACGGGCGGGCGCAGGCGACTCACGTAGAGGACGGTGAAGGCATAGTCGGCGCGATTGAGGCCAGGACGCTGGTCGGGACGGATATCGACATCGTGGAGGCCGAGGCCTTGACGGGTGGCATAGAAGAGGGAGAAGGAGAAGCCGAAGTCGAGGACCTAAACCTCTTAGTTGTGATGATGGAAGGAGAAGAAGAGAACCCACCCAGGCCAGAAGCATAAGATAGTCATGCAGGGCCACCTTTTGGACGATAAAAATACGCGAGACAAAACGTAGGGCGACGAAAACGGTGGCGATGACGAAGAAGACGATGGAGACGACGAGGACTTCGGGCCGTTGGTCTTCCATGGCGGTTAGCGACGAGGCAGCGGAGGCAGCGGAGGGGGACGAGGGGGGAGGGGAGGGGCCATGGTCGAGATCAAAGCATGATATATAAGAGTGGAGAGGGAGTCAAGGGAGGAGAGATAGATGCAGCGGAGCAGACAGAGCAGAGCAGAGAAGTAAAAGTAGGAATAAGAGTAAGAGAGAAAGTGGATGAAGAAATTGAGGGGAAGCGGAGACCAACCGGAATTAGTGCTGCGACTAGTTTTGTTTAATTGTTGGCAGCGTGGGTCTTGTCAAGGCTTAGATAATAGCAAGAATAGCCTTTGTCCAGAGCATGTTTGTTGTGATTATTGACGATGATCCAAATATGATCGGGTTGATCGGCTGATCCCTCGCGTGTCCGCCAAGAATGAAGCCATCTTCACGGTCGGAGTGTTCATTCCTCTCGCCAGTCTGCTGCCAGTCTGCTGCCATCAGGCCCCCTGCCACAGCCCAGCTGGGTCTGTTGTTCTCGGGTGGAAACCTTGTATATACTCAACCAGGCGTCCAGAAGAACCATGGATGGGCCAACTTTGAAGCGATAAAGGCCTTCCACGGGGGAGAGCGGAGAACTGCAGGGGACATGGCAGCAGATGCATGGGATGGTTATTAATTGCTGCCGCCCGACCAACCCTAACCCGGCCAGACCAGGAATGTGCATCGGCTCTTCCTCAGCACATTGCCAAGCAGAAAGTATTCTGTCCAAGAAATACTTCAAGGTACAGACAGCAGGCATCACATGAAATTCCCAAATGTGCCAATTCAACCACCCCGGCAATCAAGAAGTCATAAAGCCCCGAGCGACACCAGGTGAGTGCTCAACACCCTCCTGATGAAGCCCGCTCTACTACTTTCGGTCCTGGTGATAGGCAGCTGGGCGACCTGGACCGACTTGGTCTGGGACGACATTCGGGCTGCGACCAGCTGCGTGGCCTGCGAGGTAGTGAACCCGTCAGAATGACATCCCCGCTGACTGCAACAGTCTCTCCTCCGATCCCTCCAGAAGATCGCTCGTCAAGGGCCTTCAACCCTCGAAGCCGTTGTCACCGAAGTATGCATTCGAAGCAAGGTACATCCCAGTTCAACATCTATACCTACCATACCATCTAGCCTATTGCTAACACCATACAGCTTTTCGACGCCGACTTTTGCACCGGTCTAGCGGCCTCGCAAATCCCCAGCGCACACTATGTGCTCACTCAAATGCAGATCCCATCATTCACAGCGCAGACCTTTTGCGCCGGCGTGTTGGATCTCTGTCCTCCGCCTCCTCCCCGACCATTCAACCTAACCCTACCTCCTGTTCCTTCTCCCCCTACTACTTCCACCACCACAACCACAACCACCACCAATACCCTCCGCATCGCCCACCTCACCGACACCCACGTTGACCTCCTCTACACCCCCGGATCCAGCACCACCTGCCGCAAACCCATCTGCTGCCGACCCTACACCCCACACGATGCCCCCGGCAACACCACCAAGCCCTGCCCAACCTGGGGCCACCCGCGCTGCGACCCTCCGCTCCGACTCCTCGAAAGCATGCTCTCCGCCGTCCAAGCCCTACAACCCCAATTCGTGCTGTACACCGGCGACGTCGTCCCCCACGACGTCTGGAGCGAAACCCAACCCTCCGTCCTCCACAGTTTCAACACCACCTACTCAACCCTCCGCACCACCTTCAACTGTCCCATCTACCCAGCCATCGGCAACCACGACACCAACCCCGTCAGCATCTTTCCCGTCACCGATACCATCCCCGCCCATCTCAACCCTCAATGGGCCTACGACGCTCTAGCAACTCACTGGAGAACTCTCCTCCCTAACACCACCACCACCCAATTCCATCACGGCGCATACGCCACAACCCTCACCCTCCCCACCACCACCACCCCCCTAAAAATAATCTCCTACAACAGCAACCTCTACTACCGCTTCAACATCCTAACCTACACAACACCCATGTCCCCAGACCCTATGAACCAATTTTCTTGGCTCATTACTGAGCTCACCTCCGCGGAACGTCTCGCTCAAAAGGTATACCTACTCACGCACATCCCTTCAACAAGGAAAGATACTCTCCCCGAGTATGCATATTACCTGGCGATCATCTTCCGACGGTTTCAGGATACTATTGTGGGGGTGTTTTGCGGACATGGACATTTGGATACGTTTGGGGTGGTTTATGGGAATAGAACTGGGACTGGGGGGATGAAGAAGGAAGTGGGCGAGGTGATGGAGTTAGAAGCACCCGGGATTACGCCTATGACTGGGCCCCCTGCATTTAGGATGTTGATGGTGGATGGCGATGATTGGGGAGTGCTGGATTTGGAGGTTTGGGTTGCGGATATCTCATCCTCATCCTCGTCGTATTCTTCTTCCTTGATTGATACCCCCGAGGAAGGTATAGATGAAAGTGGTGAATATGCTGAACCCAAATGGAGAAAATACTACTCCGCTCAAGAAGCCTACGGACGATATATATCCCAAAGTGCAGAGACAAGGGGTATAGGAGCTACCTTTTGGGCCAAGTTGACTGATATTATGGAGTGGAATCGGATGGTCTTTATGGAGTATTGGGCGAGACGGACGCGGGGTTGGTTTGTTACGGTTTGTGTGGGGAGGTGTGCTGAGAGGGAGATTTGTCGGTTGAGGGGGGGGTGTGGATCGAAGGTGTTTTCTTTGTCTTTGGATGGTGGTAGGGATGAGGATGATGAGAATGAGAATGTTGGTAATAAGGGGGGTGATAATGGTGATGGTGGGGATGATGATGTTGGTTATAATGGGGGTGATGATGGTGATGGTGATGGTGGTAGTGAGGGTGAGTATGAGAATGATGGAGACTGGAATTGGCACGATGAAGAGGGACTAGGTGCGCTGGGCCAATGGTTGAGAAAAGTCCAAGCCAAATACCCGGTCGATCAGTAGGTATAGCTTAAGGTATACGTTACAATGGTATGTAAGAATGTCATGTGAATGGAATGGATCAGTCCCCAGGACCAATCTAAAGCTAAGGTATAAACAAGAACAATCATAACTGGGTCAACGAATGACAAGAAGGTAATAAGCAAATCAGTCACGTCACATCAGTAGCATCATCTACTCAATATACCACTCCGCTCCCTTCAACCGTCCCTCGGCTTCAGTGCCAAAGTATCCAAACAGCTTCTCCGACAGATCAATCGACACATCGTCACAGCCCATGCACTTGTCCAACACCGTACCCGTCTCGGTCACTCCGTTGTACGTGATGTGCACCGTCTTGCCGCAGTCGCTGTCCTTCATGATGCCTACCGGCAGTGCAACCACCTTGTCGCTCGAGCCGTTGCTGTACGAGCCGCAGGAGCCCAGACCCGCCACGTAGTAGGTCAAATCACCCGTGCAGGGGGCTCCGCCGGAGCAACTGCCACTGTAGCCGCTGCTGCTGCTAGCAGCGGAGGTGGCCGCGGCCGCAGAGGTGGTGGTTGCAGCTGCAGCAGTGGTGGTAGAGGGAGTCCACTGAGCCTCGGAGGTGGAGGTAGAGGACGGGGCAGGAGCCGGAGTCCAGGCGGGCTCAGAGGTGGAGGTGGAGGTGGAAGCGGAGGTGGCCCAGGTTTCGGGCGAGGGAGTCCACCAAACGGTGGTGGAAGTGGAGGTGGAGGAGGAGAGGGGTTGGTAGCTGACAGATTGTTCAGGCTGGCTGTTGCCTGGAGCCTGGACCTGAGAATCGGCCGTAGGAGTGGCCGAGGCGGGAGCGTTGCCGTAGATGGTGGTGGTCACGTCGACAGTGGTCCAGACAACCGAAGTGACGGTCTCGTAGACGACGTCGGTCTCGCGCTTTTCAACAGGGGCAGCAGAGCCAAGGGCGGCAAAGAGAGCACCGGCCAGGGCAAGAGTTTTGGAAAGAGGGGCCATTTTGTCTGTTGTATATTGGGGATGATTTTGGTGGTAGAGAAAGTTTGGTTGATTTCAAGGGTGAATCGAGGATGATCGAGTTGATCAAGGATTGTTCAAACTTGCTCTGGTCGACAGAGTGTAAGGAACGAGACTGCACAGCAGTATGGCGCAAGGAACCCAAGGAGTGGGGGTTAAAGAAGGAATGACCGATGTCAAGGAGAGACGGACTGTGTGGTGGAAGGGGAAAAGAAGCGAGCGACAAGAGGGGAGGGAAGGGCCAGTATTTGTATTGGGCCCGGCCGGTGGTGGTATGGTATCATTGGTATGGTGTTGTTGAAAGTGGAAAGTTGAAAGTAGTAAAAGTGAAAGGATCCACTCCCCCCTCCATCAGCCATCCATCCATCCCGGAAAACACCAACAATAACAAATCCAAAGAATGAATGATTCCGATCCACTCCTCTCCACACTTCTAGATCCACCGACCCACTCCACCACTCGTGAACCCTCGATCTCCGCCAATGCCCGTTAAACGGTCTCTGCCCGACCTCACCGGTTCTTCCAGGGCATCGCCGTGGTTGGCACTCAGTCGGGCGCGGCCCGGACCAGCTGGCCTTGCTGGCATGCTATCCGGTTTGATTGGGACTCTCACCTCGTACCTGACGCAGCCATCTCATCGTACACCTGCTCCGCAGAAGCAAAAACTCAACCAGGCACCGCTTGGCAGGGCCTTGATCGGAATGCTCGGGCTGACCCAGCAATTCGGCTGATTGGCGGTCCGCGTTGACGCCGGTGTCTCACCAGGCCGTTCCTGACTGCCAGGGGGGGATGATGATTGGTGAGGATGGTTCTTAGCGTGTGCTGTTCATGGATTGACTTTGTCTGGCTCAGCCACGAACTTGCTGAAGGGAACTGACTTTTTGGTTTAAACTTGGCAACTTGGTGTGTGTGTGTGCGCTGCTAGTCTGGCTGCGGGTTGGGTTTCCGCTCGGGGCTCAGGGGGATCAGCGTGGCGTGGTTGCCTGTATGGTGTCCCTGGCACGGACAAGCCACAGTCAATGCTACCATACCATGCCTACTACAAGTATCTAAGTACAGCGATGGTATCAGACTAAACTACAACCGTCGGATCAGTGGCAAATCCGGTCAAAGAAACAAGAAGTCTTGACGAGTTGACGTGTCGCACCAGCCCCGCGGGCCAGTCAGATCTCGTCAGCGGCAGGAGGGTTCAGGCCAGTTGCCCTACTGGTGGGCTGAAGAGTCCAGCCGAGTCCATGTCTCTGCTGAGGTGCTAGTCTCGGGCATCGGTGGGATGAAACGATCAATGAGATATCTAGATTCTAGACACTGCAGTCAGACTGTCGGGCGAGTCGCCAAGCCAGTCATTCGCGTGGCGCTCGGTCCATGGATGTATCATCGATACGGAGCACATTGACAGGGAGAGTCCCTGTCAGCTGTCTAGTGTCTACGGTGTACACAGACATAGATTCGACTTGTACCACCGGAGTATATCTCCTTCAGATCGGGGCATTCCATTGTGCATTCCTCCGATCGGCTACATCCGGGGTATGCACACACACAAACAAACAATCGTACTCATCGATACCTCCCTCATCCTACACCCATCGAGGGATACTGCCTCAGCTCAGTAGTAAGTACCCTCGTAAGTAACCCTGAAACCAACCAACACATATCCTCACAGAAAAGAGACAATCCTTCGCCCTACAACCAAACCATACACAGTGCAGACCCCGAAGGTCCAAACAAACTAGCCCCAAAATCCAGCCCCATCCTATCTCTCAACTAACTGCTTATATCCATGGGAAATGAAGGATGTGATGGCGCAGGTACCCGTTGGATTATGTTGGTGATTACCTATCTATAGCTATAGCTACAACTAACTACCCCATCCCTCAAACAGTATACTATATACATACTAGTATAGTAAAGGGATGAATGTAAATAAACAGCCCCATAATCCAACCCTCGTATCAAGTACAACCACTACCTCCAAGTACCAGCACCAATACTCCGTAAAAAAATAACCAAAACCGCCCGATTGAAAACCCTCCGAACCCCCTCATTTAACTCCCACCACACCACACCATCTCCTCCCGTTTCAATTCATTCAACCCTCCCATCCCTGAATACGAATCTGGCTAGTCAGACAAAAGCAGAGTTAAATAACCAGCTAGATAGTTACTCAACCGAGCCAGTAATGACTAACGGGTGGTTGGGAAACTCGGAGGGTAGTTGTTGTTCATGCCAAGGATTTCGGAGTAGGTAAGTGAGTAACTATTGAAGTATATACTAGAGTTAGGTGGATAAATAAGCTACTAATGAATAATCTACCTTCATTATATCCATTCCCTATACTAGCTAATTAAAATAAATAGATCGGTAGAATGTAAAGGTAGGTAAGTCAAGTCGAAGATGTCACCCACCACAACCATCCACGGAACCCTCAATCCCCACAAATTAAACGCATCGTTACGTAGAATACCTCTCCCTTATCACTATCTATCTACTATGCAGACAGCTAATAGTTCATCTACATCTCGCCACAGTGGATGTATTTCCCATCGACCATGACGATGACAGTCACGGTCCAGATCCAACGTCATGGATAGAAGTCGATGATTCATCTCATTTCATTTCATCTATCTCTATCCTCATCTCTATACCTTCCATTCGTATAAGACTACATACTACCCATGTATCCTTCCTACATGAACTAACTGCATCAATCCACTTAATTACTATATTGTCATTTTACTCGTCACACATCTAATTTACCCCCGTATGTCCCCAACCCAAGACATAATCAAACTCTACTCTAACGAAGGCAGGAAAATGGACGCCATTCGCCAAAATATCGAATCCGCCAAGGCCAAGGGCAAGGAATACTATGATAGTATGATGGGGGAGCAGTCAAGTATGTTCTGAATACCTTGTACGATTGTGGGATGGATGCTAAAACGGACGGGGTAGACACTAGTTCCGGTTCGACCAATTATACCGATCAGGCGAAGGATTATTATAATAAGATGATGGGACAGGGTAGGTTTATATTCTCTCGTTTTCGCTTGCTCGGTTCAAGAGTATTGTACGGTAGGTGGGTGCTAATCATGGCAATGGTAGGCTCCGAGTACACCGATCAGGCAAAAGACAAGGCCAATGATCTCATGGATCAGTCCAAGAACTACGTGCCCGAGTCCAAGGGGGATCATTAACTCGGATCATTAATTGTAATGTCAAGTACCATAAATGAACAATTCATATGTATAAAATAACTACATCATATCCCATAACCATACCATCGTGATATATTACACCCAACGCCTTTCCATCCATGCTTTAACCCTGGCACATCACACACGCCTCCTTGTTTTCAATGCTGCACTGGAGCACCTGCTGCGAGTAAATGTCGTTTTCCCGATCGGCGGCCTCTTGGCTGTCCTCCTCGGGTCCCTCCGACTCTGCAAGTGCCAAGGGGCTGCTCTCACCCCCGTTAATGCTGTTCTCGCTGTGTCCGTTGACCTGGGCCTCCCCGCGGGGAACGGCAGAGTACGTGGTCGAGGCCGCACCGACCGCCCGCTTCTTGAAAGAGGCGTTCGCACGGGCCACGTTGGTGTCTTCCACCTTCAGCTGCTCCTGGTCGACCGTGAACTGGATCGGGGCAGAAGCAGCCATCGTCCGCAGGTAGTACATACCCGTCTTCAGACCCATCTTCCACCCGGCAAAGTGCATGCTGGTGATCTTGCCCATAGTGGGCTCCTTCAGGTGGATGTTGAGGGACTGCGACTGGTCGATGAACGCACCACGGTCAGCGGCCATCTGCAGGATCGTCCGCTGCGAGATCTCCCACACCGTCTTGTACAGCGCCTTGATGTCCGCCGGCACGTTGGGGATGTTCTGCACGGAACCACCCTCCGCGATGATGCGGTTCTTCATGTTGTCGGACCACAGGCCGAGGTCGACCAGGTCCTTCAGCAGCCAGGGGTTGACCACCTGGAACTCACCCGCCAACACACGACGGGAGTAGATGTTCGAAGTGTAGGGCTCAAAGCACTCGTTGAAGCCCAAGATCTGACTGGTGCTGGCAGTGGGCATGGGGGCCACCAACAAACTGTTGCGGACACCGGTCTGCGCAATCTTAGCCTTGAGGGCGTCCCAGTCCCACAGGTCGGTAGGAGTACGCTCCCACATGTCGTACTGGAGGATACCCTGAGAGACAGGAGAGCCCTCGTACGTCTCGTAGGGTCCGAACTCCTTAGCAAGGTCGGACGAGGCGGTCAAACCAGCGTGGTAGATGGTCTCGAAGATCTGGATGTTCAGCTGACGAGCCTCGGCAGAGTCAAAGGGCAGGCGCAGAGCGAGGAAGGCATCGGCCAGACCGTTGACACCGAGGGCGATGGGACGGTGGCGGAAGTTGCTCTTCTTGGCCTCCGGGACGGGGTAGTAGTTAATGTCGATGATCTTGTTCAGGTTGCGGACCAAGACCTGCACAACCTCATGGAGCTTGCCAAAGTCGTACTCGCCGCGGACAGCATCGACAAAGGTAGGCAGGGCCAGAGACGCCAGGTTGCAAACTGCAACCTCATCCGGAGCAGTGTACTCCACAATCTCAGTGCAAAGGTTGGAGCTGCGGATGGTTCCCAGGTTCTTCTGGTTGCTCTTCTTGTTGCAGGCATCCTTGTACAGCATAAAGGGGTTTCCAGTCTCGGTCTGGGCCTCCAGGATAGCGTACCACAGCTTCTGGGCCTTGATGGTGCGACGACCACGGCCTTCCTTCTCGTACCTGGACGCGGTTAGCATGATCGAGACGCAGAGCCAGCAAACTTACTTCTCGTAGAGAGCGTCGAATTCGTCTCCGTAGACATCGGCCAAGCCAGGGGCCTCGTTAGGGCAGAACAGAGTCCAGTCACCGTTGGCCTCAACCCGCTTCATGAACAGATCCGGGGTCCACAGAGCGTAGAACAGATCACGGGCGCGAACCTCCTCCTTACCGTGGTTCTTACGGAGATCCAGGAACTCGAAAACATCCGAGTGCCAGGGCTCAAGGTAGATGGCAAAAGCACCGGGACGCTTGTTGCCACCCTGGTCAACGTAACGGGCAGTGTTGTTGAAGACCCGGAGCATCGGGACAAGACCGTTGGAGGTACCGTTGGTACCGCCAATGTAAGATCCGGTGGAGCGGATGCGGTGAACGTTCAGGCCAATGCCACCGGCTGTCTTAGAGATCATGGCGCACGTCTTCAGAGTGTCGTAAATACCGTCGATGCTGTCCTCTTTCATGTCGACAAGGAAGCAGGAGGCGAGCTGAGGCTGGGGTGTACCCGCATTGAACAGGGTCGGGGAGGCGTGAGTGAAGTACTTCTGGGACATCAAGTGGTAGGTCTCGATGGCCTTCTCAATGTCGGTGCCGTGGATACCAACGGCAACACGCATCAGCAGGTGCTGGGGACGCTCCGCCACCTTGCCGTTGATGCGCAACAGGTATGACCGCTCCAGGGTCTTGAAGCCGAAGAAGTTGTAGTTGAAATCACGGTCGTAGACAATCGCCGAGTTCAGCTCGTCGGCATGTTTCATGACTATTTCATATGTTTGTTTGGAAATCATTGGTGCAGGATTGTTGTTCTTCGGGTTGACATAGTGGTAGAGATCTGAGATTGCCAGCGAGAATTGCTTCTTGGTCTGCTTGTGGAGGTTGGAAACGGCGATACGAGCGGCGAGGATGGCATAATCCGGGTGTGTGACGGTCATGTATGCAGCAGTCTCGGCAGCCTGTTCAAATTAGCACTGCTTCTCAATTGGTGGCAAAAACATACCAGGTTGTCCAGCTCAACGGTGGTGACACCCTGGTAGACACCAGAGATGACCTTTTGGGTGATAGCAGCGGCGTCGACATGCTCAGGGTCAAGACCGTAACAGAGCCTTGACACACGAGCCGTGATCTTGTCGAACTGCACGCGTTCTTTGCGTCCATCTGATTCACACGTTAGCACTGGCTGCAGCATGTGGCAAGGTCCATTGCTCGTCATCTCATCATGAACGACACCTAATCCACCGGATTATTGCAACTACTCACCTCTCTTGTAGACAAACATTTTGGCAGTGAGGTTGAGGAACGAGAAACAAACTAGAACAAAGGGTATATGGATATAATATTAGGGTAGTAAAGAAGGTTGGCAGATTTTGAGATTGGATGGAAAGGGAAAGTCGTCACAAAAGAAGTCCTGCAGACAGGAGCTGAGGAGGAGAGATGGAGGAAAAGAAGACGGAGGGGCAGGAGGGTAGATATTTGATGTCGCCGGGGCCAACGCGTGCCGGTGGATATCCACGCGAATTTTCGTGTTTGGGCTAAATGGACTGCCCTTGCATTCGAGCTGTTTCGCCAACGCGACGAGCGCGGTCACGTGCCAGCCTTATAAATCAGCTCCGAGCGTCGGACGCCGTATATCCGTTTGCAGGAGGTTTCCCTTGTCGACAGCCGGATGTCCATCACGATTTCAAAGCACCGGCCCCACTCTAGGTACCGATGCAGCGGTGAGCTCGCTGCCTACGGATCACTACGCTGGAACTGGTAGACAAGTCATGCCTTCGTCTTGGTCGAGGCAATCAAGTCACAGACAGCTCCAGTGCTATACTGACCAGAAGATACATGTTCATTGTACCTGTGGCTTCGTTATATATACCTGTACTATCCTATAAGAGGCTTAGCGTGTATAGCTTGAAATTTACAGCAATACCTGACCGCTACACCCAGTAAGTAGGACTTGGGAGAATCTCTTCATGAAGAAATCTTCTAATATGTATGCTGGTTGCTATCTGATACTTAAGGAATCTGTTCTTTTCTTTTCTGGTCTATAAGTACTTGTTAGCAGGGTTGTGACTCGCCTTTTGCTGCTCATCACTGCGCATTAACCGTAGATATCCTACTACTAGTTAGTATGTTTGGTGCTAACTTGCTGTAGTAGTCATGGCTTGTATATTCTGGCGTCCTGCATGATCCTGCTCTCAAATGTAACCAGAAACCGCCATTGCCATCAGTCATCTCCTTGTTTTGAACTTGGCGACGTTTCAAATCACTTTTCTCCCCCGGGAGGATCCTGCCAGCAATAACCGTCTTTGTTTCGACACGGTGAGTGTGTGGGTGTATACTTTGTCTTGAGTTCCAAGAAGAATGATCAATATGGTGGAGATCCTTGACTATTATCATAGAAATACTTGCCAGACAAGAACAGATCTGCATGTATTCTTTGCCTTGAACTTTCATATCACCAATACAGGAGGAATAGCTGGGCCGACTGTCCAAAGAAGCTAAGATGTAGAGCAGGCGGAGCATACGTAGGAGGCTAGGCCCAGACCACGTCGGCTGCACCCCGGACAACCGTCGGCCTCCGCGGGTTGCGAAAGAATGCCGCGTCAAACAACAACTTTATTCCTCCATATCTCGCATTTCCTTTCTCAATTCCTTCACCCATGAGACAACCAAGAAAATGTCTCCCGGAAATCCCAAAAATGTTAACCTCCCCAGCGACATCAAATTCATTTCCACTCCTGCAGCTCAGCCCTCGGCTTTTGGCGGAGCTCAAACCAATGTCAGTCTCATCCTCTCGTCCCTTGAATCCTTGAATGCATACCAATTAAATATAGTCGCCAGCCATCCACAACCCTCCTCTCCCAGCAGACGGCCCCGGAAATGAATCCTTCTCCAATCTCTACCTGATCAGTGCCTTGATAGGAATCCCCGCCCTCCTCACATGGACATTGGGCGGCGGCGTCAAGACCGGCATATTCCTCAGTCTCATCACTCTTTTCCCAATTCTCATAGCTTTCTGGACATGGACATCTAGCTACAGTCCCCCCACCAACACCAAAACCCAATTTCCCGGTCGAGCAATCGAAGAATACATCACGTTCAAAAACAACGCAGACCGAACCAAATGGCACGGTCGGAACAAGGTCCCCCTCCAAACCTTCTGCGAGATGTATCTCGACGGCCAGGTTGATTTCAACGGCGATTGTCTCGACATCATGGAACATCGCCACGACTGGGCCAACTTCCGCTTCACCTGGGACCTCTTCAAATACATCCTTCTTACTTTCGCTCGCGATGTCCTCTTCCACACCAAATCCCAAGACGAAGAACAGATCCGTCCGAACTACGACCTTGGCAATGACCACTACGCCTGGTTCCTCGGTCCCCGCATGGTCTATACCTCCGGTATCATCTCCGACCCTGACCGGGAAGAAACCCTCGAGGAAATGCAAGATAATAAGATGGCGATTGTCTGCGAGAAGCTCAACCTGAAAGAAGGCGAAACTTTGCTGGATATCGGTTGCGGATGGGGAACCCTCGCCAAGTTCGCCAGTCTCAATTACAAAGCCAACGTCACCGGACTCACCATCGCCCAACATCAAACAGCCTGGGGAAATGACGCTCTCCGCGCCGCTGGGGTTCCCGAATCGCAGAGTCGCATCTTGTGTATGGATTATCGGGATATTCCCCACATGCAGTATGATAAAATCACGCAGATTGAAATGGGCGAGCATGTGGGCGTGCGCAAGCTATCGACCTTCTTCCGTCAATGTTACGATCTGCTCAAGGATGACGGGGCTATGTATGTTCAGCTGTCGGGGCTTCGACAGGCATGGCAATATGAGGATTTCATTTGGGGATTGTATTTGAATAAGTATATTTTCCGGGGCGCCGATGCATCCACCCCGTTGTGGTATTATGTGTTGGCGCTGGAACGGGCTGGGTTTGAGGTCAAAAGGTGAGTTTACACACTATCGTCATGATTGCAAGATACTGACAATTCGGAAATATAGTATCGATACCGTCGGCGTTCATTACTCCGGTACCCTTTGGAGATGGTATCGGAACTGGATTGGAAATGCGGAGACGATCAAGGCGACATATGGCCAGCGGTGGTTCAGAGTACGTACCACCCTTCTTCGTACAGATGACGTCCTCTAATATATAACAGATCTGGGAACTCTTCCTGGCATGGTCGGTTATTGCTTCTCGCCAGGGCAGCGCCACTTGCTATCAATTCGTCGTGGTGAAGAACCTCAACTCGACACACCGCATCGATGGGGTTTCGTCTCAATTTGGATTATCGGCTGCGCTGGCTGCGAGTCGGAAATTCGGTAGGGCAAGGTTGCCGTAGTATATCTCCCGTTGAGATTGTTGCTTTGCCTTGCAGGCTTTTGCTGCTTAAGCAGCCATTAAAACCGGATGAAGTGAAGCTAAACAATGATAGTCATGACATGTACTAAGATTCAGAGCTATTTGTCTAAATAAAGTCACGAAAAATGAAACCAAGAATAAGAATCTATACTCTCTAGCACATGTTAGATAGTATCATCTAGTTATATCTAATCTAACGCATATCAAGTTAACCCATGCTAATTCACCAATTGCTAAACCCCTCCATGACCCATTCATTTCCCAACGAACAAGCCAAACCAGGATACATCACATCACATCATAATCTATACCATCAACCTAATCCCTCACGCCTCCCACGCAGAATCATAACTACTAACCACCACCTCCTGCACCTCCAACCTCCCCTGGACAATCTCCCTCCCATTCACCAAATCATTCCCATCCACCCTCCTCCCCGCCTCCTCCTCATCCCTCGCAATCCCCGCCCTAACATGCCTCCTAACCAACCTCTCCCTCGCAACCCCAAACTCCACCTCCACAAACCACAACTCATCCATCAACCCCGCCGCACTTCTCCACGGCTCCCTATCCAAACTCAGATAATTCCCCTCAAAAAACACCACCCGACACGACGCCGGAATCGAGATATCGTCGTCCACGGGATCCTTCACCGCGTGATCGAAGCTCGGCGCAAACAGACTCTGCGTCTCCGGCGTGATTTCTTCGCGGAGCGCTTGCACAAGGCGCAGGAATTTCTCCCCGTCGAAGGTGAAGGCTGCCCCGCGTCGAGCGAGTGCGTAGCTTGGGTCTGGCATGGCGGAGAGCTGGGAGCGGGTCAGGTGGTAGCCGTCCATGGGGATGTGGGTGGCGATTTGGGGTAGTTGGGGGTGGTGGCGGAGGTGACGCTGGTTGATGAGGTTGGACATGGTCAGGGCGAGTTCGGTTTTGCCGGAGCCGGGGATGCCGCTGATGGCGATAAGGAGGCGGGTGGTTGGGGGGTGGCGAGGTGTTTGTCTGGGTGGGTGTGGATTAGATGAGGTTCGATGTGTTATTGGGGGGGAGGGGGATGGGGGATCGGGGATGGGGGATGGACGTACTCCAGATTTTGTCGACTAGGCGGTTGACTTGGTCGTCCATGGTTGGTATGAGGGGTATGGGGATGAGGATGGGGATATGGGGTTGGGGTTGGGTTGGGTTGGGTTGGGGTATGGGCGAGGATGTAGGTAGATGGTTGTTATATGGATCGAGGAGTGAGATGTGTGGCTTGGGTCCGTGCTTTCATTCAAAGAGGGGGAGGTTTCTAAGGTTCTGGATAGAGGGGATGGTAGAAAACCGCCGTTTAGAGATGGGGCTGTTGCAGCGGTGTGTCAATGATGAACAACCGTAGAGATCTGGCCGTGAAGCTCGGCGGCCGATGGATAAATAAGTCGGCGGGGCTGTCGTCAGAGTGGGGACTCTCGCATGGACTCCGGCCGGCCCAGCATACGTCACAGGGGACCGCCAGGCACCGTGTTTGCTGCTGTTTTGATAATTGACAGCCGCGGTACTACATAGCATAAACTCCACCTGGGGATTCTTTCCTACGTAGCGCCGTAAATGACCGGCTTGGTCAGAACTGGTTTCCCGGGCGGGATGGTCCGAGGAACTGGCCAGTACTTGGTCACATGTCCCGGCTGCAACTCTGCCCCGTTACGGAGTTACACAACTCAACAGTCAACACACTACTACACTGCACCCCTATTTCAAAATACATTCAAGCCAATCAATACAAGTACAGTGGTTCACTAATCCCAAGCCAACATCCCATCCGAAACGGTTTCCGGCCCTAATTCAGCTGAACCTGGCTGAGGACACCCAACGCCAAACAAGATCCCCGCTAAAGCACAATGGCCAATGAACTAAGCTCGGTATCTAACACATTGACAGAAAATAACCAAGTCACCGCGGCCGTAGCCGCCCATCCACGCTATCCGTGTCATTAGAGTCATCGGGTATGCCGAGCCGGCGGCCAAGGGTGCGGGACAGTCCAGCTGCCGCCCACCACTCATCTGGGATATCCTCGCGTCGCGCAAGTCGATCAAGAATGGCTTGCATCTGCTGCAAATCTGGGTCGGTGGAAGAGGAGTCAGAAAATGCAAAGGATATGGTAGGTATCGGAGGGTGGTTGCTCATCGTCGACTGCAGGTGCTGTGCCCGTCTCAAAGATTCCATCTGGCGAATGCGACGGTACCGTCGGAACAACGACTGCTGGGAGATCCCCGATTCGGAATCACTATCCGAATCGCTGGAGCTTGGATAGTCGCAGGGATGGAGAAACTCCGCGTATGGATCGAGCACCATCTGCACGGTCCCCGCGCCCGAGTCCAAGGGGTTGGTCATGCTCTGCAACGAGGTTGCAGAGCTTCTAGCCGTCCCAATCGTCGAGGCATTCGTTCCAGAGGCAGACGCGGACGTGAAGGAGGAATCTGCGCTGGGAAGGTTTGTATCCGGCGTGATAGTGGTAAGAAGCGTCTCCCATGCATCGTTAGCATGGTCATCATCCGGGCTCAGGCTTCTCTGTCGATCACCAAGACCATCCACAGCAGACTCGCGATTGGGACGGCTCGCCTCGGTGATCGATCGTTCACCGACTCGTCGTAGCGAAGGAAAGGCCGCTGCGACAGAGATATCCCCTCCAAATCCATCTGGTCGAATAAACGGTGACAGACGGGCGCCATCTGCGCGCATTTGCGGAGACGCAGTCCTATGGTACGCGATCGCAGGAGCAAACCGCGGTGTGAATGGGGGATGAACCAGGTCCGACCGGTTGTTCGCGTCATCCCCTGGCGACGGGCGGTATAGATCGGGCAAGGCCGAACTGCGCGGAATCCTTAGGCGCTGACCTGGGCGGCCATGGCGGAGCGCATCGTTCAGCAGTCGCTGGCCCGATTCGCGTCGACCGGGATCCAGGATGCCGCTAGTTAGATCGAATGGGTCATCGGCGGTACTTGAGTTCGAAAGCGGAGAGCGTACATGACGCTGGAGACCACTGGCCTCGCGCTCAATCTCATCCACTAGCGGACGGGGGAAAGGCGATCGGAGAGTTGCGCTGCGCAAGGCGGAACCATAACGCGAAGCACGGCGAACCGTAGGCTGGCGACGGATTGCGGAGCGTGCAACGGCACATGAGTCTTTGGCGGGATTGTTCTTGGAAGCATCGGTCGAGGAAGCCTCGCAGAACAATCTGCATATGTCAGTCAGTCATGACAGCCGTTCCGTACGCGCTAGGCCAATGGAGCAGCGTGTAGAGTGCCGACGGCGACGAGTGCAGTGCGAGCAGAGCAGAGATGGCGGACTCACGGAATACCCATGGCTAGATAATGCAAAAAAGACAACAGAGGGACTGTCCAGGCGAAAGGGGTTTAGAAAGATAGCCACATCCAGAGCAACCGGGAATGACGCGAGGCTTTAAATGGGGGAGGGCCAGATTGCGGGGACAGCGACCAAGGCGAGTTGTTGATGGAGAAGGGCGAGACTTGGTTTTTCCTCGTAAGGGTAAAAAGCGGAGGCGAAGAGATTTCGCGCCTGAGGCTTCCCGGCGTAGCGCCGCGGCTTTTCCTTCGCAACATTGGGGCATTTTCGCTGGTGGGTGGCTGGATGAGGTGGCGCCGGGGTCACCTGCGTACATTCGAGTACGACCACTAATAGACTACAGAGTAACTAACTGACTGACAGTGGTCAAGTGCTGGTTATCCACCATCGCATGAGGTTTCACCCTACAAAGCCATTCATCGAATCGAATGCAATTGACTTTCCCATGGACCGATTCGATACCACCTCATCGCTGCCACCGGTGGCAACATGCTTACCGTACTCGACCGTACTACCCTCGCGTCTAGCAGCCTCAGGCATCAATCCTTATCGGAGCACCTGACAGCTCTCCGATTATCTTCTCGAATCCCGCGGGCAACTCTCCGGATCGGCGCCATTTTCTGGAGCCTCGAGAGATAACACTCTTCCTCCATGACATCCTCGTCCTTCATCACCTCCTGATCATGAGGATTTTCCCCATCCATTCATCAATCATCGCACAGTTGGAGGCATGATTGAACTCGGTCTTAGTCGGATAGTCCGCCTGCTCCAGCAGACCCCGCTGACTTGGAAGGCCATCCATATTGCTGGCACCAATGGCAAAGGCTCGATCAGCGCCTATCTATCGCACCTGTTGTCGGCGGGCGGAGTTCGCTGTGGGCGCTTTACCTCCCCTCATCTGATCGACCGATGGGACTGCATCACCATCGGCGAAAAAGTCGTCCAAGAGTCGCTCTTCCGGCAGATTGAAGCGAGAGTCAAGCTTCGAGATCAAACACTAGGCATCGGTGCAAGCGAGTTCGAGCTACTGACTGCGACTGCCTTTGAGATCTTTAACCATGAGCGGGTCGACATCGGGGTGGTGGAGGTCGGGATGGGCGGTCGCCTGGATGCTACCAACATCTTGACCGACGTTCTGGTTTCGGTCATCGCGAAGATCGGTCTGGACCACCAGTCCCTTCTTGGTGATACCATCGAACAAATTACAAAGGAAAAGGCGGGGATCTTGAAGCCAGGAGTTCCATGTGTCATTGACGGCACCAACTCGACGGAAGTGATTCGGACTCTCGAAGATCGCATCAAGGAACTCAAGATCGATGCGGTTTACACACGTCCTAATGTGCCGGATAACCATTCGCCATCGCTTAGCCAGCTCTTCGCTACTCTCGATCTACAGCCCCACCAGCGCGCAAACATGTCCTGTGCTGTTTCGGCTCTCAAACTTGCCCTGCTCCGGTCCCGTCCTGAGATCGACGTCGATGCGCTCGTTCCACAACTGTCAAAGGTGGAGTGGCCGGGGCGCCTGCAGAAGATCGCTTTGAAACCCTTGGCGGCTCGTGAGGAGCCTGTTCTGCTGGATGGTGCGCATAATACACAGTCGGCTGAAGTTCTTGGAGAATATGTGGACCGCAAACTGCGTCCACAAGGGGGGAACGTCACCTGGGTCATCGCGGCATCCCGTGGCAAGGATATTGTTTCCTTGTTCCATTCCATAATCAAGGCCGGCGATCGAGTTGCGATCACTGCATTCGGCCCCGTTGATGGCATGCCGTGGGTTAAGGCAAATGATCCAGAGGAGATAGTGTCGTGTATCCAGTCGATCGCAGGAATCGGGCAAGTCCAGACCTTTGGGGATGATATTCCTGCCGCTATCAACTGGGCCTGCGAGGAAGCCCGTGGCGGTTCGCTGGTCATCGCGGGCAGCCTTTATCTGGCGTCAGACGTTCTTCGTCTTCTTCGTGAGGCACAAAAGCAAACATAAATTACGGCGACAAGTAAATGACCTCTACTGACAGAGATACCCTTTCCATCAGCAGCATTTGGCGTACCTGTATATAGCATGCATGAGTAATGGAATCGATATGTTGTTCCGAGGACTGTTTGTAGACCATCGGCGTAATGACTCTAGTTTACAAATGTAGATTGCATCGCATCCTTATATCTATGCTAAAATCATTGCTGGCTATCTACTTAATGTAATCCAGCTCGGGTCTGATAAGGCTGATCGGAGATGGAGCAGCGGCCGGGCGCTGCGTCATGGCCCAAGCCAGCTGGTGGCCTGTGGAGAAAAGCGAAAAGGAAAGTTCAAAACATCCGCCTATTCTGCATTTGCTCCGGCAGGCACCGCAAGTAAGTGAATCCTCTTCGGCCCTTTCCCAAGGCCCGACTTGAAATCCGCGAGACTCACTAACCAGCTGAAGATCGATTTTGCTTTGGAGGGGAAATTCGATGTGTAGAGACGCGTGCAGCGGACGCGGCTCTCTGGGTGCGAGAACAAGGATCCTCTCTGTATGTTTCTACCAACCGTGATCATGCCATACGCCGGCGGTATTCAACTCGGCTCTTTCTCTACTCTATCTCGTACGTGCCTGGAATTTACTGACAAGCTTGATCGCTCGATACTAGATCGTGCTGACATGAACGATCCGATCGGTCCCCTGGCGCCTGCCTTTTCCACCCGTCCCCTCGCCATCTGAGTCTACAGCTGTCGGAGACAACGTGCTTGAGATTAGCGGGCTCGATACGAAAGGGATCTCGATCCACCTGCGCGACCATGGTCTCCCGATCCAGCGAAGCCAGTGAGGGGCTGCCGCCGCCTTCCAAGACGCCCGGCACTCCAGCCAAAACACGACTTACGAGACTCGGTTCCAGCCCGTCGAAACAAGATAAGCCAAAGGATGATAGGGTAGTCAAATCCTCCGCGAAGGATGTCGCGGAGCTTAAGGATTATGTACGGATATTACCCCTATGGCCCCGGGGGCATAATCGCTAACGTTGGCATAATGAAGCAATTGGGCGACTGCCTCGGTAAAGGCGCATTTGGGTCGGTCTATAGGGCACTTAATTGGAATACTGGTGAAACAGTCGCTGTGAAGCAAATCAAATTGGCAGATTTGCCAAAGAGCGAACTACGAGTGATAATGGTAACCCCCCGAGTCGTTCGTTGGGGTGCTATCGCTAACACCATTGCGACAGTTGGAAATCGATCTATTGAAGAACCTGGATGTAAGATGCGACTTATACTGTTCGTGAGCCTCCCGAGCTGACCTGTGGTTGCAGCACCCCAATATTGTGAAGTACCAGGGGTTTGTGAAGTCTGTGGAAACTCTAAATATCATACTCGAGTGAGTCCCGTGCCCAGTACCAGCAATATTTGGATTCAACTAACGAGATAGATATTGTGAGAATGGATCTTTACACTCTATCGCAAAGAACTTTGGTCGCTTTCCAGAAAATTTGGTCGGTCTCTACATGTCCCAGGTCCTCCATGGTCTCTTGTATCTGCATGAGCAAGGTGTCATACATCGAGATATCAAAGGAGCCAATATCCTCACCACCAAGGAAGGTCTTGTTAAGCTTGCAGATTTCGGTGTAGCCAGCAGAACCACTGGGCTTAGCGAATCCAGTGTTGTCGGGACGCCCTACTGGATGGCTCCAGAAGTGATTGAACTTTCCGGTGCCACGACCGCTTCGGATATCTGGAGTCTGGGTTGTACCGTGATCGAGCTTCTGGAGGGAAAGCCACCTTATTACAATCTTCAGCCCATGCCGGCTCTATTCCGTATTGTCAATGACGACCACCCTGCTCTTCCCCAGGGTGCTTCTCCGGTCAGTTTCATCTCTTATTCATGTTTTTCGCATCTGACTAGTCCGCAGGCTGTCAAAGACTTCTTGATGCAATGCTTCCAAAAGGACCCTAACCTTCGTGTCTCCGCGAGGAAGCTCCTCAAACACCCCTGGATAGTCAATGCTCGCAGGTCCGATTCTGTGGTTCCCAAGAAATCCACCGAGTATGAGGAAGCGGTCAAGAGTGTCCAGGAATGGAACGAAGCTCTCCGTTCTCCTGACACTGGAACCCTACGAAAACCGTACAGGTATGATACTCAGGGCGCTGCTCCTTTGCGCCCGGATATGGCGCCATCTCGGTACACGCCAACGAAGGATATACTTCCAAGCCCGGTCTCCAAGCATGTGACAGATCGATTCCGCTCGCCGGACTCCACGGAAGAAGACAATTGGGATGATGACTTTGCTACTGCTATTTCCCCCAGCGCGTTACAGCTACCTCACCTCCGGCCACAGGACAACTTCGGAGGGATGCTTTCCTCTGAAAAACTGAAGGCCTTTGCGTCACTGGATGGTACAGTCTTGAGGTCAGATGACGGCTTTGACGACTTTGACGATCCTTTCACTCAGCAGCCTGGTGAATCAGATCCTCTCCGGACGATTCGTCCTTATTCGGCCAAACCGACTGGGGAAAACATGCCCCCCCAGACAAAGGCCACAATATCTGCGATGCACCCTAATGTACCTATTCTCCAGACCCCTGTGCCACCATTAAGACCGCAGCGCCCGACGTCTTATTTCAAGGAAAACTCAGTTGAAGATTATTCCGATCTTATCTCTGCAAACGAAGATGTTTTGGATGATAAACTAAGTGCTTTCCAAGTAAGCTTGAACCTCACTTATATCACACACAGCCCTCTAACAAGTCTCAGGAAATCGACGAGGAGGACAGTGATGTGTCATTTCCCTCGCCTTCGAAGGAGGTAGTCCGGTATCAAGCATTACCGGAGCATGAGGAAGATCATCAGCCCCAGCTCAGAAAGCGGATATCTGTCAAGCGTCACCGGTCGGCAATCGAAATTCAGAAATTCGCCGAAAACGAACGCGATGAGGATTTCTCTGATATTCTCGGAGCTGATGAGGTTGCCCTAGACAAGCCCGAAAGCGATGAAAGTTCTGATCGGAGTACGCTGATGCTAAACTCGAAGTTATCGAATAATTCATGGCTCGGGGATCAAGACGACGAAGATGACCCGTTCGCCCAACTCGAGGAAGGACTCGATGAGATGGACCTGGAAGCCAACATCGCGCGTGACAAATATGCTCGGCTCCGGGGCCAAGTCGAGGGTCTTGTCAGCTCGCTGAAGACTTCTCAAGACGAAGATGTGCTTGGAGAAATCTCGGATCAGCTACTGACCGTCTTCTGTGATCTTCCGGAGACGAAGAATATTATCATGAGCGCTCACGGAATGCTGCCTATTTTAGAAATTCTGGATATGTGCCGTCGCCGCGACATTGTCTTGTGCTTATTACGGATTGTCAACGCCATCATCTTCAATGACTATGAGATCCAAGAAAACCTCTGCTTCGTTGGAGGGATACCCATTATTAACGAGTTCGCCTCTAAGAAGTATCCGCGAGAAATTCGACTGGAGGCTGCAGCCTTCGTGCAGCAGATGTATCAAACGTCCACCCTTACACTGCAGATGTTTGTCAGTGCAGGAGGTCTCAACGTTTTGGTCGAGTTCTTGGAAGATGACTACGAAGATGAGCGCGATCTTGTTCTCATTGGAGTGAACGGTATCTGGAGCGTTTTTGACTTACAGGGATCGACGCCCAAAAATGACTTTTGCAGGATTTTGTCTCGCAACTCTGTCTTGGATCCCCTGTCCCTCGTTTTGAGCCGAGTGTTGGACGAAGAGGGAGAGTTGGCTGAGATTGTTGAGGGTCGGATTGCAAACATTTTCTTCATCTTCTCGCAGGCCGAGAATCATGTCAAGGTGATGGTAGCCGAGCGGACAGTGCTGCATAGTAAGAAACCAGGTGCATCCCCGCTAACATGCTGCTAACATTCCTCCAGGGGTTTTGAAAGAGCTGAAGAGGATGACGCCCGCGCACCAGATTACCATGTTGAAGTTCATCAAAAACTTGTCGATGCTGTCCACGACACTCGACTCCCTGCAGAATTCCAACGCCATCGATGTGCTGACGGACTTGCTGAGGTCGACCATCAAACGGCCGCACTTCCGCGAAGTCTCCAATCAGATTCTGAACACCATCTACAATATGTGTCGTCTGAACAAGTCCCGCCAAGAGGACGCTGCCCTGAATGGTATCGTACCGCTTCTTCAGAAGATCGTGAAAACCGAGCGGCCGCTCAAGGAGTTTGCGTTGCCGATTCTCTGTGACATGGCACACTCCGGGAAAGTCGGACGCCGTGAGTTATGGCGCAACAAGGGTCTCGCTTTTTACATCTCTCTGCTCTCTGATCCGTATTGGCAGGTGACTGCTTTGGACGCGATCTTCACTTGGTATGTATATTTCTCGTGTGACGTGGGTTCGGGCTAACTTTGAGCAGGCTCCAGGAAGAAACGGCCAAGGTTGAGGAGCACCTATTGGACAACCGCTATGACAAGACGTCATTTACGGATTCTATTGTCCGATGCCTGACTGTCTCCAAGGCCAATGCCTTTGAGAACATCCTTGAGCCGCTGCAGAAACTTCTGAGACTGAGTCCGCCGATTGCGTCGACGTTCGCGCGACCCGATCTGTTCATGAGGATAGGACAGAAGCTACACCATAACAAGGCGGCCGTCCGGCTGAACCTTCTCCGCATTATATCGAGCATCTGCGATTCCAGCGAAGAGCAAGGCGGGCTACTTGCGAAATATGGTCTTTTGGAGGCAATCCGAGAATTGGAGCACGATCCAGCCATTCTGGTCCGAGACATGGCTGGCAAGCTCATCCAGTCCAATGAGAAGAGCGAAGCGTTCAGCCTCGAGAAACGCAAACCCGGCATGAGGCGCAAGAGCACTTCCACCACACCCCCCGGCTACCTTGCGAACCAGTCCGCCCCAGCGACCCCACAAATCAATCGGTTCAGTCAACCGAAAGCGTATTTCGACGGGCGGGAAAGCCAACGGCACCCGCGGCCCTCTCTCAGCAGTTCTGCGCTGGCAATGCGACCCGGAAGCCGAGATGGGACGGGGCCTGGTCTCTCGGCCGGACTCAATGGCAGCGCCGGTCCATCAAGAAACCGGCTGTCCCGAGGAGTCGTCAACAGGCTATCACAAGTGGAACTGTTGGCCGAGGAAGAGTCCCGACCATCGAGCTCACTATCTCGTCGACGGTCCATCCTCCCGCAACGCCGGCGGCCGACGCATACTGATGCAGATTGGGCCTCTTAATATCCTTGGTAGGGAAGGCTAGCAGTAATTGGCACGGTGTAGTTGCATTGCATAGGATGGAGTATTGGGGATCTTTTGCTTTACATATGTATACATTCATTTGTGGGTCCGCGCTGGGATGGCCCAGTGGGTTGGAATAGGATCTCAGGCTGGTTTCGGGTATAGGAAGGGGGGATGGCCTGTGTAGATATTCGTTGAGAACATACATTCGGGGATCTTGGGTTGTGTTGTCCATGTGCATGTCGAAAGGATGCTATCTAGTTGTACCTGACAGAGTCTTAAAATCGAGGTGGCGGCAACGGGGATGATCGGCTCCGGTCAGGAAGTGCGACGAAAATGCGCCGCGGCCACTTCTGCAAGTTCGCCGCCGCAACCTCCCCCTCCAGTTCCTCTCCCCCTACATTCGTCCCGAGGGCTTCGTGCTGGCACGAATGATCACGCCGTCCGGTTCACTGCTGCTCTCGACTTGTGGTCGCTCTCCAGACGGCGTTGTTGGTGATCGGGATGAGGGCGGCGCTCCGCATTCCGCTGCGGGCTTCCAATTTTGATCCCGCGGCGGTCATACGATCCTCTTCGAAGCCTTCCCTCGCTATCCCTTCTGCCAATGCTGCTCCGACGGTGTTTCTCCCCCGTCGGTTGATCTCCAGCTCGACTGCATCGTCTCCCGCTCTATGCTCGCAGCGCTTCACCGGCCGTCTCGCCCCTTCCGTACCCCGGGCCACCTATGCCACCCGCACGTCTCCGTTATTCGAGTCGCCAAAAGCAGAACAACATGACAGGAAACAGTCCGGCTCGGGTCAATCGCGCCGCAAGGTCATTAAGTATGCTGTGATTGGGGGTACAATTGTCGTTGGAGCGGTGGTGTTCTCGGATCAAGTCCAGCATCTCTACCGTGCGGCGGCGAGGACAGGAAGAGTGGTGGGCACATTGGCGGTTTGCATCAATGAGTAAGTGGCAAGCAGACATGGCCTGGTCCTCTCGGTGCAACGTACTCATACGATCTACTAGTTACCGGGTGACTCTCAAGCAAGAAACCTCCACGCCGGAGGAACGGAGCGATGCGATTCGAGCCTGCCACAAACGTTGCGCGGAACGGACTCTACGGGTTCTCGAGAAGAATGGATCAATCTTTATCAAACTGGGACAACACTTGAGTAGCATGGGTTATCTGCTTCCGATTGAATGGACTACAACGTTCATCCCACTCCAGGACAAATGCCCCGTATCGTCGATTGAATCTATTGAGAAAATGTTCGTGGCCGATACGGGACGTCCCATCGACGAGCTGTTTTCGTCTTTCGATCCGGAACCCATTGGTGCTGCTTCTCTGGCGCAGGTGCATATCGGTACGCTGAAGGAGACGGGTCAGAAGGTCGCGGTCAAAGTGCAGCATCCGGCGCTGGCGGAATGGGTACCCTTGGACCTGGCGTTGACTCGGTTTACTTTCTCGATGCTGAAACGATTCTTCCCGGAATATGATCTGGAATGGCTCTCGCGGGAAATGGACCTGTCTCTGCCCCAGGAGCTGGATTTCCGGATGGAGGCCGAGAATGCCACGCGGGCGAGCGAGTACTTCAAGAAGCACTCGGATGCTCCGTTGGTTATCCCTGAAGGTATGCGGTCTGAATAGTCTTAATACGCGAGTGTACATGCTAACGCCAGCCAGTTATGTGGTCTCAGAAACGTATCCTGGTCATGGAGTTCATCTCCGGACGACGACCCGACGATCTGGAATTCCTCGACTCGAACCACATTGACCGCGACGAAGTCTCCGCGGCTCTGGCACACATCTTCAACGAGATGATCTTCGGTGACAACGCGCCCCTGCACTGCGATCCCCACGGCGGCAACATCGCCATCCGTCTGAACCCTAACCGCCGTCGGCACAACTTCGACATCGTCCTCTACGACCACGGCCTATACCGCGATATTCCCCAGGACCTTCGCCGCAACTACGCTAAGCTCTGGCTGGCCGTGATCGAATCCGACCTACCTCGCATGCGCGAGTACGCCCGCAAGGTTGCCGGTATCACGGACGAGCAGTTCCCTCTCTTCGCCAGCGCCATCACCGGCCGCGACTACATGGTGCTCAAGAACAAGGACATTACATCGGCCCGGACATCGGCCGAGCGAGACAGCATGTCGGGCTCTCTAGCAGATGGTCTACTACAACAACTCGTTGAACTACTGGGCCAAGTACCCCGGATCATCCTGCTGATCCTCAAGACCAACGACCTGAGTAAGTCATCCACCACCCTCCACCACTTCACTATCTCCATCTAACAGCCCCCAGCCCGCAGCCTCGACGAGAACCTGCACACCCGCCAAGGCCCCGTGCGCACCTTTCTAATCCTCGCCCGCTACGCCACCCGCACTGTCTTCGAAGAGCAAATAGACTCGGTCCACGAATCCGGCGGCCTCCTCCGCCCGCGCAACTTCTGGCGCTTCCTCTGCGCCTGGACGGGATATCTACGCGTGGAGTTGAAGTTATCGGTCTATGAGACTTTGTTGGCCCTAAAGAGTCGGTTTGGGTTCGTTTGATCCTTATTTGTATATTCTCCTTCACCCCCTTTCATCTTTCCTTCTATCTTTTATCCGTGCAGTATGTAAGTAATTTTGATATTGACTAGACGGCATGGCATGGCATGGCATGCATGTGGTGTTGTGCACTGGCGTTTTTCTTTTATTCATATTGTTGTTAGACCTGCTTTGTTTTTTGCTATATATTGCAAAAGAAGCTGTATACTTACCCATCTATTTTTATATCTATCTATCTATATAGAATTTTCCTTGACTAGCTATTGCTTATATCCCCATATTTGACTACCTACGGACCAACCAACTACCCAACCAATTAACTTAAATAAAACTGCATTATCAATATCAACCCTACTTTACACTAACACCTACCTGCACATCAGAACCAGGAAAGCGGGGGGGAGGTAAGTAGGTACTAGGTACCCTGCGAGAAATTCCCACACACCCGCCCTTCCATATCCAGAATAGTCCTTAGCACATCGTATGATCGTATGATCTCACCTCTACAGCCTTATCAGATCACGCTAGGATTTTTTTAAGCTTATTGTTTCAGCCCTATAGGTAGGTACCTTAGTAATTTACTATGTACTATGTAGGTACTAAAGTATTAGTATGTATATAGAAGGATTATCAGATCGGGTTCTTGCGTCATGGTATGGATGGCTTGATATGGATGGCATGGCATGATGTCAGTGGGTGGCGAATCAGATAATTGTTTTATTCACTGTAGTATACGAATTGATTACTATCAGGTAGTATGTAATATGGGTGTTTGGTAAAGAGGGGGGAGTTGTCTTATTCGAGTCATCTTGGATTCAAGTTGTATATGTATAATTCGAACAAGCAACGATTCCGTCCTGCATTGCCTTGTCTTGCGTTGCTGAGAAAAAAAAAGAAGAAAACGAAACCAGTAAGTGAAATGCTATACATCATTATTGAGAGACAAAAGAAACATGTAAAAGAAAATTCCGAGTCCTGTCCAAGCTATTTGTGGGAATCACAACGTGTTCGTTCGATCCATCCGAACATTTTATCACGCTCACACTCACTCGACCCCACTGCAGTGTATCATTCTGCTATCATCTCTCTCTCTCCAGGAATCAATCAATTAATCAATCAATCAGCGGGAATCATGGTATCTGTATCCGTATCCGAAGCCCCCGACTTTTGCACCTTTTTTTTTCATCGTTTTGAATTTTTCACGGTTTTCAATCTAGGGGAACTTGTAGAGCGTGGGAGATCTAGGCAGTGGCACTGCTAGTCTGCTCCACCTCCACTTGCACCTGAGGGATCGAGGCGCCCGTGCCCGACAGATCGGTCTTCTGGGCGCGAGGGTTCTTGGTGTAGTAATCCGAGATGGCGGACTTGATGGCGTCTTCGGCAAGCATGGAGCAGTGCACTGTTCCATTCAGTCGTTAGTACATATGCATTTCCAGATAATTCCTATCTTCTATTCTTTTCTTTTTTTGGGAGGGCGGTAGGTAGAAACGTACGCTTAACAGGAGGCAAGCACAGTTCCTTGGCGATATCCGTGTTGCGGATCTTGGCCGCCTCATCGAGGGTCATACCGCGAACCAACTCGGTCAAATAACTTGAGCTAGCAATAGCACTACCGCAGCCGAAAGTCTTGAACTTGACGTCGCTGATCTTGTGGGTGTCCTTGTCGACGCGGATCTGGAGCTTCATGACGTCGCCGCAGGCCGGAGCACCGACGAGACCGGTGCCAACGTCCACGGACTTGGCCATCGAGCCAACGTTACCTGTTGATTTTGGATCAGTATTTTTTGGTTCTGCTTGATGGCGATGATGCGCTGCGTGAATATGGGATGGATTCTGATGTTGGAGATGCTGTCGAGGGATAAATGTATGGGTCTACCTACGTGGGTTGGAGTAGTGGTCCAACAGTTCATGGATAGTCAGTATTTTCCTCATTTATATCAGAATTTCACAGGTAGATGGACATATCTTTCTCATGGTATCCTCTGCGCTGCTGGGGAGCAACAGTGGCTCTCACAGTCTGCTGGATGCCGGAGACGGCCGGGGTGATGGTGCGAGGCGCGAGAACGCCGGAGCGAGGAACAACGGTGACGAGACGACGGAACATGGTTGTGTGTGATTGAGGGGAGTTGAGTGGTGATTAAAAGGGTATATTGGGGATGAAGATAGGGTGAAGGCGTGGGGGGAAGAAGCGAAGTGATGTGATGAAAGATTGATAGTTGCGATTGATTAATTATGGTTTCTTGGGGGGGCTCGACTAGGCCGTCTTATTCACCGGCGCTAGGCGATTTCCAGAAACCCCGTCGCCTCCGCGGAACCGGCCTCGGAGTCGGTCGGAGATAGGCAATGACGTTGGCGAACCGGTGGGTAAGTGCGTAGGGCGGTGGTGATTTGTCGGGAATCTTGGGGAGAGACGGATCTGATTGACCGGGAGTCAGGACACGTTGGAGCAATAAGTACTAATCTCCCTGAGCTTTGCTGTTATCTGGGCGTGGCATTCATCGCCAGGGTCGAGGGACTTCTGGGTCCGCCCGGCAGTTCGGCCAACGGGAACTCCTGCAGGCGCGATTACCAAGCCGTACGAACAACCGCGGCGGGCGGTATCGTAAGGATGGGCTTATCGGCTCGCCCTCCATCTGATAATCCCTCGGATTATCCCGGCCCGGGCTTACTCTAGAGGATATCAAGTTAGTACTGTGTATGTACGGACTGCCTTGGTCGAGGTGCTCTTCTAGCCAACAACAAAGGCACGGGTCTCCCGCCAGATTCAGAGATAATAATCAACTATGGCCGGAAAGACTCTAGGCCGATCATCGGGGGTGAGTCATTATTTTCTTTCTTACTATCGAGATAGGTGTAGTCGGGTCATGACAGTATATATTTTCCCGAACAGGATGTCCAAAGCGATCAATTGTAGCGTTTCATTATCCATATTTATTAACATGAACCCAATGAACAACAGTCCTTGAATGCCCCCATAGCCGCCTTCACCATGGCGCTGCTTCTAGGATCCTACTGCATCAGTTCAATTCACACCGCTCGTCGCGAGGCACAATCCGCATCGAGTACCACCACCACGCCCCGGGCGAAGAGGACAGAGTCGCAGTCTTCATGGGTGCAGCAAGCACTGGAGGAAAGTCGGGAAGAAAAGGGGTCTAATTGATGGTGCAATTGTACAACTACATTAATCGAAGGACGTCCAAGAGATTTTCAAACTTTGAAATGAATATTTCCATTGAACCACACTAAACTAGCAAAGCAACCCAGACAACAAGCACCATATCAATCAATCCATTATCAGAATTTTCAGTGTATCAATGATCATGTCCATGTTTGAAAACAGGATCTACCATTAAAAATTATTCATCATATAAATGGAATTAAATGATAGTCGATTTTCCCGCCGATAAACAGAAACATTAATACCCAGTAAACCATTTTACTGGCTTAATGAGAATGGTGTACCAGTCGAGTAGGTACATCGTAAGCGTAAGCTCAAGCATAAGCATAAGCACATCATTGAGCTGAGCATGACAGCCAACTGCCGGTTAATATGGCTTCATATAGCCATTCCCGGCAGGGTTGTTGGGTGAAAATAACTCGCAGAGAATTTTGCCGGCGGTTTTAGTGTGTGTGCCTCACGTGATTTTCCCGGTGATGTCATGGGATAACGGCGGGAAAAGAGGGGAAGATGTGATGCATCTGCATGCACAAGTCACCAGTCACCACGTAAGATCTCTAATCAAATGGACAGTCTGCCTTACAGTGATCTGGATGACCCAGGGGAACGAGTTGGTGTATCTACAATTCAATTGCGACTCTATTGAAATGGAAAACAAGAACGCTCAGAACTAAACCACCGAGTAATCAAAGGACAAGCTGCAGCTTCACATGTCAGAAAATCTCTGGACTATCCTAACTCCGCAGCGGGAGCACCGTGCCGAGGGTATCTCTGAACAATGAAAGCAGCTGCATAGGCGGCAGCCCAGATAATGAATGTTCTCTATGATAGTGTATCTCGCGATGTACGACTAGCAGAGAACAAAGAAATCGCTGGCACGAGGTGCGAGACAGCCCAGCATACACACGACGCCGCTGCTCAACACCTGGATATGGACAATGTCTAGTATTAAACCCCATCCTCCGCTTTAGCCTCCAGCATCTGCAGCTTCATCTCCCCCTCATGTTGTATGTGTCCTATCGTTTTCTTCAGATACTCATATGTAAGCATCGTAGTCATCGCAGCCGGGACAGCCCGGAACAAGTTCGTGCCAATCCCCGAGTAGAACGCACGCCAGCCTTCTTCTCTCAGAATGGTCTGACACGTGCGAACAATGCCCGCATACCGGGGTCGGTTGGGCATCCCGTCCGACGATGCTGCACCCGGACGCCTGCCACGGTCCTGAGGATGGTCAATTCCACCGCGGAATGAAATCTCTTCTGGCGAGTTTACCGGTGATGTCCTCTGCTGCGTCTGGAGTCGGGTCCGAAGCACTTCATGCGGGTATGTCACAGTGCTGGCACAGACTTTGCTCAGGAAGGTCGCAGACGTAATGCCCATCCAGTGCGAGCTGCCAGTATCGGGATGTTCGCCAATTCCATAACCAGTAAATGCCATCTTCAAGTATTCGTAGAGCGGGAATTGGATGGCGACATGCGCCAGCCCCAGCAGCGCTGGAGTCAGGCCAGAATAGAACGAGCGGATCCCCTCGCTTTTGTACATTTTGCGAGCAGCATCCCACGTGCTGTTGTATTGCCAGGGAGCCCTGTAGCCCTCGCTGCTTGCCCGAAGGCTTTGAGACATGAGTCGGGTTTTAATGACCCATATCGGATTGGTCGCTAGTGTTGAGCAAGCACCCGCCGTTATCGAAGCGTAGCCTCTCGATAGCCACCAGCTGTCTGTTCAAATGTCAGTGCCACCGTCATACGTCCCGGATCATCAATCCTCACCAGTCGTTTCGTAAAAGTACTCCCGAGACCGATCGTAGACAGCTAAATAGACCGCCCACGTCGGGAGATATCCCAGGAGCATGGGGCCCAGCCCTTGATAAAGGCCTCGAATGCCATCCTCGCGCCAGATCACCCTTCCGGTCCCTAACATGCCTCGGTATAGTGTTTTGGCCTCAACCGCCTTGCCCCGTCGCCGTGCGAACCCACCCTGAGCCTGCAACTTTGTCTTAATCACATCGAGCGGACAGGTCACGATCCCCGATGCAACACCCGCACTGGCCCCGCAGAACGGAGTGATGTAGAAGTCTGGCACACGCGTAGAAAGCATCTCAAGGCGGTCGCGAAACGTCGGGTTGAACGAAGACTCGGCCGAAACATGGAGGGTAGACGACGGCGGGCTGTCCGAAGTGGTGCTCTGCTGCTCTTGGGAGCCGTCGGCAGTCCCCGAAGGGCCATGCCCTTCAGTAAACATCTTTTCAGCCAGCGCCCGAGCAGTAAGCTATCCGTCTACTATATCACCGAGGGTTCCCGGATCCGAGCATATCGGTGCTCGCTCCGGAACCCAAAGAACCGTTATCAAATCGTGGTGAGGGGGAGGCGTGACGTCGTGCGCGGCACTTGTCGAAAGGGAAAACCACCCTGACGCAGTGAATTGAAAGGACCTCTGCCGGACTAATTTGCGTAATAAGGTAGCCCTATCTGAAGCACAGACGGGGGCGGGGTTTGTAGGAGCAACGCAGCTCCCCTATCGGAGCGAAAGGAAACGATCTGGGAAAAATGTTCAACGGCTTGGTAATAACCGGCAGGCCCAGCCAGTGACGAACCGAAGACGTATAGTTATAGCGAAACCCCCGGCGTGAAGTCCGAGCAGAAGGGAGCGCCGGTGTGGACGATCAGGACGGAACCAGACGGAGCAATGAGGACGGGATGAATTGCACACTGGAGGTCGTCTTAGTTCGTATTCAGTAATCAGTCAGGTGGAGTGGAGTCTGAGTCTTAGTGAATCCACTCGCGCTTGTCCGCCTCCAAGCGTTGCGGCCTGAGGCAGAGATGGCGCTGAAGATACTCGTCACGTGGAATGCCCATTCTCTCGGAATGAACCGTTGCCTCAGGCCCCCACATCGGATGTTTTTGGGAAAGTCACCCGCCGAACCTCCGTTTTGCACAATCTCCAACGTCGGGCCATCTCCTGCTCAGCTCGAACTGACATTTCGCGATCCTCCCCCTCCACACCACCCCGTCAATTGGACCCCAACACACCCACCGCCGGGATCAATCATCATGTCCGCTCCCTCCCTCGCCAACTACATCGTCAAGCGCCCATGGCTCAAGCGCTGGATGATGCCCATTGCCCAGTGGTACACCGACGCCTCCGGCTACAGGAGACTCGGCTTGAGGTATACATTCCCTTCCTGGCTTCCCGGCCAATTTCAGCGATCATGGATATTGGATCATGGACGTCCTCAATTGCGGGAATATCACCCATGTCCATATCACATTCCCCTCGCCGCTGGTCCGGGGATAAGTCCCATACATCCAACCTACCTACCTACCTTGGAAGCAATCCCAGCTAACCCACTAACCAGGGCCGATGACCTGATCCCCGAGGAGAACGACGTCGTCCAGAAGGCTCTCAAGCGTCTTCCTCCCAAGGAGGCCTACGACCGTGTCTTCCGTATCCGCAGAGCATTCCAGGTTCGTCCCAACTCAACAACCACCCACCAGAACGAACCAAGAAACCAAACCTAATCAAACCCGCGTCACAGTGCTCCATCTCCCACACTCTCCTCCCCGCTGCTGAGCAGACCAAGCCCGCCGAGGTGAGTCGATTCGATTTCATGCCCTCCCTTGACAATCTACCCGTTTAGTTCTCCGCAATACGCATCGGCCAATCCCGTGAGCGGGATTTATAACCCAACTGGGTCCCCTCATGAGCTTTATACCTTGACATGTATTACAATCCCATGATACTAACCATGATAAATAGGATGTCGAATACCTGAGCCCCATCATCCGCGAGATCGAGAAGGAGAACAAGGAGCGCGAGGACCTCGACGCCCTCGTCGTCAGACGGTAAATGGGCCTCGCCCCTCGCCTCCCTCATCATTGACTAGATTCGGTTCCGTTGTTCCGGTATACAATAAAAATGCCGCTGGGGTTTATAGACGGGTGGGGATAGGTTTCAGATGTGCTGTTCACTGTCCGGCTCGGCGGTCATGCTGCGAGAGAGAAGCATTTGGCTGGTCGTTAATTGAAGGAAGGAAGGAAGCTTTTGATTTTGGTGCGAAATCATGTGTACGGATACTGTACAAATTCATTCGTCGTTGTCGTTGTCGTTCTTTAGGCTGTTTTGGGTGTCGTAGTTGTGTGGTGTCTTGGTATTATTCCTCGAGCTTATTCCACGAGTAACATATGGGATATTATGGCCGTGGTACGGATATGAGGGTTAAACAGCTGAACGCCTCACATATACACCCCGATAAATAGGTCTAGGTAGGCATGTCCCTGTCTCACACAGGGCCTACATAGTATATACTACCCAAAACTCCAATGACATACACCCATCAAATCCACCTAATACATCCCGTGCAGATAGCAGCTCTATATCCCCTCTAAGCAGTCATCACCGTAATATTGACATCCGTCACTCGCCACATATACCACATGAACAAGCTCCTACAAACATCAGAATACAAATCGCATACGCATCCAAGGAAAAAACATACCTATACGGGGCAAACTTCGCAGCCAGCTCTAGCATATCTTTCTCAGCCATATACTTGAACTTACCACCGCCCTTTCCCTTCAATTTGCTTACATCCTTGCCAATGAACACGGCACAACCTCTCCTACTACAGATTAGCAGCTATTCATCCCATCCTAGCGATATCACTTCGACGTACTGTACACCCAAATCACCCGTCGAGAACACATCTATACGCTTCAAGGCAAAGCAAGCAAACATCTCAACGGACCATTTGCCTAAGCCTCGTACAGCGGTTAATTTCTCGACGAGTTCCTCGTCGCTAGCATTCAATAACATCCGGGCACTCAATTCACCACTTGCGAACTTCTCAGATAGTCCGTGTATGTATTCTGCTTTTCGCTGAGATAGACCAGCTGTTCGGAGTGTAGTGATATCCATTTTGATGATCTCTTCCGGCGTGGGGAACTTTTCTCTAGCTCCATCGCTATCGGTATGGAATAGCGCCACAAATTTATCCTTAATTGATTTGGCCGCTGCGCCGGACACCTGTTGTCCGATGATGCTGCTGACTAGGCTTTGAAACGGATCGATCTGCTCGGCTAGGCCCTCGGGGGTAAATAGTGGACAAGGATGTTCCTTGATGACGGGGTCAAGTCGCGGGTCGGTGGCGATCAGATGCGCAATGGCTTTCTCGAGTAGTGTGCCTGTCGTGGCGATTGGACGAGGTCGGCCTGTCTTGCTTGGTGATGCATCCTCCGTGCCGGGCGGGTATGCAACCAGTGATGAGCCATGGGGAGTGAGGAGCGTTGCGTTGGTCCTGTGCGGTTCGACCGGTCGGTCAAGCGGGGGAGGGGTGGAATGTGGTCTGCTAATGCTGTTATCAGTGGGTGAGGGGTCCCAGATGTTAGTGCTAGGCGTTTTTGTTGTTGCTGCTGCTGATGATGGTGCCTTGGTTGTGTCTGCGAGGGGAGGTGGTTCTAATTTAGGATTCGATTTTAGGTTCAGCGCCTTTTTGCCCCTTGCTGTAGGCTTTCGTGCTTTTGAGACCCCGTTGGTGCTGGCGGGCCTGTTGGCTCGCTTGATTGGGATAGCTGGTTGCAGGACCGGGATGGGGGTGTTGGACACTGCGCTCAGACGAGCGGAACGTCGTAGAGTCATCATAGAGCTGCCTTTGTAGGGGGAGAACCTGCAATTCAGGTTATGATTGTTGTATTGGGTTTATTGATGTGATTGTTAGTGATCATGGCTGGTCATGGAGCTGTCGTTGGAGGAACATGAGGACGGAGTACATAAGCTCGGGAAGTCACGAGCAGCTCAGCTCGTGTCCAGACCAGTACCCATCTCCTGGCTGGTTTGCAGCCAGTCAGTTTCCATACCGCTCTTGTTGTGATTTCCACTGCATGGTGAGCTCTCATCCCCCGCATTTGGGAGATGCAAAACACCCATGTTTCAGTTGGTGTTTGCTAATGTCATATGACATACTTTAAACCCGCCGTATGTTGAGCAACATCAGCGTGCAGAACACGGGCTATTGGGACTCAAGGAATATGCAAATTGAGAATCCTGGTCTGGGAAATGCAGGCCAAGCCCATGATGAATCCAAATGGTCCATAGATCTTGATTTTGGCGGACTAAGCCGTCGTTCACTCCGACTGGATGGCAGCGACTGTGCTGCGTTGTCAATCCCCTAGCTAAAAATATACCACGACTGTCTTTACATCCCCGTGACTCTCTCTCCTATCCACCTTGAATTATGTAGCCCCATTTGCAGTCCTCGGATGATTTTCTGGAAAGATCACAAGGATGGAAGATTTACCCGACAGGGAAAAAGTCTCGGAGTAAAATGAATTATGGATCGCACGATGCGTAGGCATCAACCATCGCGAAAAAAATTATACAGAAAGCTTTCATCAAAACCAAACGTTGCGATTCTATTATCGGAAAGGAAACAGTCCGATTGGTCGTGTTTCACAGGTCATCTGTTGTCCTCGTAGGCTCCAATCCGACGTTCGCAGCGAGAAACGCACGGCGTTGGTCATGATAAGATGCGGAATGTCACCGAGGAATCACAACCTGAGTGGCGGAGGTGGCAGAAACTAGAGTTAGACAAGCACGACCGTACAACAGTCGTACGGCAGTGGGAGCTTGCGTCATCTGCAAAACCGGTCAAGGCAAAAGCCGTTGAGCATCCACCTTGTTGATGGCCCAGCCACTACGGAGTACGCTGTCCAACCTCTGATGGTTGATAGTAAGGTGCGTGGCCGCGACTAGCGAAGACTTACCAAGGTATAGTACAGTCGGTTCCATGGCTTGATAGGTTTATCCGTAGTAGCTAGTCTAGTCCTCAAAGTGAATAAGCGATACATAGATAGGGGGCGACGACAGCCATCGGTCGATGGCGAGGACGAAAGTCCATCGGGCATCACCAGGAAATTCCCGGAATTGGTAGTTTATCCCGTCCTGGTATACAAACAAGCATCAAGCTCTGCTGAGCATCTGACCCCGAGAAAAGCTTCGCTTTCAAAGGCAGAGGGCATACGTTGCTTGCCCCGCTTATCAAGACCGTGAACGGTGTTCAAGGTCCATGGGTGGCCAATTAAAGGGGGTCTGTGTTGGGCATGTTACTATGGCGATGGCTGGGTGAGTTGTCAAGACAGATCCCTTATGCTAACAGCCAAGTCCAGACATGACAGGGGTATGGAGATAGATTATGGTTAATATGACGGGGAACAAAGGATCCTACGGTATCATTGTGGCTTACCCCTCGACAGTCGAACCATAGAATGGTCCCCCATTTCCGGATCTCGGTTCATCAGTGCTAGACGATCTACAGAGTACTGCCAGATCCCCATCAAGCGAAGAACTGTAACTGGTTGTTCTTCTACCAGCCCCTCGACATCATATCGTTGTCATCAGGGTTGGATGCGTCAGACTGGAAGGCCATATCCATTCTTATCAGGCAGGAGTGGGCTAGCCTGTTCCAGCCACCCGCGTCTAGTGGCGTTGGGGAGAACGTGCTCGCTGGTAAGATTATCTCCTAAGTACTCCGTACATAGTAAAGTACAGGCGCTTTGTTACCAAGCGTCGCGGTTTGAAACATCGGCAATGAAAGACGTGCGCTGCTCATCATCAGGCCGAGGCTCAGAAGGTATCGGTATCTAGCATCTGAGATGCCACCATCGTTAACTCCGGATATGATGACCATAAATAACCATCCATCGCAAGGGCGTGTCGCGCCACTTAAAGGAGGAGATTATCTCCCAGGGAAGGTCCAAATATTGCGACGGATAGCTGTGGAGTTGCACTGGGTCTGATAGCTGAAGAACTCTAAACGGATCGAGCAAGAACAAGCAATAGTGGCAGCGAGCACGGCGATCGCATGGTCCGGATTGATATTGCGCGCGGGATCTCCTCGCAGGCCACTCACGCTTATTCCTTTTTGTGACGGGCCAGAATAATAATGACGGCCTCCCTTACAGCGCATAGAAACTTGGCCTCTGCAACCGTCCGGTCCTGAGTGCCCGATGCGATGGATTGTTTGCCGTCAAGCCACAGCCCAAGACCTGCCATCGTGTCATATCCTGGATGTTTCGAGTAATCGCCACTATGACTCGATTAGCAGAGAGTAATGCGCCTATGGCAGCCGCTTTGGCGTTGGTGTCTATCGTCTTATCCAGCCGGCCAATTTCGATCGTGTATGGTAAGTAAGATACGCTGACTAGGAATTACCGAACCAGCTCTCGGAGTACTTTGTGTCCAGGCCAAGTGGGGGCCACTAGAATAGGTATGGGAGTTACAGCCGTGTTACGTACAACTGTATGCAGCACGTGATGTGCTCTACCAGAACCACCAAGTCGCCACTTTATTCTTAGCTTCCTGTGAGGGTTGTTTGTTATGATTCGGTATCCACCGGTACCTGAAGCCAAGACGAGAATTGAGTTTTCAGGCATGAGGCCTAGCACATTCATCTTGGAAGTCAAGAAACAACATCGACATCGCAAGAATGGGTGCAAACGGATCACAGTCGTGCCAAAAAATGGCCGTGGAACTCTTTTCCCTCTAGCATCGTCTTCCAGTTTCCATGTGCCTACGTGTCAGGCGGCGATGTCTTAAGGCATCTGGGTAGGCGACCGAATTCCAACCTGCGAACAGGGCGCTGCATACCAACGTAAGGCAGGCAAAGGCTTCTCCAGGTACCAAGTCGAGTCCTCAGTGGGAAGAAAGCGGGTCTCATTCAGATTCCAATAAATTCAGATCGACCACTACGCAGCAACCTGACTCCATAGGTGTTGTTGCTAACTAGATAGTATCAATATTAGCATTCTCAAAAGCACTGTGGTGTCACCCTCCATGCTGGACATGGACATGGAAGGGCAGATGATATGGCTGCTGTAGTGCTGCTAAGAGGAAAAGGGATGACTCTGGCGAAGGGAAGGAGTGAAGGGATAACGGTCCAGAGGCATAGATAGATCCGGTGGCAGTTAATGAGATACATGTATATTGTCTGCTGGTATAGGCTGCTAATATTAGTCAGGACCTCCCTAACAATGTGCGATTGGGGTCTGGCCCCTCCTAGCGGCAGGATGCTATATTTGTCAGTATTGTTACCTGCCACAACGAGTGTCCGTGATGTATCGAGTCGCATTCCATCAGAGAAGTCATCTGTCAGTTGCAGTTGGGGTTCGAAGGTTGCGGACTTGCACAATTCGGACTGTTTCAGTATTGAGATGCAGATGCTGGGGCGATGCCAGTGTACGTAAGTAAGTACTAGACTTGCTCACAGGTCAGATCTGGTATCATGGTATGACGTCTGCTGGACACTGGGATGAGATGAGATGCCCCCCCCTCCTTTCGCCATCACAATGGAAACGGGGCCATACCTTGAATACAATCAATAATACAGTAGAAGTTGCCTGGTTTGAGTCCGATCCAAGCTGCGTCGGCTCGAGGATCGAACAACCAGCGGCGACGGGGAAGAAGGGGGGAGGGGGGAAAGGGAGGGGCGAGCGAATCAGCAGGCGCATGGGGGCTTGGCCATTGGCGAGGTGTTACAGGATGGAGCAGACTAGGAGGAACGGACTCGTTTCCGGGTCCAAGATCAGGATTCCACTGGGTGGGCGTTGCTCGATTCTTTTTCCGCTCCCCGTTACCGTGGCCAATGAGTCCCGAAGTTAATTAAACCCAGGCGGCGGTAATTTACGGTACGGGCAGCGTCCATACGGCGTCCGGTAACGTCGCAAGGAGAACCCCCGGTCTCAGGTCCACCAGCCTCGGGGCCGCGACTCCTTTCTTGCCTTGGTTGTCCTCCCTGAAAGTCTTCCCACTTTCTTGAAGTTTTCTTTTCCAGCCATCCAGTCCTTCCCTTCCTCTCGTTTCTTTCCTCTTTCCTCTGTCCTTCCTTCCCTTCTTCCCCCGTGCAAATCGTGCCTGCCTATCCCGCGCACTTTCTCTCGCTGAGGGTCTTCGCTAAACAGCTTCTCTTTCGTTGAAGCTCCCCTTCTTTCACTCGCTCGCTTATTTATTGTCTCACAACCCCCCTTCCAGCTTTTACGCTGTTATCCGTGTCAACAAAGGGCCTTGCCTCGCCCCAGCCTGCATACTTAATCCATACCCGTCATTGGTAGGTCGACTTTCTTTCACCACTCCTGGGCCTGTCGGTTGCATGATCGATCTTGGCTTCGTTGTACTGCGGTTTCGTTGGGACTTGGATGCAATTAAAGGCGAGCATTGGTGACTGACATCTCTCGACTATACAGTCTCAAGTTATCCTAAACAATGGCCTTCGTCAAATACGCCCTCCCCGTTGTTGCTGCGGCCCAGGCCGCCCTGGCTGCCAGTGAGTACTGCCAGCGATGGATTGAGTGATGAACGAATGTCAGGAACTGATCGATAATGTAGGCTGTGGCTCCACGGACAGCACCATCACCATCAGCAGCCAGAGTGACCTCGACTCCTATGCCACCTGCCCGACCCTTAAGGGTAACGTCGAGATCAGCGAGCACGCCTCCGGTGATCTCACCCTCAGCGGTGTTTACTCCATCACTGGTGGCCTAAGCTGCACCGACGGCAGCAACATCACTTCCCTCAGCTCTTCCTCCCTGTCCTCCATTGGCGAAGCCTTCAAGCTGGACGGTCTTACCACCCTCACCACCCTCAGCTTCACCAATCTCACCAGCGTTGGCTCCATCTCCTGGACCGCTCTCCCCGAGCTCCAGGCCCTTGACTTCACTAAGGGTGTTTCCCAGGCCGGCAGCGTCGAGATCACCAACACTGGTCTCACCAGCTTGGACGGTATCTCCCTCAAGACCGTTGGTGCCTTCGATATCACCGAGAACACCAACCTGAAGACCGTCAACGTTAACGAGCTCACCAACGCCACTGGTCTGATCAACTTCGCTGGTAACTTGGACTCCCTGGAGATTATCCTCCCCAACCTGGGCACTGGTACCAACATGACCATCCGCAACGTCAGCGGTGTCTCTCTCCCCTCTCTCGAGACCCTTAGCGGTCAGCTCGGCTTCTGGGGCAACACCTTCAACAACTTCAGCGCTCCCAACCTCACCAGCACTGCTGACTTGGTCTTCGATGACAACACCAAGCTCGCCAACATCAGCATGCCCGTGCTGAAGACCGTCAACGGTGGTTTCCAGATTGCTCGTAACGACAAGCTCAAGGGCATCGACTTCCCCGACCTTAAGGAGGTCACTGGTGCCATTGACTTCAGCGGTGACTTCGACTCGTAAGTTTCCGTGTGGCTGTCCGGGTAGAATTTCCATGCTAACGCATATGTGCAGTGTTTCCCTGTCTGCTCTGACCGAGGTCAAGGGTGGATTCAACATGCAGAGCACCGGTAACTTCAGCTGCAGCGCCTTCAAGACCCTGCGTGAGAACAACGTCATCCGCGGTACCTACACTTGCAAGGCCAGCACCACCGACCCCACCACCAGCGATGGCTCCTCCGGCACCACCACCTCGACCACCTCCAGCGGCACCTCCTCGGCCACCTCCAGCGACAGCGCCTCGGTCATGAACGTGGCCAACCTGCCCGCTCTTGGCCTGGCTGCCATCATCGGTGCCGTGTTCGCTCTGTAAAGGACCTTTGATACCAAGCATTTGCGTGTACGCTTTTTTGAACCCTTTAACATGGTCGTGTAAAGTTGCCTAATAAGCAATTGGTTCCTTAATCCCAATTCCAGTACTCTCTGCTGTTCTTATGATAATAATTGAATATCGGTTGTTTGAGCCACCTGCGCATGGGCGAGGCTTGTTCCTCGGGAGATGAAATGTTGTTGCTTTTTCTTTTCCTTTTGAGCCTCTGGTCGACGGTGGGTGGCGGGTAAATGTACTGGGTACTGGTACTAGTACTAGTACTAGTACTACGGGGGACGGACCGGCCACCTGGCGATTGGCGGTGGCTGGGCGGCGGTCAAGCCCCTTTCCCTCGCGGCCGGTGAGCTGTCGCATGGTTGAGTTATTTGATAGACGTTCCTTTGCAGTTGACATGCGCTTGCTACATGACAGTACTTATGTTGTTGTTCTCTTTTACCCTTTGACTTCGTCGTCCATAATTTACGTCTTTTCTGATCTGGGATGGCCATGGTACGTGGTGTATCTACACTCTCCGTACACACGAGTATACTACTACGTACCCCAGTACCTACTATGTATAATATAATCGTAGCAGCGGGCACCGTCTCGTGCGGTGGGTAGCAGCAGACCGTGGCGACGGAAAGTTAAAGCCCGCCCAGATGACCAGGTGCATCCATTCATGCACTCCCTGCTGGGGGAGGCTACGACAGCTCCGAAGCGGCCCCAGCCAGGCGACATCATAGAGGCCTCGCGTGCTTTCTCCTACGTACCTACGTAGGGCCTAGATGGCCTACTTACTGCTTTGGGTAGGTCCATTCGGAGTCAAGTCCCAGTTATATCCAAATCCAGCCTCGTCGATCTGAGGCATCGTGACGGTCTTCCCATTCGGGTGTTGGATGGGTGGGTAGCTGCATCCCATCCCATCCTGGGCTGGGTGGGCTGTGGGCTGCGTGGATCATTGACTTTCTGCCCCCTCCCCCCCGAGATTTTGTTGCGCATTGCGAAGGGATTGGATAGTTAAATGAATCTTTGGTACTGAATGTAGTTGGATGGATATATGCTTTGGTGTTGAGTGCAGGTGGTTTAATTTGGAATGGATGGGTGGAGGGATGGGCATGGGCGAGGTAGGTAGGTAGGTAGGTAGGTAGGTGGCCTTTTGAGGAAAAGTAGGGAAGGTACTCCGGAGGTACTTAGGTACATTGGATTAGATTGGAATTTGGGTGGGTTAGTGTAGGTACTAGGGAGGTAGGGAGGTAGGTGATGTGTCATTTTGGGGGGAGTAAATAGGTTGTGGATTTGGATTTGGGGGATTCTTCAGGTAGGTACTGGTAGGTAGAGCGAGAGAGGGTTGTGTGTACTGGTGTTGATGATGATGATGATGATGTTGTTGTTGTTGTTGTTTGTTTAGATAGAAAGTGATGGAGATATGTATGTATCAATCTAGATAAGTGTTGAAGGTATCTTGGTGCTGGTTGCCTTATTTAGGATAGTATTCAAGTTTCTTGCTAGTAGTATCACGTGAAGAAAGCATTGTTTATACATATACATACACAATATGAAGAGCCCTCGAGGGAGCGTTTGTTCTTGTTTGTTTGTTTGTTTCTTGTTCATCATTCATCATTCATCAACCAAGCAAGGTATCTATTGCCATTGACTTTCACTTTGAAATTCCCAATAACCAGAGTCAAATAGATTGCTGGATCGATACATAGAAAACACTATATCCCCTCCAGCCACACCGCATAATCATAATCTATACTTCATACTCCATACTTCATGCTTCCTTACCCATGCTATCTATCTACTATTTCCTATCTCAACGCCGAATATAACCTCGTAGAAAGTATCAATCGACCTAGGTTCCAGAACGTACAGTGGCCGGATGATTTTCCCTAGTTTAGTGGGTGGGTGGATGGGTGGGTGCGTGGGCCACCAGCACTATCACCCACGATGGATGATGGATCTAAACTGAGACGAACTAACTAACTATCTAAATAATTGTCACTCTTGGAGGCTGATATCGGGATACCACATTCGGATGGTTGTTGTGCCTTCTTGGTATCTTGGCCTGCGAACGGACATGTTCTGGGGGGGAGGCCAAGGCGACGAACGAGTGATGAACTCTAAATACGATCATGGGGATGGTTGTCGTCGTACAGTGGAAGGTACCTTTGTTTCAGGTGATGGACTATCTTTCCGGAGGGAAAAGAGCCATGTCCGTGCGGGGATGTGGGCGAGGATCAATAGAGTACGGAGTACGTATCTAGACCCCAAATTAAAGGGTGACCACTTACCCGGAATGACTCCAAAATTGACCTATTCGTGTCGAGAAGGAGCATTGAGAGGAGGATGGAGAGAGGATGACAGGGCTAATATGATAGATAAACGGATAGTCGATGCCTTGCATCTGCGGGATGCCTCAGGTTCGCCGGCTTAGGGCTAGGCCGGACAAGAATAGTATAGCCTGAGGAATTGCCTTCGGAGATCTACGACGCTCCTCCTCCGGCTGTATGCGACGTCCAGTGTCTAGGTGCTACGGCTGAAGGCCTGGATCGGGCTCTTGTGGCGACGAGCACAGCATCGTCTGGAGATAGCCTAGTCAGGTGCCTATTTGTCTGAGTCCCTTCCGCCCCAAGTTTGAGGCGAAGGCCGAAGCGAAGGCAAGGTGGTGGCCATAGATACCTGGAATCGGACGGATGCAGAAATAGATGAAGATGGGTCTTTCATTGCAGGACGATGGGGACGGCGTACGCCGGATGGAATGATGGAATCCCGGGAGAAGGACGCTCCCTTGGGGGACTCTGAAACACTGGCACGAGTTGCTTGAGCCTTGCTGGCGGCAATGGTCGTGCCTTGGTTTGTTTTCAATATTCCGCACTAGGGAACGACGCAAAGAGGAAGGCAGAGGACGTCGTGCCAGCGGCGAACTAGGCTGGCCCGGCCAGAACCGAGTGGCGACGGACCACATCATGGAGACAGGAATCTGATACATGAGGTGATCTTGCATCGCCGCACGCAGGGCCATCCCGGTCTCTGCTGAGATCCGTGCCATGACGGGCCGAGCTAATGTACATGACTGCATGAGTGTATCCTCCGTAGCTCTCCCATGGGATAGCTGTGTATGTATGTCCGATGAGGCGCGTACGTACTACTGTACCCGACCGGGGCTGAACGGGTCCGTTGTTGCACTGTGGTCTGTATGTGCGTTGGGGAAGCCGGTAGAGGCAGGGAAGTAGCTGTAAGCAAGTCGACAGGTAGACTAGCCGGGTAACTAGCGAGCCGGATCACTGGCTACCGGGTTTGGACAACGCATTGGATGGGGGGGGGGGAGGAAGAGGCGGCGCGAAGGGGTCTAGGCGGGGACCGTCGTTGCTTTTGTGATGCGTCACTTGTCAACACAATTGGTGGCCTAGTCCGACTGCTTTTGTGTTGGTTTGTTTGGGGTTGGTTTGGCTCTTTTCTTTTCTTTTTTTTTTTTGTTGCCTAGGTCAGACTGGACGGCGAGGAGCTGCGGGCGGGGGAGGACATTGTGGGCTGAGCAACCATCTGGGTGGTGGTGATTCAGATTGTGATTGATTCTTCACGGGTGACTCTGGGGGAGGGGAAAGGGATCCTCAAAGGATTCTGTCAAGTGTCAGGCCGTGTCAGTGTCAGTCCGTGTCAGACTGCCTGCCTTTCGACTGTTGGACCCGCTATTCAATGTTGTGTAACCAATTCCAAATCTAGACCAAACCTAAATCGCTCCTCGGCTCGTCCTTTTCCTGCCAGTCAGAATGGCCTTTCATTCACCACGTTAAGATGGCTCTCAGGTCTTCAAACCTAACTCCTCTCACGAACCCAATTCGCAATGAACCGGTTCCCCGTACGTCGTAAATCGTGCTATGGATCCCATGAACACATTAAGGTTCGCTTCAGCCGCTCTCCTCTCCACGGATGGTCATGACCTTCGCTGCTGGGGGTTCCCTGGTTCAGTCAATAGATTGACCCCCATCGATGCGTCGAGACCCCGATAATTCGGAAAATAAGCGAAACTCGTCAACTGAGAGTCCCTCGGGCAATTTTCTAAGGTTTCGTCCCATGGGCCCGTGAGCCCCAGGACCATGTAGTAGCGCAAGCATGTATGCCATCTATGGGCGCACACGCAACGAGAGTTTACGAGTGAGTTCGTGCCTGGCGGCCACTGCGTGCGAGCGATCTCGGATCGAACAGGGGTTGTTGCTCTTTCAACTGGTGTCCAGTGTTTCATGGCGCTTTCTCGGTGGATGTATGTACTGCCAACTCACCACTATGGAGCTTGGTACTTTGGAGCCTCCACTATGGTGCTATGAGTGGTCCTGGGGGCAAATTGATCGGAGATACTCGTTGATACTTGATAGATATTGGGTAACCAGGCGAGCGACTGCACTCTGGGTCGCTGAAGAAAGCGCGGCTAAGGAGACCGTTCCATTGCCATCCTCGGCTACTAGGGCAAAGGACTTGCCTATCCGGGAATAACTGAGTCCGCCCTAAGCACGTTAGTTCCCAACACCCTCCAGGACGGCGTCCAAGGCTTCAAGCCGCCCCGGAACTTCCTCCAAGCCTCTACCATATGGGAGGCTGGTAGCGATGGGTCATGGATCATGGATGGGCAGGATGATGATCGCCCATACTCCTCCTTCGTCTCCTCTCAACGTGGGGCGGCCTGGGCGTGGCTGGAGCTAGAAGATTCATTGTTCCTTCATTCATGCGCTTCCTCAGATCCGGGGCACTCGAATCTGACAGATCTGATCCGGCGGCCACCTTGAGTCCCATCCATCTGCAACGCCTAGATGGAGTTTGTCCTGTTTGGTCGGCCTCCCCCCATTATGGCTTTGGCTCTGATCCCATCGCTGGCTCTCCTTTCTCCACTGTCGTCCTCGGGCTTTGCTCAATCCCTGTCAAGGGAGAGAAGTAGTGTTCTTTCCTGGATGATCTTCCGTCCACTGATTGCATTTCCACCCGTCGTACCACCGTGCTAACGAGTGGTGCTCATCGGCGTAACCCTGGAACTGGGCCTTCCTAGTCCCTTCCCTGAAACTTCTTCACGCCATAGTCTGGTGGAGTATTTAGAAACACTCCCTCTATCGCCTATCCGTTGGAGACGTCCGACAGGATTCCAAATCCCCTGCCCAGTTCAGAGCAAAATATAGCAATGGACTATTACCAGTGCCCAAGAAAAGAAGCAGTCCAGAACTGGACCTGACAGCCGTCAAACCCTGGTCGCTGGGATCTCCCGGTGACCCAGGCGTATGGGCCCTTCCTCGGCTGGCCGACGATCCCAACTCTGTCCGAGTTTTGACCCCTTCGTTCGGGCCCGTTCGGTTATAACTTGTGCTATTATAGACATGGCCACTTTCTGATACCACTGCCTAGGCTGACAAGGGCGTCGATGGAGACAATGGCTCTGTCGCATGCACCAAGAAGAGGCGCCTCATTCGTAACGAACAAAAATAGGCCAGGGCCATGACTCATGACAGATGGCGCCGCCCTTTGGCTTTCTCTGACGATGTTGAAGGCATTGTCTCCTCGCAGGCCTCTATCAGGTACTGAGTACTTTGGGCTTCCATCTACGAAGTCCTTGCTTCGTGCTATTAGGTTCTGACCCTCTCCCGCCGAGGTTATGATCTGCTTTCGGGGATCCTGCGTCTGGCTGTGCATCGGATGTTTATGTATAGTACATTCTTACTCTGGACTCTCATGACCCTTTATTGGTACTTTTGTCCTCTCTGACCAAGTATCCTCAACTGGACTGCGGGTCGAGAGGAGGAGTGCAGAGGATCGGACCCAGACTGCTCCCGTGGGCCTCACTCTCGCCCCCAACTCCCGTGCAGAGCATGTGCTATACATAGTAGTGGTATATACAGAATCGAATCTGTGAAGATCAGGGCGATCGAGCCGACTTTTGATGCCTTCCAACTGGGTGGTCCGGATGGCTGATCCGATCTGGGTTCTATAATTTGACGTTTAGTATGCTTCGCCATGGCTTCAGCGCATTACCCGGTTCGGACAAGGGCCTGTGGTCGAACTAGCCAGACGGATAAGCGCCGCAGACCCAGTTCCCACACCTGTAACAGCCACCAACCCGCGCTTGTCCAGACGATGGGAACGTTTTGTGCCTCGACGCTATGGGTTCCGCGGATGCATCGCCGCCTGGGTCCGGGATCCGAGTGGGCACAGGTGGATGGATCATGGCCATTGGCCCGAACAGACTATTGATGGCCGCGATGCAAGGGGAGTCGATACCTTTTGCCCCGTGTAGATCGAAAACCGCTGCAGCGGTGACAAATCAAGGGTCTGCGATCCCCATCCGACTCTCTTGGTCATCGGGATCATGGCACGTTGATTCGTCGATCCGGTGCTGCCTCGCGTCTGTGCCCATTTCTGATACTAGAGATGCCCCTCCAGGGAGGCCTGAAAAAAGTACTAGATTTGGCCATCGAAGTCTGCCGGAAGCTTCTTCATGCTTCCCCGCGTGGCACTCATGGAGGGGGAGGGGAGGGGAGGGGACCAAAGGTGAAGCAGTAGAAGTGACAATAGAAGAGGGAGAGGCGCAGAAGGAGACGGTCCAGAATGGAGATGGATGCTGCAGATAATCTGTAGGGGAAGCAGGGAAGGCGCAAACAATACATACATAGTATCATTGTAGTAGGAAATGCAAAGAATAGAATAGGAAGCCCCAAAAAAAGAAAAAATAGAACGAAAAAAAATAAATAAATGGAAAAAAGGAAAAAAACGGAAAAAGAAAGAATTAAAATAAAAATAATAGAAAATAAGATAAAATAAAACTAAACTCAACCACTTCCGGAGGACTCCACCACCTCCTCCACCAGCAGACCATCTGTATGTCATCGTCGATGCTCCATTTCCTTGTTGAGGCAGTCGCAGATCGAGCTAATCCGTTTAGCTTCTCAAGGTTCCCCCCCCCAGAAAGCACTGGTGATACATCCTGGATCTCTCTCTTCACCCACGCTGGATATTCCGTACTATTCGCAACTTGCCCTTCGCATTCCTCTTTCCGATGCAGTTCATTGCCAGCTCAATGGACTGCACGTCTGAGCGCCACCACAATGACCTCCTTCTGCTCTTTCGGGCTCTCTGTCTATTCCCCACTTCCTCCTTTGCGGATTGCCTCTTCCATCGCCCCCTCCCCTCGTTCACCTGCGGCTTCCAACATATAAAACATGCAGCCGGGTCCTCCCGTATCCCTGGGAAAGCATTGAATTCTTCATCACCTCTTCTGGCCCTCGTGGATTGACCTGATTGTTCTTTTGGTCTTACTTCCATCCATAGCAACCCACCCCCCTTGATTGTATCAGCGTCATCATCTATCGCCCCTCTGGCCTTATTATTGCTCCTCCCCCTTGACGCCTGTCCTATAGCCTTTCCGTCCGTGTTTGTTTACATCACGCCCAGACGGCCTGCACCGGTGCAGACGTACATATCAGAGACATTTCCCCTCAGTACATACCGACAAACCTCAGACATACAGCTCCCCAGCTGCAGCGCCCCATCTTTCATCTTACCCGCAGCAAGAACATCCAGCACTATGATGTTTGAAGACATGGGCTCCATGGCTGACGACTGTTCTCGACGTTGTTCACTCCCGTAAGTGGGTTGTTACCCTTACCGATAGATGCAGGAACTGACGTGACATGGCTCTTCTCACAGTGGCGTGCGTTCGATCTCCAGTGCGTCTAGTACCGCAGACATGACCGACGACCGCCGCCTGCCCCCGCTACCACGCGTGGAGCCTCTGCCCCGGGGCCCCTTTAACCCTTTCACCTCCAACATCTTTGCTACCAGTCCCCCCAGCTCCCAGTCCCAATGGCCAGGAGCCGAGCTCACTGCGGCTCCTCCATCTCCTGCCACCTCCGCCGATAGTTCTTGGCCAGAGCCCGTGCAGTCCCAGAAGGTCTTTGAGTGGCCGCAAGAGCTGACCCCAGCTGAGCTCCTGAACCTCGTCGCCCCCAAGCACATCAACCGCAAACCGCCGTTGCAGCAACTGTGTGGACGGAAGCGCAAGGGAAGCATGATATCTGCGGATTCAGACGACCAGAGAGAAAAGCACAGGATTGCCGAGGGTAACCGACGGAAGAACCTTAGCCAGCTGCACCGTGAGCTGGACAGCCGCCTCCATGATTTCTTTCTCGAAAGAGCAGGGTGGAACCCCTCTAAAAGCCTCCCAGAGTCGAAGGAGCACATTGTACAAGCCGCCATCTTTCTCATCGACTTTATGTTCTTGATTATTGTGCACTTGATTCACCAAGAGAACGAGATGCCACGCCAGCTATCGGAGAAGCTGCAGCCTCAGGTCCGCTGCATGCAGCTGCAGCAGCTGGTGTCGAGCCTCCAGCAGCAGAACCAGACTGCCCAACAGCAGATAAAGTCTTTGAAACAAGACCTCCAGATGGTGGAGGAGCGCAACCAGGCACTCGAGCTTCAGTTGAAGTCATACGAACGCATGTTCCGGTCGCCCCAAAGCGAGCACCCGACTTCTCAGCCCCTGACTCATCTTACCGACGCCAGGCCACGCAACATGCTCCCTGGCTTGCGGGTATTCTGCGATGAAATTGCCTCCAGCAGCCCTGATTCCTCTCGTTTTGAGCCTGTCCCCACGGGACTATCGCACTCTTTCGGACATGCGTACCTCACCCAAACCCCTCCGATCACGGGGCCCTCTTCGCCGGCGTTTACACACGCGTCTTATTCGGTACCTGTCTCACGGCGCCAATCCCTCAACCCATCACCCTAAATTGATTGCTGTGTCATTTCATGATCACTGAAGACGGACTTTTGGTCCCTTGTCATGAATCTCCTTGAGTCGAATATTAGAGCGGCTGTTGTGCGGCCGAATTTCCTTTTTCTCTTTCAACTGCGTTTTCTGGCATAGCGAGAGCGTTTATCATCGACATACATTTGGGACATGCGAAATTTCCTGCATCGTGGTCTGTTTACCACCTGATCGAGTCCGCGCTGGAATTGATCTTTCTTGCGCCTTTCCTCCACCGTGTGGAGGAGACGCAATGTACATCAACCGCAAAAAAAAGTTGGTTAGCAATCTGGAGGGAGGTTTGCGTTTGGAGTCTGTACAATCTTTCTTCCATGTTCATATTGGGGCTGGCTATAATTATCTTACTCACTGGCCTGGATCTGGAGCAGGGTGGGCGACTTTTTTGGGGCTGTTGTTTTTCTTTTTCCCCCTACTATACATATACACGACTGATTTCGGTATCTATTTTTCTTTTATTTCTTTTTTTTTCTTTTGTCATGCCTGGTGTTTTTTTTGGGCGCGTCCCATGGGCGTTGGTTGTAACTATCAGCATAGAGCGAAATGACGATGACAATCTTCTGAGACAAGTCCGGGGTACTCCGTAGATAGTCGATATGTCGAGTATGGAGTAGGCATAACTCGGTGTGCAGCAGCGAGATATGCAGCTGAGTCAGAGACCCTTAGTCACCGCGGCTATTAAATGCAGCGGGCCAATCCCGAAGCGGCCAACTGGACTCTGGCTGGAACATCGGCGGGTCGATTCTTCCCTGTCAACCTGGAACTTCTCTTCTATCGACGACGGTTCCAATAATCTTCAATCTCCCTTGGGCAGCCCTGTGTCGCTGACTGAGAACCGGTCGGATCACCTGGTGTCCCGATCGCTCGTCTCCCGCTTCTCACATTCGTTTGAAACCTTTGCCATCTTTGCTGGGGCCTCCGGTGCCGCACCACCGTCTCCCGCAGCCAGCCTTTTCCCTACCCTTTTTCCTGTCTGCCCCGGGTGATCGCTGGCATCCCCTTCTCCATAGCGCATCATCGATTCTGGCCTCCCTGTCGACGCTTTCGATCCGTCAGATTTCAGCTTCGATTTCGTGGGATCGTCCCCGCCAATATCGCGTCTACGCCCGCTCCTTTTCCCTTCCCCGGACGGTCCGTCTCTTCCGCCGCCCGTCCTGCATCGTGTTGTCCGCTCGAAGCCAGATTGATCGATCTCCCTGCACTCTGGTGTCCCAGCGACCTACATACCAGCCTCGGAAATCGTCGCCTGTTGTAGGCGTCGACGGCTTCTGAATCCCCCCCTCAGCGAGGCATATTTGTTTCTTTCTATAATCAGCTCATAACTTTCCCCCTTTACCCGTCGCGAAGATGTTGCTTCCTAAGGGTGGTGTAACGTGGAAGTCGGCCAAAGCAAGGCTGCCCCCATGGCGGGCTGTCCTGTTCCTGGTCACACGGACCCGGTTTCTTGTATCATTGGCCATCACTGGCCTGGTAGTCCTACTATGGCGTGGCATCAGCAAGTCAGCGTCGGAGATGCAGAGGTGAGTACCTGACTCGACATTGACCGTGTTGCCCGCGACACCCGGTCCCTGGCCATGGCTAGGCACGCGACCAGAAGGCACTAACGACTGCACGTAGCTTTTACTGCTATGGCCCTTCGAAATCGCCGATGGAGATGAGCATCAACGAAATGGTCGAGTGGAGCGCTCACACTCAGACTCCTGTCGTCTTCAACCATCATGATCCCTATGAAGTCAACTCGTCCAGCATCAAGACCGTCGATCTGAACCCCATCAAGTCCACCACCCAGGCTGTTTCGAACTCTGAGCGTGTGCTCGTTTTGACTCCTCTGAGAGATGCGTCCGACCATTTGATCAACTACTTCAACCTCCTCTACAAGTTGACGTACCCGCACGACCTCATCGACTTGGCTTTCCTCGTTGGCGATTGCAGCGACGACACCTTGGCTGTCCTCACTGCTGAGCTGGCCCGAATCCAGGACCAGGTGGATGAGAAGATTGCTTTCCGTAGTGCGACCATCGTGCAAAAGGACTTCGGGGCTGATACCGAGATGAACGTGGAGGACAGACATTCCTTTGCTGCCCAAGGCCCGCGCCGCAAGGCTATCGGTAGAGCTCGCAACTACTTGCTCTACTCGGCCCTCAAGCCCGACCATTCTTGGGTCTACTGGAGGGACGTTGACATCTTTGACAGCCCTGCTAGCATCATTGAAGACTTCATCGCTCATGACAGGGATATTCTTGTTCCTAGTACGTTGCGTCGTCGCCATCATGAGAATTACGCTCTTGTGTGCTAACTCTATCACAGACATTTGGTTCCATCGCTACCGGGATGGCGTTGATGTTGAGGGCCGATGTATGTAAAAGAATCCTCCCATGATGCTCGCTTACTGACCCTTGCAGTTGACTACAACTCCTGGATTGAATCCGATAAGGGACGCCGACTCCGCGAGACGCTCGACCCAGATACTGTTTTGGCAGAAGGCTACAAGGAATATGACACTGGCCGGACCTACATGGTCAGCATGGGTGACTGGAGAAAGAACAAGGATGAGGAAGTCGAGCTGGACGGCGTTGGCGGCGTGAACATCCTCGTGAAGGCCGATGTTCACCGTTCCGGCATCAACTTCCCGTCGTACGCTTTCGAGAACCAGGCTGAAACCGAGGGGTTCGCCCGCATGGCTAAGCGCGCTGGCTACCAGGTGTACGGTCTGCCGAACTACGTTGTCTGGCACATTGACACGGAGGAAAAGCCTGGCAACCTCGGGGACCGCAAAGCATACTAGCTGCATTCTTGAGTTGATCCTCATTTCCATGCAGACTGGGTGGTGCGACCACTTTCATTCCTCGTCCTTGAAACCTGAATACCCCGTTTCCCGTGTACATCCGAGCCCTTGCAGCGGTTCTTTGCATGGAGGCTTTCCTCTTAACGCTTTTATTGATTTTCTTTCTTCATTTCTTCTCGATTGTATTCTTCGGACGCGGGGACGGATATCTCACGACGCCGGTAATTAGTCTTCTTTGTATTTCGTGTTAGGGTTATGTCTGCTTTTGTTGGCGCTACGGGGACAGTGTTCAGCGGTATTGGAAGCTCATAGAGAGCGAGCGAGAATGGGCTCTGGTTGGAGCCCACGTTGTTCTGCCAGGCTCAGGCCATGAGTTCCTTTCACAGGCATGGTGTTCTGATGCTCTTGCTTACCGGATCACCTGAAGCCATAAGGCGGTCTTATCTGGGATGGGCTGCTGACTTGGGGGCTCGGGGACGTGGGCAAGGGCAGCAGATGAACCGGGCCATGGTGCTTGGCGTCCATGTACATACATATATAGGCTACAATCTGGCGGGCTTGTTATGATTGTCAAACCAATGTCTAGACCAAGTAGTCAGTATTATTATGAGAGGGTGGTCCGTCCTCCGCTGAAGGATTGCAGGGAAGAATCCCCACCGGCTAAGTGCTGCTCCTGCTCCCCACCTTTCCCCGCTTCCACTTCCCGCCATCGATTCTTCTTGCCTGTCCGACCTCTTCCCAGTCACTACTACACCCGCACTTCGTCTCTGCCAGAAAGAAGGAAAGAAAGACCGAAAGAGAACAGGACAACATGCCTGCTAAGAACGAATTCCTCTGCATTATCCCGGACAAGCCGGGCGTGCTGGCCAAGCGACTGGAAGTCCGCTCGTAAGACCTCTACCCCTCACCGGGCATCTCACCAACACTGACACCACTGGGTCAACAGCCAGCATCTGGAAGATGTCAAGCCCCTCGTAGAAGCCGGCTCCGTGGTTCTGGGAGGTTTGTTTCATTCTCCTGATCCTTGCACCTTCAAGTCTCACCCCAATCCCAGGCGCAATGCTCGACAAGCACCCCAAGGAGGGCGAATCGATGACCTTTCAAGGAACCTCTCTCATGATCGTGGTAGAGACCAAGGAGGAGGCGGAGGAGATCATCAAGAATGATATCTATGCCAATAGTGGGGTTTGGGACTTGGAGAAGGTGCAGATTATTCCGGTACGTTCCTTGCTCTCGCTCCTTTGCTGCTCGCCTCTTTAGCATTACTACTGACACGTTGGGATGTAGTTCAAGTCGGCCGTGCGGGTGGGATTGTAAAATTTTATTTCTTTGATGTCTGCCTACCTATTCCTGTCATATCCTTGCACGGTACATATGAATGACTAGCTTTATTGCATAAAGAACCTGATAGTGTCAGTGCTTATCGATACTATTGAAGTAAGTGGGTTTCCCATCCAATGTTTTGCCTGTGGCGGCGCAATCGATAGCAATCCTGTGTGTGCCCCAGTTTTACTCAGACCGACCCCATCCCTATGGAATGACTGGTCATGTCAGGTTCTGCAGGAATCCCATGTGCAGAATATTTTGCGAATAGAAAATGATGCCGCATATGCAACGTGTCCGGATATCCAGACAATGGTCTTGTACTGAATTGTGCATGGCAGTACGATATGCATGATCTCATCATGGTGCATTTCTGTTCTCGTTTTGAATGGTTTCGACCAAGATGGAGCTCCGAGGTGCACACGAGGAGACCTATCGCATCCGGGTTGGAGGCAGCCAGTGCTTACTGCCCTGAAACCTGATCGGAACCTAATCTGAATGATCAACAGCCTATTCATCATATCGTCATTTGGCCAAGACCAGCTGATGGGCGTGACGAATTTTGCATGTCACACCTATTCTGATTTGTTCCCCGCAGGAAGGTTTCGAATGAGGGCGAGGATGAACCAGGTAATAGTTCATGCAAAAGTACCAAAACAAGGGATCTCGCCCCGAAGCAGTGGCTTGCGTCGAGAGTCTGAGCGAAGCGGCCAATACGAGGCGATAGTTAAGGCTGAGCCCCGGCCGCCACGCTTCATCGCACACAAAAAGCAAACCCTACCCTGTGTTACCCTCCAGATCGTCGACTGTGGAGATCGAGGGTTACATTCCACCGGAGTCGAACGATTGCGGCAAACATATAAGACATGTAGCAACAGCGCAGCGTTTTGAAAAAGTATCAGCCATACGCTTCATTATGCCTTCCAACGAGACCCTGCCTCAACCAGGCAACAACGCCGTCCTCCGCAGCATCAATCCGAACTACACCGGTTTCGACCACATAAGCTGGTATGTTGGAAATGCTCGTCAGGCAGCGACCTACTTCGTCGCCCACTTCGGCTTCAGCATCGTCGCCTATCGCGGCCCAGAGACCGGCTCGTATCTGAGCTGCTCGTATGTTGTCATGAACGGCAAGGCGCGGTTCGTCTTTACAGCCCCCGTCACCTCGCCCAACAACACGTGGAACACGCGGGCCTCGGATGCAGACCGCCAGCACTTGAACGAGATGCAAGCACACCTCACTAAACACGGTGATGGCGTCAAAGACATTGCCTTCGCCGTCGACGACGTCACTGGTGTCTGGGAGCACGCCGTACAAAACGGTGGCACCTCTATCCAGAAGCCGGAGCTCCTCAAAGACGACACCGGCGAGGTTCTCTCCGCCACGATCCAGACCTTCGGTGATACAGCACATACGCTGATCAACCGGTCCGCATACCATGGAATCTTCCTTCCCGGGTACCAAGCCGTATCCGGACTGGATAGACTGAACGACCTGCTGCCCAAAATCGATGTGATCGAGATCGACCACTGTGTGGGAAACCAGGGTTGGGATGGTCTAGACAGTATCGTTAAGTAGTAAGTCTCTACCTGTTTCCCCATCTCTGATACGCACCCTAACATAATACCAATAGCTATGAAGACGCGTTCAACTTCCACCGCTACTGGACCGTCGACGACAAAGACATGTGCTCTGATTACTCCGCCATGCGATCCGTTGTTGTCGCGTCACCCAATGAGGTCATTAAGATGCCCATGAATGAGCCCGCCATCGGCAAGAAAATGTCCCAGATAGAGGAGTCTGTAACCACCCACTCGCATAGCAGCCAGCAAGACTGACACTAATACTTCCCCAGATTCGTAGAATACTACAACGGCCCAGGCTGCCAGCATATTGCCTTCCTTACTCCCAACATCATCACAGCAGTCGAGAACCTCACCAAGAGGGGTGTGAATTTCCTGTCTGTCCCAGAAACCTACTACACGAATATGCGATCTCGCCTCGCGGCCGCAAACATGACCATCGCCGAGGACATCAACGCACTCCAGAAATACAACATCCTCATTGATTTCGATGAGGGCGGCTATCTGCTGCAGATATTTACAAAGCATGTGGTGGACCGGCCGAGTGTGTTTCTGGAGATCATCCAGAGGGAGAATTTTGATGGGTTTGGTGCCGGGAATTTCAAGAGCCTTTTCGAGGCGTTTGAGAGGGATCAGGCGTTGAGGGGGAACTTGTAGGTTTTCTTGCTGTACAGCTTGTCCGATGGGAGGTTGTTTGGTTTAGCTGATGGGGTATAGTGGTTGCTTATAGCCTGTTATTTGGTGTGATTTGAAGAAGGATGATTGCTTTTCCGTGAGCTCTCTTGTCCGTGTTCATAGATCGATCCTAATTAGATCGCTTGCTAAGCTGGCATTCAGTCTCAGAGACACCTATACATATCCTCGATCGATTTCTCAAACCATCAAAACCATCTGATTGGCTGCTCTCCTACCAACATCCCATCTCACACCCCTTTCCCTCCCCTTTCCCTTCTCTTTCCCCTTCCATATCACCACCACCATCACCATAATCCAACACCCCTTCCTCATTATGCCCGCCTACACCAACCACATCCCCCTCAAGCTGTACAACCCCAGACTCTTCCTCCACCGCCCACCAACACCCCCACAGGACCATAACCCACCTCATCCCCAGTAAGACCAAATACCAACTCATCGAAGAAGTCGAGCGCCTCGACTACTACGTCCCAGGAGGCTACCACCCCATCAACCTCGGCGACCAGCTCCACGCCAACCGCTACACCATCGTCGACAAACTCGGGTTCGGCCGCTCCGCCACCACCTGGCTAGCAGAAGACAGTACCCAAGGACGATTGGTAGCTCTCAAGATCTCCACCGCCGAATCAGCACTCCGAACAGCGCAACACGAAGGGCGGATTCTATCCCAGCTTGAGAGCGCAAAACCCCAGTCCACGCTCTTTGGAAAAACTACTATCCCGACCCTCCTCAACTCATTCAGTTTCTCAGGTCCCAATGGTACACATACGTGTTTAGTTACCGATGTAGCTAGAGTGACTCTTCATGACGCTAAGGAGGCATCGTATCATCGACTCTTGCATTTGTCTGCTGCGAGAGCTATTACCGCGCAGCTCATTCTCGGTGTACAGTTCATTCATTCTCATGGTCTCGTTCACGGTGGTAAGTAAGTTTGACATGCTGCAACTCCTCTTCACCATTTGACTAGGGATATAAATTGATCTAACCATCCCTGCAGATCTTCACCTTGCAAACATCCTTCTTCGCTTACCACATGATATGCAAGACATGACTCCTGAGTAGCTACATGCTAGAACACGCGAACCCGCAAAGATGCCCGTTATCCTTGAAGATGGCGCTCCCCTTGACCCAGGAGTTCCTCCAGAAGTCATTGTTCCTGTTTGGCTCGGGATCGGTAGCGACGAAGTATCCCTTGCGGACTCCGAAATCATGATCGCAGATTTTGGAGAAGCTTTCGATCCCCAAGTTACACAGCAGTTTACAGCTCATACGCCGCTCTTGATTGCGCCGCCAGAATCTCGCTTTGCAGAGCCGGGGGGAGCTGACAAGCCATTATCCTTTTCGGGGGATATGTGGACGCTTGCGTGCACGATCTGGGATATTTTCGGGGACAGGCCCCCCTTTGAAGCATTTCCCGCCACGCTGGATGAGGTTACCATTGAACATGTCGAGATGCTGGGCCGGCTTCCGGAGCGGTGGTGGAAGAAGTGGGAGGAAAGGGGGAACCGGTCTGATGAGGATGGGAGGAAGAATGTGAAGGAATCTCTTCGTCAATGGTATTTGAATAGTAGTAGAGATTGGAACCAGCGATTCACGGATCATATTCAGGAGCCGCGGGAGTGGAAAAAGTACGATACCTTTTCAGCGGAGGAGAACGCGTTCCGTAACATGATAAAGTCAATGTTGGTTCTTGAGCCAAGCGAACGGGCGACGATTGAGGAAGTGGTGAATTGTGAGTGGATGCAGGGATGGGGCTTGCCAGAGGTGCAGAAGATGCGGGATGCGATATTGACGATCGAGGATTCTTGAGATGGAGAGTGGAGCGATATCTTTATGGCTTCTTTCTTCTCTTGATCCAAGGTTTTGTAGATGAAGGGGGTTGGGTTGGATGGTGACATAGTCTTTGTTCTCCTCTCTTCTCTTCTCTTGGTTTGAGCTGAGGCTAGCTAGGCATTATGCCTGTAAGATTATAGCTTTGGATAAACTGACATTGTAGATGGAAAGCTTCGGCTGTGCAGGTTAATCACAATAGGAATATCATTTACCTAAGACAAAGCGGAACCTAGTTAGTTCAACATCCAAACAGACAATATCAACATCAACATCCACATCCGGTATCCGCCGATTTCCCAGTATCAGTTCCATTTCCGGTCCTTGAACGCCATTACCATGAATATACCACATAAGAATACCGAGATCCGTCATGAGAATAGTAATTGCAAGCAACACCAATCCGTTACTGCTGTTGCTGATGCTGCTGTGGTGGTACAGCAGGGCCCTGGTTAAACTTGGGTCGTTTTGGGTCATTCACACCACCCATCGGAGCAGGCCCGCTGCCACTTGGGTTCGTTGCGTTCGTCATATCTGACAAAGGAGGACGTTTCCCGTTCATGTTCTGCGGTGCGAGACCGGGCGTAGCGCCGCGGTTGACGGCTGCAGCGCCAGAGGGAAGGTTGGGTCGTGTCAAGGGACGGTATGATGAAGTTGTCGGACCTCTGTTCATAGGGCTGTTCATCCCCGGAGCACCGATCTTACGATTCGGGTCTTGAGATGGGTTGACGAAGTCCCGGGTGTTATTGGCTGCAGGGGAGGCCGCGGCGCCGGTAAGCATGGATCGAGCGATCGCGACGGTCTTGTTATGGTCGATGCCGGCTGTTTTGCGGATGGAGGGGCTCTCCGCGTGTGGGTCGAAGGCCGGGGCTCCGGATGGGATGGCGTTAGGGTTGTCGCGGATCAGATCGACTGCGCGAGCTGAGAAGAATGATGCAGAGGGTGTGCCCGGGGGAAGTGCTTCTTGGTTGGTGGGGTCATTTGTGGTGGATGGTGCCCCAGCATCCTGCCTTACGGGTCCAGTACCACCTGTAGCTGATGGGGCTGCTGCTTGTGCTGGTGGGTTCATTCGGTTGTTCGCAAGGTTTGGTTGTAGACCCTGAGGGGGAACGGACTGTCGCTGCTGTGCGTATTGGCCTTGGGCTGCGGATGGGTTGGGTCGGTTGTTCAAAGGCTGAGGGGCGGGGATTTGTCTGGCAGCTGGGGCTGGGTTGAAGGGTCGTTCCGGCTTGGATGGCGTTACCATGGCTGGGTTGAGCCTTGCTGGTACACGCGCGTTATTGTCGAATGGCCGTCGTTGTGCATTTGGGCCGTTGAGAGGCGTTGGTGGCTGCTGCTGCATTCTTAATGTCTCTGGTCCCAGGACCACCTCGTCCGGGTTGCCTGCTCCACCGACGCCAAAGTCGGCTTCATCAAATAGGTCACCTAGTGAGTGGTTAATAGCCGTCAGTGGATGTGACTTGTAATTGTTGCTCACTTCCAAACTCCCCATCACCATCAAATGCCATCGAATCGTCCAGGTTGCTGCTCTTGCCAAGATCGATCGGGCGAGGCGGTAGATCATCATCCTCTGAGCTGGGTTTTGGTTTCACAGGAACAGGCTCTTTCTTCGGAACGAAATCGGGGTGACGGTGAAGCTCGTCGACGTCCCATTTTGCCTAGCAGTCAAGTTAATCGTTGAGAGCAGATTGTCCGCGTCGAGCCACGTACCGGCATAGCCTTGACCTTGGTAACCTTCGAGACATAGTCCTTGTCGTAGACACAGTTGCCCAGGACATTACCAAAGTTCCTCAGAGCCCGCTTAAGAGCATCAGTTGTCCCCTCTTTCTTGGCTTTCTCGAAAGCCGCAGCCTTCCCTTTGCAGTTTTCGATATGACCGTAACCGATATCCTATCATTCGATTATCAGCGTCGGAAGCTAGGCAGGCTTGCTGTAGGAGAGTGTTGCACACCTCATGATATGTTCCATCTTTCAAGGTTACCCTCATTATAACTGAGAGGCCCAAGCTGATTTTGCCCGTTTGCGGGTTTTCCTCGACCTAATAGTACTACCCGTTAGCCCCGCCAGACGGTGAGCTGTCTTGCTACTAGACAACTGGACATACAAAATCAATCTGAATAGTCTGGATAGAGCTCGACCAGCCATTAAACCCAAAGACTTCGTTTGCTAGGTTGATGCATTTGTCTGCCGACAGGTAATGTACTCTCTGTCCCGCAGCTCCAGGCCTGGAAGAGATGTATTCGGGTCCTAGCTTCTTGTCGAGGCGTGATTGAAGGGTTGCAATTTCCTGGGCAGTGTACTCGCTGATACGTCGCTGGGGTTCTTCAAATGGGTTCGCAGAGGTAGCTCCGGATGCATTAGGCATCATGATGGACGCTGGGTTGCCTCGGTGCTGGTCGCCAACACTAGACGCGGTTAACTTCTGAGTCCAAAAAGATGGGTGATATGGAGACAGGGTGTTCACTGACGCGGGCATATTACGGTAAAAATAAAAATGTATCAGCCCAAGCTGTCATTGGAATCCACAATGGGCAGTGTGTGAGTGACTGACAAAGAGACAGCTGCAGCCCGGCGTGTTGACGCGTGATAGATGCCGACACGCCTTATCACGTCATCACGTGATGGTATAGCTGCCTGTTCAATAATCATCCCTAATTGAGTACCTAATTCAGTGGGTACTTCTATATGGTGGAGTGAGCTTTCTACGATCTTTTCATGATCTGGTTAGATCATTGGTTACTCTGCAACTTTCCTGCTGTACTAAATTTGAATTATCCATGGTGGCCCACAACAGGCATTCATAAATCTGCCTTTTTGGCACCCTCTCAGAAATTCATCATCCGCATCATCATTGACTGGTTCATGTAATGAATACCGTCATTCAGTTGCTATTTCTACCCCGACATAAAGTCACACATGTAGCTAGAATCACTGGACAACCAGGCTTGCACTAGGAATAAGGCCAAGATCCTTCAGTGACTCTCCGTAATATTCCGAGTCGAAGACCTTGCGAGGGAAGTTCTGCGCAAAGCTGTGCACCTGAATACCATCCTCCTTTTGCAAAGCTTCAGCGACCTCGAACAGTGTCGTAGTCACTGGGAGCGTCTTCATGATATTTCCCTTCGATGTCTGGAACCTCAAACGAGTCTCCGTGTAGGCCGAGGCGGGCTTCGAAGCAACGGGACCAGACGTGGTGGCTGCCGGAGCTGCTGCTGGCGGAGCAGAGGGTGCCACGCCAGCACGCTCTGCTCTCTCCCGCTCAGCCCTCAGGCGTCGCTCTTCCCTATCGGCCTCGATCTTAGCCTTGACGCGCTTCTTGGCTTCGATATCTGCTTGCTTCTCCTTCTTCTTCTGCTCCGCTTCTTTCAGCATCTGCTTCCTCTGGAGTTCTTCTTTAATATCCTGCGATTCTTTGGTGCTCTTTCTGCGAATTTCCTATAGACTGAATTAGCCATTGCTTTTGACCGTAGATGGAAGCGTTCGTACCTCATTTCTCTTCTTGTCAAGCTTATCCTGCTCTGACTGCCCGGCCCGCTTCTCCGCTAGTTTCTGCCTGAGCTCTTCAAGTCTAGCCTTCTTCTCCTCCTCTGTCAATGCCGCAATCTCTTCCGTGGATTCCGAAAAGTCGACGTGTTGGGATTTGGAAGCGTGAAACTCGGCTTGCGCATGGCTCCGGAATCGCTTGCCGCACTCGTTGCAGATCAAGCTGCGGGCTTCCTCTCCCGGCTTCAGCGCAGGGCCTTCTTCACTTTCAGCTTCTTTGATATCCTCTAGGGACTTGTCTTGGTTTTCTTCGAGCCATTCTAGAGCACCTTGCACTGCAGAAGGGTTATATGAAATGTCAGCGCTCGACACCAACTAGGCGGGGGATGGAGAAGACATACGGCCGTTGCCCTTGGCCACTGCAAGTTCAGCTCTTTCCTTGTCGAAGCCCATTTCAATGAGCTGGTCCAGGTCGGAAGAGGCCATGGTGGCACTGCACTGGAAAGGTTGGGGAGGTGAGCGTAGGGGTAGGGCGGGGTAAGAGATATCGCTTCAGCTCGGTAATCAGCCGAGGGCAATACGATTGTGGTATGGGATATCAAGCGGAGCTGATTGAAGGAGTAAATGGAGAAGTTGCCGCTGCAAAACCGACACAGAGCGGGGAGTGTTCAAAGAGTTGAGCTTGCGGGTGACGTATCGATAGCTGGAACTGAGCGATAGGTAGATTGCTGCTGGTTGCGGGATGGCCCGCCGACTAAAGAGGTCGCCCAAGGCATCCAGGTACGCTCTCGTTCTGGACTTTTCCAGCCTTTCCCAGATGCCAGTGAAAGTAGACTCCAACTGGTAGATATGGGCATTTTCGAATGGGCTTTTATCTTCTTATATCTTTTTGGTTCATTCTAAATTTCGAACGAATTGCCCAAATTCCGTTTTGGAGGCCAGACCAAGCTTGCCGTGGTAGGAAAAACCATGTCCATGGCATGATTTCATGTGTGTTGATTTAGACACAGTGCAAAGTCTATCTATAATTCTCAGTGTCTACATAGGATTACGACAATATAATTGCCGAAATCACCTCCGAGATTATCAAGCTTGCAGGAGCTGTGAAAAGCCTACTTGTCTATCGTTTTAATTATTTCATTGCAAGTTTCTGGTGAAGAAGTCTCAGTGGCTTGCCGTACAGTTACTCGGTACAATACCTTTTTTGGCAGGGCTGACCAGATAGAGTACCCTGGAAACTGCCTCAGCCCAGAGGCTCCTAAGGACACTCAAGCAGGACATAGAGATGATAGAATGTCTGATTGGCTCTTGAGCATGAGACATGAGAAGTGCGCCTAACACCCGTCTTGCACTGAGTTAAGAGATTGGGTACCCATGGCTTGTTGTTCGTATTCTGTCTGGCGGACAACAACTGTTCGTCACCATTGGAGTGAATTCTAGGTAGTAACCACATAGGACGCCCCGCGATCTATCGCCATTGTTGGCAGAGCCCACTTGGACTGTGGATTCGGACCTATGGCATTGTATTCTTCAGAGAATCGGTGTGACAGGTGTGCCTGGCTAGCTGGACAATAAGAGACAGCCTCGTCCTGGTAACTGGGCATATCGAACCACCCAATGGCATCGTGATTCGAGATCGACCAGCTGGCAAAATGTTTGAGAAGGAAGTAATCGGCCTATAATATTGAGACAGCTGGAAATTCTCCGTTTGAAACTAAGAGAAAAGAAGGCTAAGGGTATGCAAGACATGCGCACATCTTGAGAGATAGTGGACACTTAGCTCAAACTAGATATTATTTAGACGATTATTTTTAGACGATGTCATCCAGTGGATCCCGAGGCAGGACCCAGAACCGACAGGAGGAAATAAGGTACGGAGCACGGAGTGGATAGGTCTGGCCAATTCAAGATGACCCGACCGCAACCGCGGTGAGGGCGAGCCTGGTTGAGCAGCTGAGCAGCCATTTGCGCACCGAGACCGAGGGAAGAGTCGTGAAAGCAGCCAGCGTGAGAATGCAGGTACTGGGCCCGGCCAACGCAGCCCGGCCCGGCTGAAACGGGGCTTAAACAACGATCGCAGACCCCGTGATGACATCACCTGACCGACACCCGTGGCCGGGGCTGAGTCAGCACCCCCCGGCCCAACCAGCAGTCGCGACGGCGAGACCAACTGGATTCCGTTTCGCTCCCCCCGAACGGAGAGTTGCGCCTGAACAGTGAATCATTCAACCTGCTGGTTGGCATCCTCCTCGTCGTTGACTGAGTCTGACCAAGTTTCCCTCCTTAGCACTGAGTCTTCGTCAGGTACCTATTTGTCTCTTGGGCCTAGCTGCTCCGATCACTTGCGACTGATCCTCTTTCCCCCCCCTCAGCGCACTCTCTTCTAAGGACGATCTTCCCGCCTTGCTGTGCCTGTCTTCTGTACACTAGTTGCCCGCGCATCCCTCTTTTTTTCTGTGACATACTCCTCACTGTCTATTCGATATGTCGATTATTCTCGAGCCCCCGGAGTTGGGATTCAAACGTAAGCCTTGCCCCGACAACTGTGTATACTCTTCTCCGTGGGACTATCCAAGCTGACTAAATCCCCAGGTCCCTTCGACCATGAGGTGTGCCAGATCTTACATCTGAAGAATGAGAACGCAGAGCCGGTGGTATTCAAGGTATGTACAAACACGATCTTCCTACTCTATCGGATTGTCCTTGTCTTAGACTAATATTCGCTTTTCCTCTAGGTCAAAACGACCGCCCCTAAGCAGTACGTGGCCACTCCTCTTCGCTAGTTGACATACCAATGTCGGTGTGACCCCGGCTAACCAAGGAATAGCTACTGTGTCCGTCCGAACTCGGGCCGGATAGACCCTGGAAAGAATGTGGATGTCCAAGGTTGGTTTCCCGGGGCCCCGTACGACCGTCGCCTTGGCGCAATGGCTGACGATTTGGATAGTTCTACTACAGGCTATGAAGGAAGAGCCTGCGTCTGATGCCAAATGCAAGGACAAGTTCCTTGTTCAGACTGTCGCGGTCACCCGTGACATGGAGTTCGCCAATGTTACCTCTATTGTATGCCGTCCCCATACCTGGATCTCCACCGGCAGTGATCTAACATAGCCCCATAGTTCGAGAAAGCCTCTAAGGCTTCGCTTCAAGAACGCAAGATCCGTGTGAACTGGCTGCCTGCAGATGATACCCCAGCTACGGAACAGGCCGCCGAAACGAACGGCGTAAGAAACCCCTCACCGACCCCTTTTCGAGTCCCCAGGCCCCGAGTAACTAATTTCTCCCTCTAGAATATGCCGGAAGAAGAGCCGCCAGCCTACACCTCTCCCAGCGCAAACTTTGAGACTCCAGCTGCAGCAGTTTCCAAGAGCGCTAACGACACGTCACCAATCCCACCGCCAGATTTCAGCGATAAGCCCAAGCGGGAAGTGTCCACACCACGAGCGAATGAGGACCAAGCCACGTCTTCGAAGTTGCCCACAGCAGGCAAAACAACAAGTTTGAGCGATGACCTGAAGGCCCAATTGTCCGAGGCTAATGCGCAGATTCTGGCGTTGAAGGAGAAGTTGGCCGACCAGGGCCTGAGGCAGCGGAAGATCGGAGGCGATTCCGAAAAAGTGCCGGCGCCATTGGTGCAGCAAACGCCGCAATCTACCGAGGCTGGCGTGCCGGTGCAGATCGTGGCTGGCCTGTGCCTGCTAAGCTTCCTGATCGCATACTTCTTCTTCTAGCCATCTTCTGACTTCGTCTGCTTTGTGCTCCGCGCTCGCTTTTCATCTCTTTCTTAGCATTGTCCCACCATGCCTCTACCGAACCAACTGTATTCTCTTCTGGAGTGTCCAATTTCCTTGCACAGCTTTGTCGACCTCGGCAATAATGGTGTCCGTCTGATTTCGACGACCTTATTATTTCACCGCGCCGTTCGCAGCCGGCTTATCTGGTGCCTCCGTTCGGCTGCTACTTCATTTCTTTTTTTTTTTTTTCTATACACCCTCTCACCCATCACGCCCCAGTGTTCTGAAATTGTTCCCGGCGAATTTAATGAGATGATGTAGATGGAGGCAGGGCCCCGTTCCATGGAAATGTGTCCATGCGTGGGCCCTCTCGCTGCCCGCGCGCAATTTCCAATTGGTCGGACTTTGTCCTGCCCCTGACTCGACCTAGCGTTTTCTTTCCTTCTTCTCCCCCTTTCCTATATCAATTGTTCCCAGCGACAACATATCTGTTTAGACGAATGCAACGCGTCCATAGTCAGGCAGTAAAGCTAATCATGATGATGCCATTGAAATGTCTATACCGCATATTCTTTCTCCTCTGCTCCTCTAGTCTATCAGATCTTATACTTTAAAGTATTTTAGTTCCTACTACAGGTCATAAGCAAAATAAAACCACAATGCTGATTTGGTTTCTTTTTCTAATCAAATAAACAAATATGGTGATCTAATAAGAGCATATTTCACAAGTTCGGCAGCAAATAAGTTCTTCCCAACATATCAAATTTGACTTGGCTCGGTACCGGCACCGGCCAGTCAATCCGTGGGAACAATAAACCCAGAATGAAGACAGGGGGGATATCATCTCTAGTATATTTCACAGGGTCATCAGTCAATCAATCAACACCGTATATACGGTAGGTACATCTAGGGGGTAGCGAGAGTAGATTTTGGACATGGGGGATGAGATAGGAAAGGCAGATCGATATATTAATCAGTTCTGGATCTCGCTTTCCTTCCATCCATCTCCCGATTCCTCCGGACCAGCCGACGAAGCCGAAATACTCTCACCCGCACGACCACTGCCACCTCCGACGAGACGGCCGCCCTGCGCTCGCTTGACCCGGCACCACATCCCGACGTTCTTGTCCAGGATGAATGTCCAAATAACCCACACCCAGCTGTGGTGGCAGGGGAGCGGCTCGTAGAATTCTCTGGCGATGCGGTGGACCTCGTGCAGCCTTGTCCAGGGGATGGCGGGAAAATCGTGATGTTCATTATGCAGGCCCACGTTGTAGGTGAAAAAATTGAGGGGACCGTAGTAGGAGTATGTTTCCGGCGGGGGAAGAGAGTCGAGAGGATGGGGCTTCTCGGAGGTCTTGTGGTTCTTCTGCTCTTGGATGGATTCGGTACCGTGACCGATTTTGGAGAAGAAGTAGTGTTCTGCGATGAAGTGACCGGCGCAGGGGTGGAGGGAGCCGGCGAGGAAGGAGCTGAGAAGCAGATAGAGGACGGGCTGGAGGGAGCCGCCACAGAACTTGGTCAGGGCGTAATCGAAAGAGAGCTGGAAGGTGAGGTTCAAAAGGTGGATGTAAGTGAAGGGAGGGCTGTAGATGAACATGGGTCGGACGGCGTAGAAGAAGATCTGGAAGGTGCAGAAGAAAGCCTTGCCCAGGAGCGAATCAAGAAGGAAGGCTTCGACCGCGGTGGGAAGATCGGTGTCCAGGCCTGCCACGCCCAGAGATTTGTGGTGAGTGAGGTGATAGGGCTGTGGAACATTTCAAGTTAGCCAATCCGGTATCTTGTTTGGGGTGCCTGTTTCCCCCTTCTAGGGTCCAATCCCCCACATACCCGGAATGCAGCACTGTAGGGCAACCCGATCGGAATATTGGCAAAAATGGCTAGCAGGCGGTTGGCCATTGCGGACCGGAAAGCGAGGTTATGCGAGATCTCGTGGATGGCGAGGAAGAGGTTCTGGTTTGCAGTGGCTCCGATCACGTATGCCGTTGCGAGAAATTTCCAGGAGAACATGGAGGTGTCGCGGAGCAGGTACGCACAGCAGACCTGAAGGGAGACAACGCCCAGAACGACATATTTAGTCAAGGGCTCTGGTCCGCAGAGCTTGGTAACCTGAAGAGAACGCAGAGGCTGTCAGCGATTGTTTGGTAGAAAAGGCCACGACTCGACGGGAAGTATGTGCGCACCTCCGGATGGGCTTTGATGATGGCCTGTCGCCTGGAGCGATGCGGTTCTTCCGTGTAGGTCCAAAAGAATTGGTCTTCGACTGCGGATTGCTCTGGAGGGGGGATTCTGGCCGAAGGCTGTGTTTTGTCCGTAGTGGTCGGCGGTGCCTGGCTCTTTGCTGCGGACACGCGGAGATGCGGTGAAGCATCCGCGGTGGCTTCGACAACGGACGAAGACATAACGAAGGGGAAGGGAAGGGTGGGATTCGATAATGATCACGGGGCAATCTACGCCATGGATGAGCCCGACTAAAGAGTGGGAAGGGGAGGAGAATAGAAATGGGCTGATGGGGGGGGTGGAGATGGAGGAAAGAGAGGGCCGGGATTAACAAGCTGGGAGTCTCGGAGCGGATGCTTTCCACGTGGGGCTACCCGGCAAGACGGATGGTCCGATCTACTGATTCCAGTCATTCCACCCAGGAACATGAGGACTAGTTAACGTGGATTTCATATAATTGGTTCGTTTCAAATAAGAATGCGTCGAGTTGTACATTCCCCAATCCCCCGGCCAAAAATAGCTCCGTCTCAGTAGTCGTCGCCGCGACTGATCACTTCCTTTACGTTGGGACGAAGAACAATCGTCTATCGACTGGTTAGTTGCGGATTCAATGCAATCGCCATTGCTGGGGAAACATACGTGTTCATACTGGGCGGTGTAAGAGCCCTTGATATCGCAAAGAGGAGGGTAGTCCTGGACAATGCCCGACGAGACCAGGTTGTTCAGCTACAAGACTGTGTTAGCATAGATCATCGCCAGAAAGATTAATCGCAACTCACCCCCAGGAGGTACTTGTCCTGGCCCAACCGGTCAAGGTAACGGCGACAGAAGGGGAGAGTGCCGAAGTTCTTGTTGATAACGTTCAACAGGTTCTTCGCCGAAGTGAGACGCAGAGGCACCTGACTGTGATCAGGGATCAAAGCGTAGTGGGAGGTTTCCATCTTCACAACATGTTAGCGATCCAAGACTGCTTATTGGCTGATGTCAATGAACTTACATCCTCTCTCACGTAGCCCTTTCCGGTACTGCCAAAGGTCTCAATGGCAAAGGTTTCACCCTCCTCCATTTTGGTCTGGTCACCGCCCTTGACAATAGGAACACTCTTGCCGCCGTGAATAATGTGTTGTTCAATGTTATGACCGTTCAGGTTGCGGATACACTTGACGGGATACATGGTCCCGTTGAGTTCCACTTCATAACTCTCCATGGCTTCCTGGATAGCGGCACCAATGTCGCTCATCCGGACGTCAATACCCGCTTCCTATAGTGAAGCTGTTAGTAAACGGCCGTAGACACGAAGATACAATGCAGAAAAGATGTTGTAAACATACGCGGATACCAGTGTTGGTAGCATCCTTGACAGCCTCCAGGAGAGGGTCATACACCGGGTCGAAGGCCACAGTGAAAGCACTGTCGACGATGCGGCCATTGATCTGCGCACCGAAATCAACCTTCATCACATCTCCCTGCTGCAACACCATCTTGTTGCCAGCGTTCGGGGTGTAGTGGGCGGCGCAGTGGTTGATACTCAGACCACAGGGGAAACCCATGCCACCCTTGAGGTTGTCACCCTCCTCCAAGCCCTGGTGACCGGTCAAGGCACGGACTGACTCCTCAATGCCCTCCGCGATCTCCGTGAGAGTCTGACCAGGCTTGATGGTCTTCTGCGCATACTGACGGACCTGACGGTGCACCTCGGCAGCCTGACGGTATTCCTGCAGGAAGTCGTTCTTCATGCGGTCGAGGTAGCGCTTCTCCTCGTTGGTGGTGCGGTACGAGTTCTCATTCTGGTACTCGACGATCTCACCCTCGGGGTACTCCTTGCCGGCAAACAGGGTCGACAGGGGAACGCGCGGAGGAGAGCTCTGGACCTTGGCGCCTCCCTTCTTCTTCTTCTTGGACTTGCGCTTCTTCTTTTTCTTGGCGGCTGTAAATCCGCGAATTTGGTCAGTGCGGGGAATTCTGGAAATGGCCGAGGGTATCCGTTGAGAGCGCACCTCCGCTGGCTGCACCCTCGGGGGCAGCGTTTCCATCCTCTACTTCATCGTCATCGGAGTCGTCCTCCGCCTCTCCGGCTTCTGCTTGACCAGCGGCAGGGTCGTCCGCCTTCGCGTCGCCACTCTGACCGTTGACTAAAGTGGGCGGGGAAATCTTATCAGTTGCATGCGGACGGAAAGTGGTACAGATCAGCGACGGGCCGATGACTTACGGTCGAGCTTCTGCAGCTTTTCGCTAGCCTGGGCAGCCATGTTGAAAAGCTGGTAAACCGGGTGGGTTGGTGGTGGGCTAATGGAGGGGAAGGAAAAAAGAGGGCAGCGGCAGCCGTCGGGGAAAAGACAGTGCCAAGCCTGAGGTTGGGTGGAAGTCGGGATCCGCTGCGAAGGCCGTGGGAGACGCAAACGTACCTAGAGCAATGCCAATGCGTCTATAGTAAATTATGGGATATAGGCAAGAAAGACTACTACATGCTGCCGGGAGCTAGACAAGTCATCAAATCTTACTGTCACACAACGATAGCACCCAGAGAAGCTATCCATGCAACCAAAGTCCATACATACACCCACCAAGATACCACTATAAAAACCTCAAAAAGCCCAATCTACAAGACAATTCACTATGAAAGGCCTAGACCTTCATTTCCCGACGCAATGGCAAACCACCCGCCCAGCCAGCATTGAATGGTATGTAGTACTAGTGAACCCCGATCAACCATATCAGATCAGATAACCGACCGATGACGCAGCCCGTCTTCCGAAGAGCGGCGGATTTCCTCCCCATCGCATCCTCTCTTCGACCACTCCTCCAACAAATACAAAACTCTTCCTCCTCCATTCTCTCCTCTCCCCAAACCGAAACATAAATGTAACCCTCTACACCCAAAGAAATGTCCCTCCCACGTCTACGGCCCACCGCCGCCCGCCTCCGATACAGGATCAATACGCACAGCTCCAACTACTACATCAACACCACCCCCTACGCCTTCACCCAACGGACCCCCTTCTCAACCACCCAATTCCACCATGCCTCAGCCCGAGAACCAAATTTATACGAAATCCTTGACATCCCACCCACCGCCTCCCAATCCGAGATCAAAAAGTATTCCTCTCCCCTTCGCCGACCTTCACACTCTAAACTACCAACTAAGAACTAACCAACCCCACCAGACAATTCTACACCCTCTCACTAAAGCACCACCCAGACCGAAACCGCGACGACCCTAGTGCCTCCTCCCGCTTTGCCCGAATCTCCAGCGCCTACAACACACTCAGCAACGCCTCGAAACGTTCCATCTATGACCGCGACCACAACATCCACACGCACAGCTCAACTCACAGCACCGCGAACCCAGGGCAACACCCAATGGGCAGTTATAGTAGCTACAGCGCGAATCTGCACACGAAGGGGGCGTCGTACGCGGGATCCAGACCGGCCAGCGGATTGAGTAAACGGCGGGGTGCATTTCGGGGTCCACCGCCAAGTTTCTATGCGCATGGCGGGTATGGGAGTAGTAGGAGGCCGGGGCCAGGGGCGACGGCGGCGGGGGGAGGTGGCGGTGGGGAGAAGAAAACGAAAGTGGGCGAGGAGGAGGATCCGGCATCGTTTATTGATCGGAATACTGTGTATCATTTCAATGCGAGGGGGCATTATAAGACGCAGGCGAGGGAGGATGAGAGGAGGCAGGAGCGGAGGTCGAGGGAGACTGGCGCCTCAATTAATGACAAATTTATTGGGAGCCCCGGAGCTTTGGCCGTGCGGTTCGTCGTGATCTGTGGCATCCTGATGGGAGCGGGTGCTATGTCGGGATTGTTTCACAACGATCGGGTTGGTGGCTCAAAAACGACCCCGTTGGCGCGGCGGAGGGATGGCTAATCCCGGGTCATCTATGTTTGTGTTTGAAATGCATCTATGTCTTGGGAGCTGGCTGTCCGGGTACATAGACATTTCATCTTGCGTGGGTTTATTTGGAAAGGAGGGATCCGATGTGCATCCGGTTACAGTTGGTTCTATACCCGCGACTCGGCTCCGAGTCCACTTGTGTTATATATGATAGACTTGCTTCCCCTGAACAAAGAAAATGTTGGCTTGATTGATATACACTATCGTTGGAGGGTGTGATACATGATTATTAACTAGACATCCATATAACAGACCCGCGCCCACTCCCAACTCCTATCCCGTGTATACCAAGTCCGTCTAGAGACAACCCGGAACCAATATAGGTCTACCTTCATGGCTTCCACATATTAATCTACGCAGCTGCACAGGAGAACAAAGGACTAGGCATGGGCGGGTGCTGAGAAGGAGAACTCGTCTAAGCCTCGAAGGTGAAGCTGGCGCCAACCTTGTGGGCAGCCTGGTTCAGGTTCTGGGTATCGAAAGAAGCACCAAGGCCGAGGGTGACACCAGGGCGGAGGAGAACGTTGTAGGCCAGAGCGGCAACACCACGGTCGTTGATCTTGGCCTATAAGGAGAAGCAGGTTAACGATTGAACTTTCAGCTCTTGGTTGGCTGTGTTACATACCTTGGCGAAGGAAGAGGGGTCAAGTCTGTACTTGCTGGCAACCTCAAGGCCAACGGAGTTGCCGGCCTTGGAGTCCCAAGTGGCCTTAGCACCAGCCTCAACCTGGGCGTTGACGCGGTGGTAGTAGCTGGCCGAGAAGACGGTCAGGTTGCTGCCAGCGGTGATGGCAGCAGAGTACTGGGGAACGCTGTATCCGACGGCAGCGGAGTACTTGGTGATGGCGGCCTTCTGGACGTCGTAGCCACCCTCAGCACCGACGAGGAAACCCTCGTGACCGAGGACAGCGTCGAAGTTGGCGGAGGGGCCGTTGAGCAGGTCGAAGAAAGCACGAGCGTGCAGGTTGGGCTGCTTGAAGTACAGGTTGAGCTTGGCACCCTTGGACTGCTTGGCGGGGAGGTACTGGGTCAGGATCTCAGCCTTAAGGCCCTTGGCGATGTTGTTGTCAAGCTCGAGCTTGGTGTCGAGGGCGTTGGCGGTGGTCCAAGCCTGAGTGAGGGTAAGGCCTGGGCAGGGACGTAACATTAGCATAACTGCATGATCCACAATCCTGGACATGAAGAGGAAGGACAAGTGCTGGGGTGAGACATGGCCACACGAAAACATAAACATGGACCCGTTCTCAAGCACTCTTGGGGATTGAGGGGCGGGTGATGTGCGCAAGGGAGGTTCGCATCGTTTTTTGCGTTTCCGGGGGCCTTTACCAGTGGGCTTGTCGACGTACTTGGCCTCGAGCTATAGATGGACGAACATTAGCATCAAAGGGTGCTACAAAGGAGGTCTCAGTCGGGAGCACTTACGGAGCCAGCAATGGGACCCTCGTGGGCGGACTTGCCCTTCACGTTGAAGGTGACGCCATTGGGAGCCTTGGACTTAACCTCAAGGTTGGCTAAAGCAACATGAGTCAGCTGAGTCGCGCGCGAAAAAAGTAACCAGCCCAACTAGAGAGCGCAAGAATTGGGAGGAGACTCACCGGCGCTGTTATGGTAGAAATCCTTGTTCAGGAGCTATTGCGCTGGGTATTAGCACGAAAATCCCTTCCCGGCAAGCTGTCTTCCAAGGTAACAATTTTCAGAGAAACTGTTGAGGGCAGCATACATCGTTGGCCGCCTTGGCGATGTCAGAGAAAGCAGCAGGGGCAGACATTGTGAATTATGTGTGGATGGAGATGACGAAAACGTCGGAGGTAGATGAAGGTAGATTGGAAAGGTGAGGATGATGAGGGGAGGGAAAGGAAAGGGAAACGATGGGGAAGCCGGGCAGGAAGAGGTCGAAGTTGAGTCGCCAAACAATGGGGAAGCCACGGGAGAAACCCCCCACCCTGATTGGTCGGTGCTCGGTTGCCGGTAGAAGCCGCTAAGTCCCGTGACGTCGATGCCTGGGGCCGTGTTTCCGCGCCTTAAGTTCTTACGGTCTTGTCTTGCTGTCTTACGAACCGGTCCGTTCCAAGGTTTCTCGAGAGTTCGCCGGGCGGAGTTTACTGGTCTACTACCGGTCCCTCCTCGGCTTCCGTTGGTCCTGGATGTGGTAACGAATTCCTGCCCCGACGGTCGCAATTATGCGGACTGCTCCGGACGTCTGCTTGGACTTGACCGCCCCTCACGAAAGCATCCATGACAGGTCTCGCCCATTGGCACAGCATGCATGGACCTACCATGGTAGTACCAGCCCAACCACATGGGGGTTTTAAAGACCATGACAACACATCATCATGGTCGGAGTCGTCATAACGCCAGAAACTTCTGCCATTCTTACAAATCTTGCCAAAACAAGGTAGTGGATGAAGGCGTGGGAGATGAAGAAGGTAAAGCCAGTACGCGGTGATCCCGACGCTTCTGACTGAAATTCGCTTTTTTTGCGTCCCAATGAGTATCCCTGGTAAATCATCTATACATGTTTCTATACCCAAACTCTCCGCAAGATGTTAAGACACGCAAAATTCATAACCCAGACATTTACACAGCGTTTTCGTACTTGGCGTTGTGAGTCGCAATAGCTCTAAAATTGTCCAGTGTATCAGCGCCTGTCTTTGGGTGCTTGGAGGTTAAATGCGTTAGATGCTTACCTGCCGCTCGGGTCGGACTGCTTCGACCAGGTCGGTACCCAACGCTCAACGGTACCGGCGCAAGTGGGTGGGAAGTGTTCGTCGAACATCATGCGGTACCAGTAGCTAATGTGTGTCAGTTTCTGTCTTCAACAATACAGATGTCCTAGACGTACGCTTCCTTGGTATCGGGGATATCGCTACCCCACTCGGGCTTGGGGTTCTTCATCATCTCGTCGGTAACCTGCAGTTCAGCCTGGTCCTTGAGGCCGTCAATCCAGCTGTAGCCGACACCGTCACTGAACTGCTCCTTCTGGCGCCAGAGGATGTTGTCGGGCAAGTAAGGCTTGACGTCGGGCTCGTCGGTGGTGTCAAACGCCTTGCGCAGGATGTACTTCTCGATGCGCTCCTTGGTGATCATCTTGTCGGCAGGATCAACAGCCATGGAAGTCTCGAGGAACTCCTTGTCCAGGAAGGGGACACGGGCCTCCAATCCCCAGGCGGAAGTGGACTTGTTAGCTCTCAGGCAATCCGCCAAGTGCAGGTTCTTGACACGTCTGACGGTCTCCTTGTGGAACTCCTCGCGGTTAGGAGCAGCGTGGAAGTAAAGGTATCCACCGAAGATCTCATCACTACCCTCACCACTCAAGACCATCTTGACACCCATAGCCTTGATCTTGCGACTGAGCAGGTACATGGGGGTGGAAGCACGGATGGTGGTCACATCGTAAGTCTCCAGGTGGTAAATGACATCAGAGAGAGCGTTGAGACCGTCCTCAACGGTGAAGGTGAAGGCGTGGTGCTTAGTTCCGAGGAACTTGGCCACCTTGAGGGCAGCCTCCGTGTCGGGAGCACCCGGCAGACCAATGGAGAAGGAGTGCAGCTGCTGGAAGGTAGTGACAGTGGACAGCTCGTTGGAGTCGTCAATGCCGACCAATTCGTTCAGATCAGCACCCTGCGCTTGAGCAGCCAAGGAAGCCTCCTGCATGCGCAGAGTTTCCCGCTGAGCGATAGAGGCGACCAAGCTGGAATCAAGACCACCCGAAAGCAGGACACCATAGGGGACCTCAGCCATCAGACGCTTGCGAACAGCCTTCTCAAAAGAAGCACGGATAACCTTATAGTCGACAGGGGTGGAGGGGACGTTAGTCGCATCCCACCACTTAGGCTGGAAGTAGCGAGTGAATTCGCCGGTCTTGGAATCATAGATGTGACCAGGGGGGAAAGCCTCGACCTTGTCGCAAACCGGGTGCAGAGACTTCAGTTCAGAAGCGAAGTAAACCGCTCCGGGGGTCTCAGAGGACCAGCCAATGTAGAAGCTGGTGACACCGATGGGGTCCCGTGCAGCGACAACCCTGTCCTGGTTCTTGTCATAGAGAACCCAGGAGAACATGCCGTCGAGATACTTGGGGGCATCGAGACCGTGTTCCATGTACTGAACCCATCAGCGTCTCTACTCAAAAGCCACATCTAGGAAACCCTTCGCACATACCAACGGAATGACGACCTCGCAGTCCGAATGCGTCTTGAACTCATAATCGGCCTTCAGGCCCTTTCTCAGGATGCGGTGGTTGTAGATCTCGCCGTTGACGGCGAGGGCGAGGGAACCATCGTGGTTAACGAGGGGCTGGGCACCGGAGTCTTAAACGGAACGTCTTAGCAAGGATATCGAAAGGAGCCCTGACGAAAATGGTCACATACCGACACCGACGATACTCAAACGCTCGTGCGCGAGGACTGCAGGTAAGTTAGCCTCGACATTCAAATCCGCAAACCGCTGCTCGACTCACTAGTCTTCTCCGAGATGAAGCTTCCACCTATGCTTGTGTCAGATAAACCCTACTACCAGCAAATTTCAATAGCACTATGACTCACTCCAATCGGGTCCACGGTGGCGCAAACTGTCAACAGCAATCAGTACCAAATCCGCAGACAATCAAAGAGACCGGGACACTTACGCCTTGGCCATGCGCAGGGCCGTAGGCTTGAACTTTTGCACATCGGGATGACTATCGATACCAGGTCAGAGGTTGACTCAAAGAGACGATGGTGGCGGGGTGTGGACCGCGAAAGAAATCAGAGTGACACAAAAAGATTTGAGCAGGAACATACTGGTGACACGCGAAGATACCACACATGCTGGCTACAATCAATTGAGAAACGACTCAAGAAAGGCAGACAGCAGAAACCCAAGCAATACGAAGGGAAATTGACTAAGCGTTGGAAAGACCGGGCGGGAAGAGGAAGAGGAAGCGGGAAATCTTAAATATGGATGAAAAGCGACACCGTTCGCGGCGGCGGGGCGGAACCCGAGGGGCGATTTCGGCCACAAATTGCAGTGACTCACTTCCGATAAGATAGCCGCTACGCACTGAATCGGACGTTTTGACGACGCCCTTATTGGCCGTGCCTGGCAAAGGTCACTCTTGTCGTCTTCGCTTGCGCGCATTACTCCCCCACATATTTACTTCTCCAGGTTTCTTTTCTTCTGGGATCGTTTTCGCACTAACCATGTCAGATTCTCCGGATTTGCGTTAGAGTTGGAGATTTGGAGTCAATTAAGACCCCCCCACTGGAGGGGCACGCGGCTCTCTATGACCATTTGAAACACAGGAAAAACAGGCGCGTATCCGCAGTAGATGTAGATAGAAATATGAGAACCAAAAGAATGACAGACGATCGGGTAAATCACAAATAATATTGTCAAACGCCGTCCATAACCGCCCCAGTTTTGTCAATCTCAGTACGCCACGCTGCTCGCTAAGAAGAAAAACCTGGCAAGAGCCTCCAGAGACAAAGTGTTCGACCAACTAGATCAAGCTGCGAGATGAAAAAGTCAAGATACAGTCCGACGCGACCTTCCCAAATCGGTTGACCGGAAGAGCGCGACGAACTTCATTCTGGTTTATGTGCGCCCTTCTCTCTTTCTCTAAAGGCTTCCTCACCATTCTACCCCACGTGGGAGTACACCACACATAACAATCGGGCCGCCGTATGCGCCGTGATAATCACAAAGCTGGGTTGTATTCAAGGAGTATAGAAAACGTGACGAGCGTAGGCGTGGCTTCGTTGGGTTAATAATGATGTCTCGTGCCGTCGTTTAAAGTAACTTAAAGAGCGGGATTCTCCCGCACGACTTGTCTCACCCGCTTTTCATAAGCAGGGCGGTCCTTCTTAAACAAGTTGTATGCTTCCGCCTGCGCAGGTGACTCCGGGTTGGGGTCATCCAGCAAGTCCTGGATACCCAAGAGAATTTGCTTAATGGTGATAGCAGGTTTCCAGGCTTCCTCTTCGTTCAAGATGGAAAGACAGACGGTGCCGGAGGGGTAGACGTTCGGGTGGAAAAGTGGAGGGACGAACTTGCCTGTCAAAGGTTGTTCTGGTTAGCTTGTTGCGCGACATGACTGAGAAAGATGTGAAAAAAAGAAACAAGAAAGAGCAGTTGACCGGCTTCCAGTATGAGATCAGAAAAGGGGAAGGCTTACATTTTGGCGGCTTCGTGGGATACTCTGCGACCGAACAGAGGTTAGCCGGCCTGTCGCATAGAGTGCTAGTCGACACTCGCGCCTTACTCACCGTCAGGAAACGTAACATCCAGCTTGAAAAGTCCACCCTCCCAAAGTGTCTGCGCCTTTCCGGGGATACCGCACTCCCATCTCTTCAAGTCGAGCGTGCCCTGAGGGGTTCGGTGTGGTTTCGCGTAAAAGCCGAAAGGATGGTCGCGCCTCCACTGTTTTCTGTAGTAGTTCGCATTCGCAGTTAGTGACTGGAAGAAAATAGGTCGGAAAGGCCACAGATGGGGCATATGCGGCGTTATCAGACACATACCTCTCCTCCGTAAGACGGTTCTGGCACAAGGACATGATGGGTGCGATTTGCGAATTACGTATGTGGAATGGGAGTTGAGCAAGGCTGGAAAGACGATGAGGGGTCGCGGGTGAGAAGAGGAGAAGAAAGAAGGACGAGGGAGAAGAAGAAGGACGTAGCTATGAGAGAGTCAGACCCGTGAGCAGAGAAAGACGAGCAGTGAAGTTGCAGAGAGGAAGTAACACTGTCTTGGGCGTGCAGCAGCTCATCGCTGGGTTTGATGCCCCACAGCCAATCACTCCCCGGCGGCGCTGCAGGTCATCACTATCACATGACCCTGATAGATCCGCATCGGCCCCAATCGATCAGTCGATTGGCACTCCCCCTCCCTCAGAGTTCAGTCGTTTCCTCCCGAGCCTTGGGTAACGGAACAACCGGAGGGTTCCATGCACGAACTTGCTTGGGCTCTTTGGTAGGAGGTAATCCAGGCACCAAACGGGATTGAGGCCCTGCTAAAGTCTAAATGACCCTTGTGATGGAACTTAGACTGGGTGCATAGGAACAGGCAATAAAGAAATCCACAATTTCTGGCAATCACCCTGCCCAAATCGGGCAATCCTGAAAAGCCAGACAATGGTTGTCACTACTATGTCTTTATTTACTCCGCCTAAATGCACGTCTGTGAAGCCACTTCCCGTTGCTATATCCATGCCTAAGATATAAAAGATCGCTTGGCCTCAGATATCCTTGCATCCCTCGTATTCCCTTGTATTCCAAAAATCCCATCCCTGGTTTGGTTCCCAGCAGTTCCGCACTATCACAGAACTAAAGATGTGCCATGAGATCGCCTGGTACCATGTCCGTTGCTTCCACATCAAGCAACTCTATACCCTCCGCATATGGTGCATTCAGACAGTCAAGCCCGGTGAACGCTGCGGCAAGACGGAGGTGCTAAGCATCCCAATCCTGGAAGTATGTCCCCAGTGCGGATCTGATGACGCTTTGACCGACCTGGGAGAAGTCGAAAGCGAAACGCAGGCATTCTCTGCGATGGCACAAGGCACTAGGGATGGTTATTTGACCAAGTTCGATCCTTCTCCCACAAGCGACGCATGTGAGGATGATCTGGTCAACGAGTTGGAAATGTTGGAAGTGTTCGATATGATCACATTCTGAGAGTGCTCAGTGTTGTGATTTCCATTTCATTGTATCGTCGTCGACATTCCCAACCCCATCGCTTATAGGTATCATGTGTACAAGGCTGCTTCTTGCTATCAATTATCGTATATCCCCTGTTCGAAGTCAGACACGTCATAGAACCGGGCAGTGATCGCGTTTCCATTGAATATCCGACCCTCGAGGGCGTTGACAGCCTTAATGTTCTTAGTATCAACACAGTACCAGAATAGGACCCACGACTTACCCGTAGCGCCGAGAGCTGGTTGGTAAATTTGACAAACACCGGCACTGGAGGCGCCGAATCTCTAGGAATGAAGACACGTTCGACACGACCGTACTGTACCATATTAGATTGGGGCATGCAGAAGGCAGATAATATCCACCTACCTTCTCGGAGCATTCTTCTCCAATCTCCTGCATCAGACCACCACCCTCACTACCTCCGGCCAATTCGGCATCCACATCCATCCCGTCAAGCATACCTTTGAGGATGATCACTTCGCTCATTGGGCCGAACTTCCCCTCCTCTTCATTCTTCCTTGCGCCGCCAATGATCTTGCCCCGACCAGCGGGTGTAGCAAACCCACCACCTTCGGCGTCCGGTCGCTTCTTCTGTTTCTCGACCTTTACTTGCAATGGCTTGACGATGCCTGACCCCGTTGCGCCCAGGCCAGAACCCTTGGTCCAGCCGTACTTTGTCATGAGCCGTTCAGCGAACCCCTTCTGCCCGGGTCGAAGGGAGCGCTGGCCATCATCTTCCGGCTCATCTTCCACGGGCTGCTCCTTCGCGAAGACTTCTTCAAGCTCCGCCTCCGACGCAGGTATATCCTCGGGCGGGGGAGGCAGCGTGTAACGAACCGGTGCACGGGATACGGTCGCAGATTCTGGATGTAGGGCTTCCAGAGGCCTGGTTGGCGGTGGAGCAGCAGGGATTCCCGTAGGCTGATTGCCCATCGACATTTGGAGGCGTCGTAAGTAGGCATCTTCTCCTGTAGGGTCATCCGGAACCTGGGCTGGTGGTTCATGAGGCGGAGGTGGCGGTGGAGGGATATCCGACATAGACATGTCTCCTTGGGTTTCGCTTGTTTGTTCCGGGGTATGTGATCCCATGGGTGGTCGGGGTGGCATGTCGTTGAGATTGGGGGGCGGCGCGAAACTACTCGGAGGAGCAAATTGTCCTGGAACTCAGTTAAGCAAAACATTTTCCCCGGCTCGGGTCCAAGTAACTTACGGTTCATGGGCCGTACGTAATCATCATCGCTATACGAATCTCTGCTTGGTGACCTGGCCATGCGATGTGCGTAGAGACGGTCCTTCCATTCCCGGACTTCGGCTATTTGTTCGTCGCTGTGCTTGTACTCTTCGTAGTTGTTCGGTCGCGACGGGTCATAGATATCGTCCCAGTTCTGCATGAACTCCTGCGCATCGCGATTCTTCTTGCGCTTCTTGCGACCACCTCGCTGCCTCTTCGGGCCGGCGTAGAATCCATTGACATCGTCATCCTCTGTGGCTGCCCAATCCGCAAGAGTAGTCTTGACTGGGGCAGCTGCCGGGGCCGCAGGTGCTGCGACAGCCTTTGGTATTGTTGGTTTTGCTTTCGGTTTTTGAGTCGCTAGTTGGGGTCTTCTGGTAGGTTGAAATCTGAGAGAAGCTAGATACCACCAACAGGAACAATAGAGTGGACAAGTGAGCAATCAGATCGGTCAAGGAGCGCAGACAAGAAAGATTCAGTCAACGAAAGAGGGTATGAGTCTACCAGAATTGAGCTGCTGCTTTTTGGCAGCGGATTCATCCGACTGAGAGTCACCTTCAGTGCTCTGCTTGAAGACGACTGGGGCGCGAGCAATCGTTCCGGGAGAGTTATCGGCGGAGGGATCCAACAAATTGGCGTAGAGCGAGAGAGTAGCCCCAGATTTCGAGGGGGTGGAGTCGGAATTCATTGCCAAACAGTTTATGAGAGGGGAACTGTTCAACGAGCCTGAAGAAGATCCATGTAGGCCCAAACGGTCCAAGTGAGATCGGCTTCAAGTCGTGCAATCACCGGGCCATCTATGCGGGGTTTGACCGGTTTACACAGTTTGCAGCGTTTGCATTTGCATATGCTGACTAATTTGCATAAGCTGTCCCAAACGGGACATGACAAGGAAGTGTCGCCCAAAGAGGAGATCCCGAGGCCGGAGAATTAATCATTATTGAGAAAGGAGGTGTACCGTCGAATGCTTTCCCTTTCAGCATTGCCGTGGTAAACAATTCTCACGGGATTAGGAAGTCTTCCTCACACAAGAAACACGAGCGTCCAGTCGTCATCGATATTATTCATACAATTTCCATCACCATCCCTGACAGCCAAGGCCCAAGCGGTACCGCCGTGCAGCATACTAACGACCATGGCAACCTTGGCCCGGTCATTCTCCTCCGATAGTGCTGACATCGCAGTCCTAGTCCCCAATAAACCCACTCCGCTATCGATCTCCTATCAGCAGTTGCACCGCCATATTGCCGATTTCCAAGCCAAGTTAGCTCGACTGGGAGTCGCCCATGGCGCCGCCGTATCACTGGCCCTGGTCAACTCCTATGAGTTCATAGTCGCATTTCTAGCCGCCTCGTGGCAGCGAGCCATCGCCGCGCCTTTGAACCCGGCCTATAAGCAGGAGGAATTTGAATTCTACATTGATGATCTGAGCTCCACACTGGTTCTGATTCCGAGGGGATCATACATAAAGGATGGACCCGCCGTTCGTGCGGGCAGGAAGTACCAGGCGGCCATTGCGGAGTGCTATTGGAACGGCTCCGAAATCATCTTGGACGTCAAGGAACATGGAAAACTGACAGGCAATGGAGGCGTAGACATCCAGGAAGCCCAGCCTGAAGATGCCGCACTCGTCCTACATACCAGTGGAACCACTGGCAGGCCCAAAGCTGTATGCTCCACCACCCCTTTGGATACCTCACATCGCTAACATACCCATCTAGGTTCCCCTCACTCACAAGAACCTGACAACCACGATGAGTAAGTACTAGTGATACAACGCCACACATGCCCCATGTAGACAGCCATTAACGAGCTCGCGACAGGGAACATCCAAGCAACGTATAACCTTACTCCAGCAGACCGGACGTACCTTGTGATGCCACTGTTCCATGTCCACGGTCTACTGGCTGCATTCCTTGCCCCTCTATACTCCGGAGGCTCTGTAATCGTTCCTGTCAGATTCTCGGCATCGGAATTCTGGTCGGATTTCATCACCTACAAGGCGAACTGGTACACAGCCGTACCAACCATCCACCAAATTCTACTCAAGACCCCACTACCCAACCCAGTGCCTCAAATCCGCTTCATCCGCTCCTGCTCCTCACCCCTGTCACCAAAGACCTTCCAGGATCTAGAAAAAGCGCTCAACGCACCAGTCCTAGAAGCCTACGCGATGACAGAAGCCGCTCACCAAATGACCAGCAACCCTCTTCCCCCTGCAAAGCGCCAACCAGGCAGCGTGGGTGTCGGACAGGGTGTTGAAGTGCGCATCTTAGACCACAACGGCAACGAAGTCCCCCAGGGCCATGAAGCAGAGATCTGCGTCCGGGGCGAAAACGTAACCAAGGGCTACCTGAACAACCCATCCGCAAACAACTCCTCTTTCACTCAGGACGGATTCTTCCGCACCGGTGATCAGGGCAAGAAGGATGCGGATGGCTACGTGATCATCACCGGCCGCATCAAGGAGCTTATTAACAAGGGCGGTGAAAAGATCAGCCCGATTGAGCTGGACAATACGCTCCTACACCACCCGAAGGTTGCGGAGGCGGTGTGCTTCGCTATCCCGGATGAAGGGCACTATGGTGAAGACATTGGTGCTGCAGTCGTCCTTAAAAACCAAGTGAGTGCCACGGAAGAGGAGTTGAAGTCGTGGGTGGAGTCCAAGTTGGCCAAGTTCAAGACGCCTAAGAAGGTGAGTTATTTCCTACTATCACTGTGGCTGCAAACGGGACATTCACTCAATCGCGATATAGGTGTGGCTAGTTCCGCAGATCCCCAAGACAGCAACGGGCAAGGTCCAACGGCGGAAGGTAGCGGAAGCGATGCTGAAGGTCAAGGCGAAATTATAAATGTATGTACATGCGCGGTTTTACATGGTCATAGACAATTAGTTAGAATACGAAAAGTGCGAATCTCAAATCCTCTTTGATGCCGAATATGTTACTTGTCTACCTTTCTATATACCAGATCAAGTAGGAACTGTTAAAGAAGGTCGCTTCAAGACCAGACTGTACGACTACTTGACATTTCTGACTACCTAGATTGAATACTAAGTACACTGTAGCTCAACTGAAACTGGTAGGAAAACTTTTCCCCCGGACAACTCAGCGCAGAGGCCTGCTGCTTTGGGAGGGTGCGTACCGAGAAGTTTCCAGGCCGCTCAAGGCCGAGGTCCTGGGCTTGGGCTCGGGCTCGGGCTTCGGGGCATGCATTGAACGCTGTAGCTCAGGCGAGGGATTGGCGAATGGCTGGGTATTTTCACCAACATCATCCGGGCGAAACGCTTCCATGACTGAAGATTTTTGCGGCAATGTGAGCGAATACGGCTGCGGGATCGTGAACTTGACGCGAGGCTCCGAGGGCCCTAGGGTCATTGTTAGCATTAGGGTTGGTAAGGAGTAAAGAGATTGAAATATGATCCATACCACCAGGTGGTAGCTGCTTCGCCACCAGCGGGTCAGGTCCAGTAACCATGGAATTCCGACGCCTTCCGGGGAGCAGGTGGTCACCGATGATGTGGCCCTCGGTGAGGGAAATCCGGCGGTGGGGGCAGGGGGTTTGCGGAATGCAAGTTGACTCACTCGAGATGCTATTTGCTGGGGAGCGATATGGCATGTGAGGAAAGAATGGCGGCGCTGTCACATTCAGTCGGCTTTGCGGGCTTGGGCTCTGAGTAATATCTAGCCTTACACTCTCCATGGGTGTATCCTGCATATCCAACAAATCGAGACTTGATTGCGATTGTCCGCCTGGTTCGGCTACCGCCCCGACATCTTGAGAGATGTGTTCGTCTGGGAAAAGGACCCCTTTCCCTTTTGTTTCGTCCGTGGGGCTATGCTTGTTCATCTTTCCTTCGAGCTCATCCTTGCATTGCTTCAAGTTCTCACGGCTCGCATCGGATAGCGAGGTTGATTCAAGCAGTTCGCAAAGGATGTCAATTTGGCGCTTCAAATTAACTGCAGACTTCGATCCGATGGGTTGAATCATGGGCGCGGAATCATAAAGCACTGGATCCTGCAAGAGATCTAGGTCTTCAACAAATTCAAGACCTTGAAGGTCTTCCAAAGTAGGACTCATCATTGCCGTGGCAAGAGGGCTTCGGCCAAGGAGACTTTGCTTCGGTGGTGTAGAACTAAGATCAAGCAAAAGTGCATCCGTGGCATTCGTGGTTGCCAATGACCTGCTGTCATCATCTCCAATTGCATGATATTTCCCTAACGAGGATTTCTCAACCGTAATCGGCGTAGGCATACCAGACGTAACTTGCTCTTTCACATGAGATTGGGTTTCCACCAACTCAGAAGTAGACCGTTCGGATTCTAGGCTCATCGATGCAGACCCTTCTTCCTGAGAAGCTGTATCTCGTACGGTTGAGGACAGTGAAAGTGGGAACGGCTCGCCTGCTCTAGTTATATTCTGGCGCTGCGAAGAAGTGCTCCGAGTAGTAAACGGCACTGGCGGGTCTCCCGAACGGGTGGCAGCCTGAGGGCGTACAGGGATTCGAAATTCCGCATGCTCCTGTACCTTCAAGGGGCTATAGTGACCGCTGGCACCTGCTGTATCCAATGATCTTGTACTTTCCTCGGGCCTACTATCGCCAGAAACCTTGGCAGCGCCAGTGGGAGTGACTCCTGCAGTGTTTGTGTTAACAACTACATTGCGAGCAGCGGCCAGAAAATTCTCAGGCGGGCTGATGAGGCGTCCATAATCAGCCCTGCGGGGTAAAGGTTAGACACTGTGTCATCGAGGGAGGTAGCTTATAACATACATAGGCCTTCTGGCACTGATAGTAGGTGTTGGCTTTCGAGTAGCTAGATGATCACATTAGGAGGTTTAATTTCCGTCATCACAAAGACCGAGATCTTACAGGGCTGTCTATTCTGCACTTTGTATGCGTCCTCTTTCCTAGACGCATTTCCCTGGCGCGTCCCTTTGTAAAAGTCATTGGATGTATCAAGAGCTGGGTCTAGGTGAGGTTTCGTTGGGGGTAGGACAACGCGGTACCCAAAATTTGGAGTTGACGACCTGGAAATACGTGTATTCTTTAGTCCAATATCCATGATGGAAAGGTACCAATACTCACGTCAAGGAGCCTTGCCTTGTTCCACGCCCCCGAGTTCCTATAACACCACCGCCGCGAGCGCGCGAGCGCGGTGCTCTGATCGATGAAGCAGCTCCAGGATGCCTCTCACTTCCAGTCCTCGCATGTGTTTGCCCTCCGCCTTCACGGATTGTCGCGTTCAAGGCAAGGCGGTGGGTTTGTCCGTCAAGGAGAGGGTCAAGATGTTCGAGGTCCTCGGTATCGCCTATTGTCTTGTAGACATCTTGAAGATATGGTTCAGTAAGATACACAAACTTCAAGGTTAAATTTCCTTCGATGACTTACTTGCCCAACCCGCGAGTTGTGCCTCGTTTTTTATGGCCAATTTCTGGGCGTCAGAATTTTCGACGTACGCCAACCTTCCTGCTTCGATGTCTTGTAGCCTAATCCGTCTATGATGTTGGTCGTCCGCCGTTGAAATATGCTCTCGTCTTGCGGTCCCTAAGTCTTCCTATAGGCTGGGTTAGCCGTCGATCCAGCTTCAAAACGCGAGAGCAGGAGAACCGGCTCTGCGTGGAACGAACCATCTGAAGCCTTCCGAGGCGGTCTGAAGAATTGGAGGCCATATTTTTAGGGATGTGCTTCTAACAACCGAAGAACAGCAAAGATTCAATACGATCTGTGATGGGCCGAGATGGAATCTAGTGGAAGTCAGGCATGTTAGACAAGGCACAACAACGCGTAGGGAAGATAACAGAGTGAATGCAGGCAAAGGTACTTTGATAACAGTCATACATTCACCTGCCACTGACTAGATCAATGGAAAGGCACTCCAGGGCCAGGCAAGGCAGTGGGAAAGGCAGAGAAAGTGATGAGAAGAAGGCTGGTGAGAACACATTACCTGTCACTGCCAAGCTGATGAGGATTGTTTTTCAGGCTCAAACAAGGTAGTTGGGAAGCCAATGTTGTGGAAAGAGCAAGGGTGTGAGAGTAAGGCACAACTGGGTGAAGGATTCAAGTGTTGTGGATGGGCAGTGGAATCAACAGAATTCTGAAATGGGAGAAAGCCTGAGAATCAGGCAAACGCTGGGTGAAACTTTGAATGGCGGGAAATGGGTTGTTGCAGAATGCAAACGCCGATTTGCACTACAGGGAGAAAGCCTAGACTGATTGGATAAATTTAAGCCATCACACCTAAAATGGTGGAACAAAAAGCAACGCCCCAGTACCTTTTCTCAGTGAGTTAAAATGAAGGCGCCAGCCAACACACTCTCGGGTTCGGAACTATTGGGCTTTGGCCAGGGGTTCTGCGCTTTTGTAGGTGGATTTGAACACCAGCTGTCCTAGTAACATTGGAAACCATCCGAAAAAAAAAGGGGGAGATACGAGAAAAGGATAGAGAATAAAAAGGATAGTTGAGAAAAATGTGCCGGCAGCACGATTGTATGTACATCTGTATCGAGGTAGCCAGGAAGAAAAGAAGTCTATCGTATAGGAAGTAAGCATACAAGTAGTTGCACACTAGATATAGAGTTCTCTCACTAGGCACTGCAAGTGCTCGCGCCACCTTCACCTATGGCCGCAGGCAGAACTCGTTAGCAAAACCATTCCTGGGACGCTGAAGTATATAGATCATGGACCTACTGCTTATCATCTTCATCACTGCTTGCAACAGACTGACTCCCATTACGGTTACGCCAAAAACAATGCACGCGTATGCGGGAATCTTCGCTTTGTGCGACGCATTACTCAGCTTTATATAGCAAAGAGGAGGGAAGATATAGGCCAGCGCTGCAGCACTAGTCGCGCCTATCAGTTCGAACACTGCACCGAGATCGCAGGTTATCAAGGCCATTGCCAGAGCCGTCACAACCAGTGCGGTCGTGAAGATTAGGTGTCGATTCATGTTGAACGGCTCGTCGGGGAAGTAATAAGTTGTCATAACTGACCGACATACAAAAGCCTCGAGCGGTAAGGTGGTAAGCATGTTCAAGCCAAAGCATCTTATTTCAGTCAGCTTGGTGAGTCAATTCGGGACAATGGGCCGTGATCTTACAGTCGAGCTATATTAACCAGTATATTATCTGATGGGAAATTGTTAAGAACGTTACCTTGTGTCTGCGATCCAAAGAAAAGGAATCCAGAAATGCCCATGGTTAGACACATCAGAAGCGAGACAGCGGTCGAGTAATGGGTCACCCTTGCAAATCGGTCCATGGTCGGTTTCTTCAGTGAACCGTATATCAGGAGGCTATTGTGGTCTTTAAAACTGTTAGTTTCAGATCATGCAAAGCACAGTGCTACATACGGCATACGAATGCTGCATACAGTTAGTAAGCTTTCATGATTACAGAGTCAATCAATAGCCAACACATACCGAACGATATGACTCCCACAGCCTGAAAGAACCCATTATTAAACAAGAGTAGGCTCTTCACTTCCCCGCGTGAATCTGGGGGTACACGAAACCCCTGAGTAATCACAGCTACCACGATAACTATCATACTGATCAACGCCAGCGTAGACGCCTTCGCCAACTACACCGGATCGTCAGCCTTGCATGACTTAGCTGCGTAGGTAATTGACACTGTACCTTGGCAATGTCCCGATACAGAGACAGTGGATACGAAATCCCGAGAACAAGAAGAACGATGATGGCTCTTCTATCAGTCAAGAGCCACAGGAACGACATCTCTCGAAGAGAAGGGAATAATGCGCTCAACACATGCGGTATGGTATCTCCAACAATGATACAGAATGCGATCATTCCACCAAACGCAAACGCCCACTGAGCAACCGAAATGGCGATGAGTCCACTCTTGCCAAAACAATGCTGCATTGTCGCCTGGAAAGAATCCGCGCCGCTCAATTTCGAGTTGACTACTATGAGACGAATAGTCCAATCCACCGCAATAGTGAGAACAACCAGGAGCACTATTCCCATCATCATGCCAGCCTGCCGAAGTGCGTAAGGCTGCCCTATTATACCAGCTCCAATGATGCTATTGGCCATGTTCATGAACGCCATGCGCATCCCGCTCCTTGGTCTCGCATTTTCTAAGTGTTCTTCGGGAAAGAATTCATCAGAAGTAGCCAGGGTCACGCTCGGGGCCTCTATGTCTGTCAGGAGAGGGATCATTTGCCTTGCTGACCGATTGCGGTCCACGCGGCCATAGTCCTCTTCCTCCAGCCATGAGTCTTCTGAGTCGCGGGAGTGGCCATTGGAGTGGCGCTCGTCTTCGGTATCGTCATCGAGATCGAATCGAACACGGTTCAGCGTACGTGGAGTTCGGCGTTGTCCGTCTGGTGCTGGCTGAGATATAGAAGACTGGTGCGGCTGTCCGCGGGGAGTCGAGCTAGCCGGGGCTGCATGGGTTACAAGCTCGTGGTCTTGCGAGGGTGACTCGGAAAGGAGAGACTGCGATTCTGGCCCACCAGGGCCATTCTTGTCAGCCAAGAGAGAAAGATGTCTTTCATCACTGGGCATCGCTAATTGTGAAGCTCTTGAAACTAAGGTACCCCGATGCGGAGGATGCTTAGGGGCCAGGTAATCAATCCCCATGCACGTGATGGATGTTGCTCTTATCGATAAGCCGGCTAAAAATAAACCTCAATAGATCGGTCAATAACCTTCAAATAGTGGCCGGATTGTATTGTAAGAGTTTGCGGGGCTTAGATGGAGTAGATAGACAATATGATGATTACCTCTATCTTTAAAAAGTTTCTCTTTACACTCAACTGGAGATTAGTTACAATGTCATCACTCTATCCTCTCTCACAAGTACTATATTGGCGATAAGCTCCAAGCTTCTAATCCCGACTCTAGCAACGTTCAGAACTTCAATAGCAGAGGCTCCGCGTTCGAATCACGGGTGTGGGCCCGTTTTCTTTTTGCCCTTTCTTCCCACCAACCATATACAATACGCTAATATTAATCATGGTGTGAGGGGAGAAGGGAATTGAAGTACCACTTGATCTTGACCGACATCAAGTCGATTAAATACACGCATACATCTGAAAATTGGTTAATCTATATCTTTCGTTGAGCCATAGACATGCTTTACTGGTGTAGTCATGGTCTATACTCTCAGAGTGGGTGGAGACGGGTTATATTTATCCCATGACATGTCTCCACTGTCATAGATCCCACCATCTACCACAAGCTCCTGGATACAGGAGCTTGCTTTTAGTGAAATATTGGTCAATTCTGACATCCTCGTTCATAAAAATCGCAACATGGCTTTCGAGGCCAATCTTGGAAAGGACAGGTTCACTTCTCCAATGTCAACCATCAGCTTGACTCTGCATGCTTCAGCTCAAATATTACCTTCTGATGGCTCCAGTCCGGCGAATCCATCTCACATCGAGAGGCAGCTCAGATCGAATGATTTATGGATATCCCAAACACCGGAGCTTAATTTCATTGTTTCCATCCCCGACAGTACCTCAATTGTCCCTTCGATCTCAGCTTTTGTGTCACGAATAGAAGAGATGCTTTGCAGGTCCAAGGTATCCTTGAGTCGACAAGAAAGTGACCTCACATTGATAGCTAAGCTAATTGGGTTGTTTTCCTAAGTTCTGGTCAGATCTTGGTCTCGTCGCGCTATTCAAAGGCTGCGAATCCAAAAACTATAATCAAGACAACCCCCCGTCGTTACAGCTCTCCTTCGGAATCCGCAGAAACCTAAGACAACCTTTGAGAACGAGGAATGTGCGAAAGGCAGCTGTGCTCGGTTACAATGATATTATTCATCCCCCCAGCAGCATACCAAGTGTTCTCTTGTCGTCAATCAAAGTATCCCTATCTTTCGCCCATAACGAGGAACATGCACAAGTATATATACCTACTTCCATGGCAAAGCCAGAAATTCCAGAAGACCAGTATCGAACTGGATATATATCCATTCTACCTTACGACGAGCACAAACAAGACATGCTTCTATTTGGACTTGAGCAGAAGAAGCCGGAGGATTCTGAGGACACGGAGACCCCGACTTTCATCGAAGAGCTAGAAGAGTTACATGGAAGCGAGCAGAGCTCATCTCTCCTCACCTCTCACCACACTACCTTTGGAAGGGTCTCCCCAGATACACGGCATAAAGAACTATATAACCTAATCACCACAGGCCTAGAATCACTTCTACTCGGATGCAGTGAGGGAAGTTACCAAAGCGAGAAAGGCCTCCAGAGCCTTCCCCAACTCGCCCCCTCGGTTTTTAGCCCAGGTTATTACAGAGTACGTCCTCTCACCCCCCAATCTATATATATCAATGACTGACTAAACCACTAAGCAGGAAATGAGCCAACGATCGCAACTTATCCCACCAATTGCGAAATCCATATCCTCTATGCTCAAACTCCCTAGCTACCAGCCCCTGATCCCCAAGCTAAATTATTTAAACGCATCAAGCGCCATCCAGTCCTTTCCAGCAAGCCCAACCAATACACGCAATACTATAAAAGCCGCCTTGTGGCGCATCGCCCAGAAGCAGCTCTACAAACCACAAGCATCACAGAACCTGCGTCTCCTGACACCACGACCATTACCTAAGTCGCGAACCAGAAATCACCCGCAGCGTTGGAAGGATGACATATATATCGGTGGGCCAGTAGCACCTATGTACAACGATAACATCCGAGACAAGGAATTTTCCCCTAACGTGGATGAAGATCTCCTTGGGTTTAGTGAGCCTGATGAGACGAGCTGTGAGATGCTATCTACTGCCTTTTCATCATCGAGCGGGTCGTTACAATTCTCCCTGGGTGATGATGATAATAATGGTGATGTTGATCTTCTACCGGAACAATTAGAGGAAGATATATCGAGTCAAACGCCGTTCTCGGATGATCTAGCATTTGACGGCGAGTCTGAGAATGATGACGACGATATGTTGTGCGATTATATCTGAAGTTTATACCAGCGTTGAAGTAGACATATGTGCTATATGATAGTTGAAAAATGTATACAGATTCCAAGGATGAAGATACAGTATGACCTGCAGCCACGAAGGAAGAAAAAGAAGAAGAATTCTGCCAGCAATGTCTTCTCTTAATATAGAAAGACGTTTATCTAAAATACATTGTAACCATTTAGATGTGGCTTGTTGAGTGTTCCCTCGCTAATGTTTTCTGTGTACTGTTAACACTCTATCCCGCTCATCCCCACATTAAATATTACACTAGTAGACGGAGTGATGGCGAGTACCGCGCATTAGTCTATCTTTAAAGACCACGCCAGTGTCTGAGACCATGGACATAAAAAAAGCCAATATCCATCGACGGGGCGTTAAGCTGCGTAAGCACGATCCTGTCGGTCAGGACGTTTCAGCTCCACATCGAGGGAGAAAGGAAGTAAGAGGTGATTTTCTTATGGGAAGAAGATCGGGTGAGATCCTTGGTTGACTGATCCGAGTGTCCTGCACGAAGAACTCATGGCGGATAGATTTGCCGTTAGGAGCATCGGATCGCCAGAACGGAGGTCATGTTGACCAGTGGATGGTATTTCGGCGGACATTTGTCCAAGGTTATCATTAGAGTCTTAAAGACACATAGACCTCAGAGAACGGGAGGGAGGAGGCGTGTCGGAGAAGCCTTATCGTTTTCTTCTGATGGCAACTTGAAGTGCCCTGACGGCTTCCACGCCTTGACACCGGAAGCCTGAGCAGATTGAGAAAGTTGAGAGGCGTCGAACTCATTGATGAATTTCTCATCAAGCAGCCTAGACTTTGGATAAGAATGGTGGAAGTATTCGTCGATGATATCGCGCGATTCCCAGCCCTGAAGCTTGCGGAAACAACCAACCACACATCCAGTACGATGCTAGAATCATCGTCAGGCATAATTCGATATATAAGCATCAATATAATCTCACCTTCCCCTTATTGCAATGGATGAGGATGGGATGGTTGCTCTTATCGAGCAAAAGCTCTAGGATTCGACACATAACAGTATCTGGTATCTTGACATCAGGGTCTTTGTTCGCTTGTACTAAGATGCGATGGTGTGCAATCCCATTCTCTTTCAAGAAGACCACATGGCTGGAGGTGTAGGCTTCATCAACCAGGGTACTAAAAGCTAGTGAGTCAATTGTGATAACTGTGTAGCTGGGTAGGGATACGTACATTATGTTCTTCAGACCCAGCTTCTTCAGTGCATGAAGATTCCAAGGATGCGGAAAGGCAGATCGGTATACCCCCTTCACAACCTCTCCGAAATTATCTGGTAGCTCCGACTGTGCGGGCTCCGACTCAATAGAGGATGCTTTATGACGGGCTACTTCAATCGTGTTAGTGCCCCTGTAACTGAACTAGCAAACCAAAACAAAGCAACCCAGTTTATTTCCATACCGTAGCAAGAAGATCACTTACCATGGACGCTCTTCAGAGAGCTGTTGGAATCCTTTTCGGTCAACGGGTTGGCCATTTTGATTTCTGACTCGGAAGCGAGCGACTGTATGACTCAAAACTTCGGTGTACGGGCAGCAGACCACGATGACTGCTTATGTCCAAAGGGAGAACAGGAGTAGAGGGGTGATCTACAAACACCTAGAGGCAACGAACAGTCAATCTCCAGCTCAATAGCTGGAAACTGCTTTTGGAAAGGGTGACTGGTATGGGGGAGGATGTCGGAGACTCAGGAAGCCTCGCAGGCCTCAGGCGGAGGAGGTCCGACAAAGAGACATAGTGGCGATTTCAGAAAAGCAATCTTGATGCAATGCTGAGGTAGCCAGCGAGGCTTTCGTCACCGAGTAATGCACAGTCAGGGAGGTGAGTGAGGAGAGAGAAGTGAGGTATGGACGGTGAGCTGCTGCAAAGGAAGGTCAACAGAACTAGAACTACTAGCTTCTGCCGCCAGAGCGCACACGAGCCCGGTGCTTAAGCAGGAACAGACACGTGCGGCGTGCCACTACGTGCACCTCAGTGAAGCAAGAAGGACCGTCCGTGAGCGGCTATCGGCAGCGCAAAGCCAGATGGCTACCCACGCTGGTCCGTCCCTAAAAGCACGTATCTCAGAGACTGACGGTAGTTTGGCTTGTCATTCTTCACGACATGATAAACAATGTAGGGGAGTTGTTGCAGTATAGAGTTTGCGTTCAGCAACTCCCACAGGAGTCTAGCCGTGGTGAGGAACCGTGGTTGGGGTCGACTGACTCAGCGTCTTAGAATTGCATAGCGAGCGGCCTTGCACAAAAACAACATAAAAGTGACTGGACTCCATCGCATCATTCTCTATCTATTCATGGTCATGACAATAACAAAGCAAGAATCTTTCTTTTCTTTTCTTTTTTTCTTTTCTTTTTCTTTTTTCTAGCAGCTTTTTATCTGACGATATGGCAGGCCGTCATTGAATGGGCTATAAGCGGTCAGTGTCAGCCTTGCAACGGCATCTATAGTTTCCGGATGCAGGGTCACTAGTACTAGGCGTCCTCCCCAAGCCCAAACATTCTGATCGAGTTATTCCACGCACTAATATCGTATATTTTTTAGCACCCGAGCCCAGCGATACGACAATATGAGGAAATACTTACGCTTCGCAAACTTCCTCGACAGAAATCCCTTTAATTTGAGAAATCACGTAGGCGACGTGGGCGATCGCGGCAGGCTCATTGCGACCTTTGACCATCAACCCCTTCTGCCACCTCTCCTTCTTGACTGCTTTTGGAAGTTCTGGGGCCCCCTTGAGGTATTTCGACGAGGCATGGGAAGGACGAATCTCACACTAGAAGGTCGTTGTCAATAAAGGAATCGGTTAGGGGGTGTGGAAGTAATACCCAGGGACCGTCTGTTTCGATCTGAAGTCGATCCAACGGAATGGCCTTCACTACATCGAGGTTCTCTTCAGTTTTAAGGCTGCAACCATTCACTCCGATGTCAAGACCAAGGGCTACCATCCGGTTCATCTCTTCTAGCGTTCCCGTAAAGCTGTGCACGAGCCCTCTCTTGGGAAGCTTCGCCAGTCGCGGCGCCAGTAGCTTCTCGAAGTCATCGCTAGCAGCTCGAGAATGAAGGAAAAGAGGAAGTTGAATCTCGACCGCAAGATCCAGCTGAGCTTCGAAATATTTCAGCTGAGGTTCTTTCGCGCTCAGGAATAATCGATCATAGTCAAGGCCGATTTCACCGAACGCAACAGCTTGTCCGTTCTCCTTTGACTGCAACGCAAGAGTTTTAAGTTCATCTAGCATTTTGGAAGGGCCGCCAGGGAATTCATCGAAAAGCTTCGCCTGGCAAGGATGAACACCAATGGTTGCATAGCAGAAGCCCGCTACAGGAAAGGTTAGTATTCACAGTGTCGCAAGGGGGCAGTGAATAAACCAAACTTACGGTAGTGATGTGCAAGTTGGAGGGCACGCCGAGACTCCTCCAGGTCAGAGCCAGTCACCATGAATTTCTGGCAACCGATATCCTTTGCACGCTGCACGATGTCATCCAAGTCACTATCATGAACCTGCTTGCCATGGTAGCTCCCTGAGAAAACTGGATCACTCAAGTTGATACCAATCTATAATTCATTAGCTGCTAAGACGCCCAGATTTTCCACACGATAATAGCCAACCTACATCAACATATCTGATAGGTCTACTAGAGTCACTCATCCTGACAGAATTTGAGTACCTCCGTAAATGCGTGGAAAAACTTTGTCTGTTTAAGCTTAAACAAGGAGAAAAAGAAGCGCGTTGATGCACAAAACTTGTACTCTCAAATACTAAATCTCACGTAAGTCTCCACACATGCATCCCAGCAAGCCCCTCCCCAGAAAAAGTCAAAGAAAACAGCCCACAGAGCCCCCACAGGCCGGAAAATCGCAACATACCTAGTCTATTTCGCTTCAAGGAAGGAGAAAGCCGCGCCACCAAACGACCCAAAATATTACTAGTTCCAGATGTCCTCAGGAGATGTTTTACACCTGTAACCGCGTGCATCAGAAAGCCAACAGCTGGGTATACCTTCTAGGACAATACAGGGCAGAAATTGTTTCAATAAGAGTATTAATAACTTGGGTGCGGTGCGGTGCGGTGCCTGAGATCAGTCGCGCCTGATAGCCACAAGAGGCGCAGTTGGATTGTGGCGGTGGAGGGAAGAAGTGTTGATTATGTCATTGATCACAGGAGGCGGTGACGATGCCAGGTCCTCTTTTCTGCCACCGCCTAAATTGAACAGAATTCGCCGAAAGTTTTTCGGGCCTGTATTCTCTTAAATCCGCTTAACTCCGGTGTTTTTGATGCGAGGTTCTCTAGGTTCTGCTATTAGGGCGGTGAGGAAGGCGGTCTGTAGGGTCTTTATCCTCTAAGCTTTTGGGTATTGTTATTGAGAGTCGTACCGGGTTGTCAGTGAGTGCTTATAGGTGGGACGAGAGATATGGTGTGGTCCATGTAATACTTGCTGCTGACAGGTGCATGGTTTGTACTATGGAGGTTATTTGCGCCATGTGGTAATTGAAGGTACCCTTACGGCTGACTGACCGGTGATGTTTTGGTGTCGATTTGAAAGCATACGGTTCTACGCAGTATGTGTATGATATATAAGGTATCTAATCAGGAGAGCGATTTTGAAGACGGGGATTTGGAGAATGGAATACTGCTCCGTCGCTGATGGCTGGACATGATGCAATTCATCCTCGTGGGTTTTCTAGCGCTGCAAGCACTATAGCGGAATCACCAGAGCATAGAGACATGCATAGTACAGGTAGCAGTAGCATCACTGCGGGACAGGCGATTGATCATGACCAGGAGGAGTGTTGATTATTCGATATTCGACAGACGAGTGGCATACTTCATGCCTCATCGCTATCCTGCACTGGAAACCTACGAATCCTCATCTACGAGGGGCATGCTAGAAAAAGACATGCAGAACAACCAAGCTGCCACATTTAGCGATGCCGATCCATATATAGTCAACGCAAGAGATAGATATTGACATGCGGATACGTGGAAGTACCCGGGTGACGCTTGCGTGGATCCAGACGTTGGAGCTTCCTCAACCGAGAAGAAGGAGGGGAAAGGACTACTATCATTTGCCAGTCGCGTTCAAGCTATGCTATGCATATGCAGGGGATGTATATAGTACCGTTGCTCGAAGATGGCGGCTAAGTGCTCCGTAACTGGAAACAAGTATGTTTGGACAAGGGGTATAATCAGGAAATGGGACCCGCAGTGTAAATGCCGCATTAAGAGTTCCGATAAAGATCATGGAAGTGATTCACATGCTTGGAGGGGTCATCGAATGCAGATTGCCAGATGCATATGAAAGCAGGCTAATGCGGGACGGGACATGGACTTCTAGTATGACCATGCATGGATTAAACCTGGTAAGCGCGAGCCAAGTCACGGTTGACGGTTGAGGGGTCATATCGACTAGGTAGCTAGTAGCACGCAAGTACTTATCTACCTAGGAGTAGTAGCTACTTACTGATAACTACGTACTACTAGCAGGTTTAGCCCCGGTCGATGCGATTAGCAAATAAAGGGGTCCGATAAGCAGTTATCAACGTGGACCTATCTAGTCAACATCTGGGTTGCGCTCTCCGAAAACCAAAAATGGAAGGTCACATACTTGAGAGGTCGATGCATGGAGAGCGACACCCAGAGGAAATTGAAGACACAAAATGGACCAGGGGGTCAGGGAAACCGGAATCCTGCGGAGGCCACGGGCGTCACCCAGGCATCTTTCCAAAAGAAAAAGCAAATCACCGTTGTCGATGCAAGCACCAACAAGTCATCCTGGCTGACGCCACTTTTGTTGAATCCGAGCAGGATCAGGGGCGGAGGGAAGATAGATGACGAGAACCCCGTAGGGGATGTGGACTACGGCGTATATCAGAGTACCTTGTTGCGGAAGGGCTGGAGTTGGTGAGAGGCACCCCGTAGAGTATGGGGACTACAGCGTAAATCAGAGTACCTTAAATTTAGTCGGGGGAAGGACCCACGGGGAAGGCTGCCGGGCAAGCCAGATCGCCCTCACGTGTCCCATCCCGTCCCCACTCACCGCCTCTCATGTCTCAACAATTGAGGGTCAGCCCCGGTGGCCAGTGATTTCAGGCCATGGGCGCTGGCATCATGCTATCGGTATCCATCGTCCCATCGAACCTGCCAATCATCGCCCCGCTACGAATCATCCGATTGAGGATCAGCCAGGCGGCAGGAGGATGAGCACCGGTTGTTGGGTCTGTACACGCATCCCTCTCGGTAATAGGTATAGTAAAGTACGGTATTGGCTGGTTAAATCCCGTTGGCGCTAGTAAGCTTCTCGAATGTCGTTGGTCCTTCCTTCATCATTGCGTCACGGCCGCCGAGTTCCAGCAGGTGCGACGGAGTACGGAGAAAGAACGCTTGTCGGAGTAGGACGACCTGCTGCATTGGGAAGCAACGTACTATGTACACGGAGGCAGGCTCAGACAGGCTCAGACATGCTCAGACAAGCTCTACAGTGGTGGTTGTCCTGTCTTGTGCCTGTCTCGCTCAGGTTTTGGGGACCGTCTTTTTGACGATCCACGTCAGAAGAGGGAATAGGGAAGAGGGAAAATGGGCAAGCGTGTCCGGTACTGGAAACTCAAAGTGGTTGATGTAATACGAAGCAATCGGAGGGTTTCACCGGTCCCGATTGCTAGTGATGAGCGGAAAACTAGCGGGGGTAGAAGAAGGGAAGCACCACGACAACATGTAGAGTCCTTCAAGAAAAGAAGGGATCATCTGTCCCCTCCTCCGGCGGCATCGCGCTAGATAATAGTGATCGATGATATATTTACGGCACCATTAAGGAATATTGTGCCGTTGTTGCAGAAGGAGGGGAGGACATGCGAGAGGGGGAAGCTAATCTATCTGGCATTTGGGACAGACAGGCCAATGCATGTTTCCAATGCCCTTGATCATCAACTGATCAGTGTCGCCGGTGTGCCAAGTAGTCATAGAAATGTCCGCGTTGCCGTGTTGATTGGCTGCGCCGACCAGCCCTCTGCAGGAAAGCGCCGGGGATTATGCAGGCTGGTGCAGTTGGAGAGTCTCATCCGTATTGAAACGGAAGGCAGGAAGGTGCAGATGTGGTGGATATCATGATCTGAAAAGCCGGGGGACCGGTCATTCGTACCTGTTACCATGGTTGACACTTTACCCCTCACGATCTATCATACACGCCTGGTTTTATGTTTACCGCCGTCAAATCGGATTTGTAACGATGCTGTGTAAAAAATAGGGGGGCGGAGTGTGGACAACTCATACAAAACATTAAACATTTGAAATATCAGAAAACAAATAATTAGTCGATCATTGTCTGGACAAGAACCGACTAAGGTAACATTCCAGAGGGTTGGGTTACCTGTTTGGTCCGCCCAGAGGATGATATCGATCGATCTATTCGGTCGGGGCTAAGTGGTCCCATACTACTATTAGCAGCCGGCAGACTTGGCCAGACCGCCGGCCCCAGTTTACGCAGTGACTCCACGTAGGGGAGGTGTGGATAAGGCAAGGTAGCTTGCTCACTCCCCCCCCCCAACCGGTTCCTGCAACTGCACACCCATCGGCTTTCCTTCAAGTACCGCCAGCTTCCCCCCTCCAGCTTCCTTTCTTCGTCTTGCTCTCTCTCACATTCCATCTCATATCTCTGCTGCCTAAACTCCCTTGGCTCCCTTGTACATAGCCATTTCCATCTACAGTACTTCCTCGAATTGTTGCTCTACATTCTTGAGCTCAACTATTTACCCCAGGCGGTTATAACTATTTTCCCCCACCGAACCAGGCCTCATCAACGAGCCCATCTGTTCTACTTCTATCACCATCAGATCACAATGGCAGCTACTCGCTCAAGTTCTCTGCGTGCCCTGCGCGTGCTCTCGCAGCAGCACTCTACCACCCCGACCATCCGTCGGGGCTTGCACATCACTGGCGCCCATTCTGCACAGCCCGCCAATGTCTCGGACAGGGCCTCTCTGTATGCCAGCCGTACTTTGACCGATCTCAAGAATGAATGCTCGAAGCGGTCCTTGAGATCTAGCGGCACCCAGGCTGAGGTATGCTAGTTCAATCTACACACTGCGACCATGAGGCTGACTATCTACTTCACTCAGCTTGTCGAACGCCTTTCCAACCATGATTTCCTTCAATCCCGCGCCTTCAGCATTGCTATGAGGAGGATTAATGGTAGTTCCAGTGCAGGGTACGTTGATCTTCACATCCGTTACCTCGGTAAAGCCAGTCCGGAACTAACGTTCTTGCCCAATACAGGAAGAGCCACGATCGTCAATTCAACACTTCCCGTTCTAGCAAGGCTGTCAATGACTCATCTACCGTTGACTTCGCCTACATGCCCTCCATGGCGGAGATTGATGGAGCTGCTGCGCGTGCCGATCCGCAAATCCCGATTCTTTCCGAAATCTATACCCATTATGACGCTACCCAGACCCAGAGTGCCCCCATGAGACCCCAGGTTTACACTGTATCCGGGGGTGCAGCAGATGTTTCGGCAAGCCCCATGACCGAGGTTGTCGACAACCACTCGGTGGATATCGACCCTTTTTCTCTAACCGAGACTGTTGGGAAATCCAGATTCGGTCAGGAGCTGAATAGGCAACAGAACGGCTCTTCCGAACCGGGTGTAGTCCGGGAACTTTGGAGCGGTTTCTTGGAAGATCTTTTAGGTCCCAAGCAGCAGCACGCGGCGAAACACTGATGTTTCCCTGATGTTTAATTTTGTCTTCTGTCTCGTTTCTAGCGATGTGTGATGGTCACTCTCCATGGACTTTTCTACCTTCTTTCAACCAAGCCTTCTCGGCAATGCAACATAGTTTGATCCTCCATTGGATGATGCTACCAATTTCACTCTGGTTTATTCCATGCATAGCACCACAGTATGCCCGTAGTACTCATGAGTCCATCCTACGTAGTATGGTACGGTAATGACACACGACACATGCCCTGGATGACGGAAGGTGCAGGCTAGTGGGCGAAGGATGATCAGTCAGGCCTTTCGGTTGACTGGCTTTAACCTAAACCTAGGTACGATACAGCCCATGCATGGTATGGCGTCTCTTGTGCGCCCCCGGGGAATAGGGCTTATCAGATCGGAGCAGAGTTAAATTATCATCATCCCGATCTAACCTAGGTAAAAAAGCCTCCGGATGTCCGGATATGGGTAAAGTCAATTGGCCTCAGTTGTGGGCTGATGGGGGTTGCCCCCGATATGTCCCGATATCAGTTTGTTGGGGGACACTCATGTGAATTGGTGGCTGAGGATACAATATGATGGGGTGTAGGAAATACCGCATATTATTAAAGGAAGATATAAACCCCCAGTTTATCCGTTCTCGTATGCATGTCGAGGCCGTTTCAATCCGAGGTTCATCAAGTGCGCCGGGTCTATATCCGTAGCCGGCATAACTTCCGTTGCTCTCTAGCATAATAGTGTTCACTGAAGTGTGCATGATGCAAGGTCCAATTTACTCCGGACCCTTGATTCAGGGGATTAACTCCGGCACAATTATCGTCCTATAATTGTGCGTTTGAATGGGGGTTCATTGCATCTGTTATTTTGCCAGAGCCTAGATTGGTCCAGTCTTGCCACTGTGGTTGCCTCGGCTATGCTGGGATGTTTCACCTTTAGTCCCGCAGGAAATTGGTGAACTCCCTTCTTTGTCTCGATCTTATGTCTTTCCCTCTGCTTCGTTTTGACATGCACCGTACTTACTACACACAATAGTAGAGATATCGTGGTCTATGGTATATCTATATATTGCTGATCATCTTCCAACATTTGCAACCATGGATAGTGTGGCTGTCAACCTGGAACCCGGCATTGCAGAACCCCGGCAACAACGATAGGCATCCAACTCCGTACATATCGTCCAATTGGGGCCATGTGCCAGATCTGTTGGTCAACGAACACCCTTGAATGGGATGAATTTCCTCGAGCGCTCATTGGTAGAAGTCGATGGATGCCTGGAAGCACTATCTGTCTAAGCTTTATGGCCCGTCAACGTTCTCCCAGTTGAGAGGCTGGAGCGTGGAATGACTTTACCAATCAATTTGTTGGGATGACCTGTCATCTTTGGTTTTTCTTTCCAGCCAACTGACCACCAGTCTGTCCAGTGGCTATTGGTCCATTTCGGCTGCGATGGGACGCCCTACGAAGATAACTACAGGTCGGAAATAGCCTCATAGTAACCAAAAAGATGCAGCGAATATACCATATCAAGGGTCTGGATGGTCTGGGGTAAGTCGTTCGCAATGGAAATCCCATCAATATCCACCGACTTCTTGTGTGAGCCCTCGAATCAGTTTTCTCTCCTATCAGAGACAATTCCGAGCGTGCCGGCCTCCCAATCAAAAACTGTGATGATTGGTAAAGTATTATCTTTCGCATGTACATGAATGCATGTTTTTGGGGTCCGCAGGTCGCGACATTGCCGAAGACTCCATCAAGAAGTCCTCTGTGGCGCGGGAGTCGTCATCGCGGTGAATGACGCATGTTCCGGACAGCAGATGTAGGTAGGTACTACTACGTAGGTAGCCCCTCTTAGGTCAGATGCGAAATGAACGGGCCTCTTCGTTGTCATTCCACATATTAAGGAGAGCCCTTTTCCGAATTAGCCGACGACCATTGACGGAGTGCCCAAGTCGGCAGCAGTAAGTAGACATGCTATGTACGATCTAATCCATCACTTACTGCTAAAAACTTATAGTAGCATACATGTTACTAAGAATGGAACGGGAGGTTTCACGGACTCCTTCCTGCCCAAGGAAACTGCCGTCAATTGCGTTGTGCTCAGGGGAAAAAAACATGTTCGGGGCTTGTGGCTCCACCGATGCCCGAAAAGGCCTGCAGATCGGGGCCTGGCCAGGCACCCGGCAGCCACTCGCGGCGGTGTTCGCGGTGGCTCGCACTGAGAAAACCTGCCGAGTGGGCCGTTTAGGCTTGGGCTCCCCACGATGTAAGCATAATCAACCGTTCCTGAGCCAATCCCCTCCTCCTGGACTTGACCTGTGCATCTGGTTGTTATTGTTATTATAATTAACTGCATGGACAGCACTTCGCTGCTGCCTCCTTGCCCCTCGTAGTTCCTGCACCTTCTTCTACTTCTTTGTCTCCCTTCGTTGCTTATCGTCATTTATCATTGGTTATATGTATTATTTTTTCCGGTCACTTCCTGTTTTCTTTCTTTGTGTTGACTGAGCCTTCCTTTAAATTTAGCACACAATCACCTGGTCGTCTCCTATCTCTTCAATCGTCCACTTCCACCAGCAGTCCATCGTTGATCAACCTAGAGCATTGTCGCACTCTTGCTACTGTCATTAACTCCTTTCAAAGAGAATTATATTCAATTGGCCTAGACCTCCAATCCTATTGTCATCGTGTACATCCATTGTATCGAATGGGATCGCTGAAATAGGAGGGTCCCGCATTCCATCTTCAACATCAAACTTCCAAAGCGATTATCTTGTTCCTCGCATTTGTGCTTGAGTTATTCTGGTTATGCATCTCTCACAGCGTCTTGTTACAGCAGCATGTCTTTGCGCTAGCGCCACGGCTTTCATTCCATACACCATCAAGGTCGATGCATCAACCAGCGATTCGGCCCGTGATACACTGTCTCGCCGTTTTCTGCCCCTTCCCAAACCAGGCGACGCGTTGACAGATGACTCGGTGTCATCTTCTAATGATGAGTCCCTGACACTGAATATAAAAAGGATCCCCGTCCGCCGTGGCAATGATTTCAACATTGTGGTGGCGGACACCCCCTCTTGGCCCAACACCGCTGCTCTTGACCAAGATGGCAACGATTTATCCTACTTTTCGGTTGTTAACATCGGCTCTGAAAACCAAGCTCTGTACATGTTGCTGGACACTGGAGGGTCGGATACGTGGGTTTTCAGCTCCAACTGCACATCCACGGCCTGCACGATGCACAACGCGTTCGGAGCGAACTCTTCCTCGACCCTTGAGATGACATCTGACGAGTGGAGTGTTGGCTATGGAACCGGATCTGTGAGTGGCTTGCTGGGGACGGACAATCTCACCATCGCGAACACGACTGTACGCATGACTTTCGGGTTGGCGTCCAACGCATCGGATGACTTTGAATCGTATCCAATGGATGGCATTCTCGGCCTCGGTCGAACCAACGAAAGTTCCTACGACAACCCGACATTTATGGATGCTGTTTCCACCAGTAACCTTTTCAAATCGAATATCGTCGGCTTTGCCCTTTCGCGTAGCCCCGCAAAGGATGGCACAGTCAGCTTTGGCACTGCTGACAAGGACAAGTACGCTGGGGATATCACCTACACCGATACAGTCGGATCTGGAAGCTACTGGCGCATTCCAGTGGATGATGCCTACGTTGACGGCACTTCATGTGATTTCTCCAACAAGTCGGCAATCATCGATACCGGAACGTCTTACGCCATGCTTCCTTCGGGCGATGCGCAAACACTGCACTCTCTTATTCCTGGCTCCAATACCTCTGGAAACTATTTCATCATTCCTTGCAACACGACTGCTAAGCTACAGGTGGCATTTTCCGGGGTAAACTACACCATTTCCCCGAAGGACTATGTGGGATCAACATCTGGCTCTGGATGTGTTTCAAAGATTGTGAGCTATGACCTGTTCGGTGATGACATCTGGCTCCTGGGTGACGTCTTCCTGAAGAATGTGTACGCTGTGTTTGACTTCGACGAGGAACGGGTCGGCTTTGCGGAGCGTTCCTCGAACACCAGCTCTTCTTCGAACTCTACCAGCTCCTCCACATCCAGTGCTTCCGGTTCCACTGCCACGGGCAGTTCGACCACTACGGGCTCAGCTAGTTCCAGTACGTCATCCGATACTAAGTCGGGTGGAATGGCCATAGCCCCCCCTCAGTACTACTTCTCTGCACTGGTGATTGCTCTATACCTGCTTTGGCTATAGTTTCTTGACAGAGCATCTTCACATCCAGCGAATGGTTGAATTTAGAAGAAATAGATACATTATCTACATTCGTTGTTGTTCTGTATCTCCATATACATCCGAGACTAGATCAACAGCGTGCTAGTCACTGACATTGCCTTTTTCAAACTTTCTCTTCTTATTAATCATTATCCTTTCCCAGACACCGATTCTTGCGTGGGACTGATAGTGTCTCATGAGTTGTATAAGACCCGTCACTCGCTTTTGAAACACCTAAAGAACCTTATCCGGGATCAGCGTGTACGACTTTGGGTATGATTCTGCTTCCAATTAGCTTCCATCCACGCCAAGCGAACCCTGGTTACCTTACCTAGAATGGATTTATCAAACTCCTCAACACTATTAAATCCCGCAACAGCCATCAAGATATCAAAATCAGCCAGTAATGACTTCATCACATGGCGAACACCCTCCTCGCCCATGATACTGAGTCCCCAGACCCAGAGCCGACCAACGAAAACGAAGCGGGCTCCCAATGCCAACGCCTTGGCAACATCACTGCCCCCACGCACCCCCGAGTCAAACATAATGTAGAGTTGATCCCCAACAGCATTGGCGATATTTTCCAAAGCGTCCAGACTTGCAATCGCCCCATCCACCTGTCTACCGGCATGATTGCTCACCACAATACCATCCACCCCATACTCAACGCATTTCTTCGCATCCGCGACAGACTGAATCCCCTTAATAATGAACGGTCGACCACCAGAAATCCTTTTCCACTGCTCAATCAACCAGGGGATTTTCTCCCATGACCATGCACGCCCATGCCAGACAGAATCAATCCACTTCGTCGAGGCAGCCACCACATCCTTCTCCGGGTCGATGCCTGCCTCGCGACACCGTTTCTGGAACACAGGATCCGTCAAGCCCAAATCCGCACCGATGCCTCGGTAAAAGGCATAGTTCGAATTAGCCACGTCGTCGTGTCGCCAGCCCAGTTGCCACGTATCGGTCGTGAGGATAAGAGCATCGAAGCCGGAATTCCACGCCCGGTTCAGTAGGGATAGGGTTAGTTCGTCATCATGGGGTATGTACAGTTGATAAAAACGAGGCCCTTTGCCATTTGCTTCGCCGACTTTCTCGATCGGGGAGCTTCCCGCCGTGGAGAGACAGTAGGGGAGGTTGAGTTCGCCGGCGACTTTGGCTACCGCGAGTTCTGCGGATGGGTGATAGATCTTGTTGATCCCGATGGGGGCAAAGCCAATTGGAGCTGATACTCGGTGGCCGAAGATTTCGGTGGTGGTGTCGCGTAGGTTGGTGTCTACTAGTTGGTTGGGGATGATTCGATGGCGGAAGAAGGCCTGGCGGTTGGCGAGGTGTGTGTTGGAGAGGCCTGCGTTGGAGGATGCGTAGTACCTGAGGTGGAGAGATTAGTGGGTGAAGTTTGATGAGAGGGCGAGATGCGTACCAGCCTCCTTGGCTTAGCTTTTTATGTGCCTCCTCTTCTAGCTTTCGTGGATCTGGATGATGGGGCTTGTTAGTGAGCCACGCGGAAGGGGAAAGGGGACGGTGCGTACCTGTGTTGAAAGGGGCAGTTTGGCCGTCGTTTATTTTCCAGAAGTTCTCACGCTGGTAGAGTGCCCATTGGGGCGTTGTTCGGTTGGCGATGTTGGGGTTGGTTGGGTCACTCATTGTCTAGAGAGGTGACTATTTGCGAATATGTGAATGTATAACGCAATTCTAATGATGATTGTCTAATCGAGTCTATGTTGATGTAAGTTGATTGTAGAGATGTACAAGAGGCTTCTTCGAGCAGAGTAGGACTATGTAACAAGGGCAATTTATAGCCTGGATGACTTCACCTTGACGCAGATCTCGGACGAGAGACGAGCCGGTGCCTGATGCGACAAAGTGGATGACTTAAGCTAGCATGAAAATCATCTATCTTATCAGAGTTATCAATTGATCTCTTAGCAGGGGCGATATGGGTACACAGCTTCGTAACCACAGCTATCCAGTCCAATTCCCCTCCATGCCATACTTACTCTATCGCGAGAGCTGATATCGAAGACCAGCTCCGATGATGACGTCATGATACAGTAGTCGGGATCGTCTCTAATGAACCGAAAATCCCCCCTGCACCTCCCCATCGATGATGGCCATAATAGATCCTGTACCACCGATAAAATGTCAAGTATGTAGATATAACCCATTGAGTCACATAAAAGCCACCCCAACCCGTATATCGGCTAGAAAAATATACTTTATCGCGTTACCGACTTGCTCCGGCATACAAAGCCGGAGCCGGAAAAGCCGTCGGGAGATGAATCAACTGCCGAAGCCGAGTCTTTCTCGTCTCTAAAGCATCTCGATCCCCCTTTTACCTCTGCAACCGATCAAACTAAACACTCAACCACGCAGAGAAAGAAGTCGCATCAACATGTTCGGACTAAGCACAAGACGGTCCGCCGTGACGCGTTCAAAATACCTTGCCAACACCACCAGTATCCGCTCCCCAGTGCAGCGGTCATTGCTCTCAGCCCGAGACTTCCACCCCAGTCAGCCTCATGCGGCATTCCGACCTACTTGGATGCCCATGCGGGTGAAGACGCCTTGGATCGATGCGCTCGCTAGAAGTCGTGAGGCAGCGCAGTCCGGCCAAGGCGCTCCCGCGCCGTCGGCGAAACCCGACCTCACGCCGAAGAAGATGTCGGATAGTTACTACAGCGCTGTAGGTGCAGCTCTGTGTGGTGAAGTTGCTGTCGTCGCTGATTGATTTGTTTTAGGTCTTGCCGCTGGCTCAAGATAAATGGCTTCTTGATACTTATCTTAATGCCTCGGGGCATATCAGGTGCGTGTGCTCTTACAGACCTTTGGTGGTGATTTACTAACGATGACAGACTTGGTTCGCTACTGATGGACCTCGATGCTCTGGCGGGTGTCATTGCCTACAGACACACTGGCGACTCTGTCACCACGGTGACTGCTGCCGTGGATCGGATCACCATCGAGCATCCGCTGATGGAGATCTGCGATCTCGAACTCAGCGGCCAGGTCACGTATGCGACGGGCCGTTCCAGTATGGAGGTTTCCCTCCAGGTGGCTAAGGCCCCTGCTCCAGAGGAGAAGGTAAAGCCAGAGGACGTTCTTATCACTTGTGCGTTTACGATGGTGTCGTTGGACCCCACTACCAAGAAGTATGTCCTATCGCGGTGTCCTTATGTATACAATATCGATGCTCACATCTTTAGGCCCGCCAAAATTGCCCCCCTTGTCGTCGAGACCCCAGAGGAACGTCTCCTCTTCAAACAGGGCGAAGAGAACTACCAAGCCAAGAAGTCCCTCCGATCCAAATCTCTCCTCGAGCAAGCCCCCGACGCCGAAGAAAGTAACCTGATCCATAACATGTGGACCAAGGAAATGTCCTACCTCAGTAAGCAGCTCCCCTTTGCCCCCGATCACCCTTCCCCATACTAACAAACAACTCCAGACCCCGAATCCCCCGCCCAACGGCCCTCCAACAACGTCTTCATGAGCGACACAGTCCTCAAATCCGCTATGATCATGCAACCCCAAGACCGCAACCGCCACAACTTCATGATCTTCGGCGGTTTCCTCCTGAAACAAACCTTCGAGTTGGCCTTCTGCTGCGCCGCCTCCTTCTCCCACTCCCGCCCCAACTTCATCTCCCTGGACCCGAGCACCTTCGAGAACTCAGTCCCCGTAGGCAGCGTACTGTATCTCCGTGCGACAGTGGCGTACACGGAGCCGTTGGAGCGCGAGGGCGTGGAGAGCAAGTACACGAAGGTGCGGGTGCGGGTGGACACGAAGGTCCGGGACGTGGAGCATGGGAGTAAGAAACCGACAGGAATGTTCAATTATACGTTCTTGGTGGAGAAGGATGTGCAGGTTATGCCGAAGAGTTATAGTGAGTTTATGGTGTGGACGGATGCGAGAAGGAGGTCGGAGAATGCGGCGGCGATGTTGCATGGGTCGAAGGAGCCGAGTGCGTTGAGAGGATTGAAGGATAGTGTTACGGAGTAAGGGGATATAGATAGATAGTTGTTTGGATGGATTTGTAGGGTGGTTGTTCTGGGTAGCTTTTGTTTAATGAGGTTTTCTAACTCGATTACCTCGCTGTTTGTATCATACTACTACTATTAGTATCTGTAGAGATAAATACTAGTTTCAGAGAGCATAAATCATGAGTCCTTGAGAAGAAAACACTACAAAGGAAATGTTAGATCACTCCCTTTTGGCTGAGTGATTAATCGTCGGGAAAGGGATCAAGTGATCAGCTAGCTTGCCTACAGTGGTGAATTGCCAGATGTAGGAAGATGTCACTCTTGATCCTTCCTACCGATCCTGGGCCAGCTCCACGAAACTTTCTTTCCCCCGCACTCCCTAGCTGGGAATTGCCTACAGTGTGTTCGGGGTATCATGCTATCGCGTCTCTTAGACCACGTTCCTGGGTCACAATTGCTAGAGCAATTGTTGGGTTTTCTACATATGATCTGATAGGATGGCGATAGGATCCTAGCTGAATGGTGAGGCTTGGTGAAGCTACCGTGCATGGTCAGCTGCGTCTCTTTCCCCCTCGTCTCTCACCCTCTTAGAGAGGTCATCATACCCATCAAGCATCGTTCTTCTTCAGACTCAGAGTCGTACTCCACTGAGGCACGTGGCTATGAGAAGAAGAGGCTGCAGCTGGTTAGTAAGTAGTGCTGGCGATGGAAGAGTCGCTGGTTCAGTCGGGGCTGGACTCTTCAAGAGTTAATAGCCCCAAAGGAAGTCCACTTTTACAACACAAATTGGATAATGATTAGGACCAAGTATTCCGCGGGGTCATTACAGCATCGAGGTATCCAGCAAAAGGCATGGAGAACTTTGGAGCAGTTGCTCGAGAACATCACAGGCATCCCCGGACAATGCTTGGCACAACACAGAAGTCCATATTCGTATAGTGTAGCCCAGAGGATGTGCTGGGCATCGATGCGACAGTGCAAACGGGTAGAGGATATAGCATATTTCTTGCTAGGTATCTTCGATGTCAACATGCCCCTCCTATATGGAGAAGGTCCGAGGGCTTTCGTCAGATTACAAGAGGAAATCATGAAGGAAATCGACGATCACTCGTTGTTCGCTTGGACTATCCCAGATCGTGACAGTACCTCGTGGAAGGTGAGCAGCATTTTCGCCCAGTCTCCAGCGGAATTTGCGCGCTCCCACGATATCATACCTGTTGATGAGGAGGTTGGAGAATTATCTTCTGTGACGAAGAAGGGGTTGCGGATGAGCCTTCGCTTGAGACCTGCGCCACGCCCACGTCAGGGCAACAAGAACCGCCTGAATTTTCATGCTATACTCAATTGCGCACGCGAGAAAGAAAGAACTCAAAGGATTGCCATACTTCTAATTCCTGATGTCGCCCCAAGAACAAACCAGGCCTCTTGGTCATTCTATCGATGTGCCATGAAAGAACATTTTACTACGAGCAATAATGAATTCAATCGCCCGTCAGGCTCCCACACAATATATATCCGCAAGTACGCCCCACCGGAGATTGTACATGTTTTCTCTCCTTTGGAGTCAAGTTTACGACATGATTATTCCGGGTTAGATTCACTGGCAAGCGTCTACAACTTGGCGTCGGCATTGATAGATCTGGGCAAATTTGAAGAGGCAGAAGCATTGCATCGACAGGCGCTAAGGCGGAAGCTGAAAGAGCTGGGGCAAGATCATCCGTCAACACTTACGGCGCTTAGCGACCTGGCTGGATTGTTACAGGTTCTCGGAAAGGCAGGAGAAGCAGAATTGCTATATCGACAAGTCATAGAGGGAAGGCAAAAGATACTGCCGGCTGGCCACCTCAATACACTAGAAAGCTTTGATGGCTTAGAATCTGCGCTGAGAGAGCTGGGCAAGCTTGAGGAACCAGAAGAATTGGGTCGACTAACACTAGAATGCAAGGTAAAGGAGTTGGGGCAGAACCATATGTCTACACTCGCAACCCTGAACGACCTGGCTTCAATGCTACAAGATCTTGGCAGGCTCGAGGAAGCAGAGTCTTCATACCGACAAGCACTAGATGGAAGGGAAAAGGCACTAGCATTTCACCATCCTGACACACTAACAAGCCTTGATGGTTTAGCATCAGTGATGCGAGATTTGGGCAGGCTCAGAGAGGCGGAAGCTCTATATCGAGAAGCCATAAAGAGGACAGAAAAAGGCCTAGGATGGGAGCATCCTTCTAGACTGACATTATGTAACAATCTAGCACTCGTGTTACAGGATATTGGTGATTTCGAACAAGTAGAATCACTCCGTTGTCGCGAGCAGCTTAGTCCAGCTATCGAAAGTCAACATGTTTTAAATGACACGGAAAATTACAAGATTGAACCGTAAGTTGAGCACTGACTGCTATAGTGTGTCGTTTCAGTGCTTACAATCCACAGAGGAAATACATCAATAAGTGCATGGATGAATTGCCTAGACGATTTCACGGCTTTCGTTCAAACAATCCCGGGGAATTGCTCCCGTTCTGTTAAGATTGCCATCATCAGCAACGGTGCCGACGAATCCCTAGACATCCTGAATGGAAGAATTGCTTGGAGCAAATCATTCTGTCCCCCAGACCCAGTGGAAGATTTTTTTCGAGACAAACCTGGGACCATTATGGCGACATGTATCTGCCAGACCTGCCCTAAATCTCAATTATATGTCGCCCGTATTAAATGGGATGCAGACTTGCTAGCAAAAGTGAGAACCTTACTTCTAGTCTACACGTTGATAAACAATTCTGACATCTGATAGGCAATCAATTGGGCAGTGGATTGTGGAGTGGACATAATCTCTGCGGATTGGATACCCACGAAAATGACTGAGAGTATCCGTTTCGCGCTCAGTAGGGCCAACTACGCGGATATTATCATTATGTGCTCACAGGGCCATGAGAGAGTGGACTATGGGCGTTGCATTTCAATCTGCAGCTCTGACGACTCCTCCGCCATTGCATTTGCGGAGGCCTTACCATTCCCAGGGACAGACGTTCCGGTCAAGAGTAGCGATGGGGTTTCACTGCTGTCGGGGGGTAATGTTGCAACAGCGTTTGGATCAGGCTTGGCTGGCTTACTCCTCTACTGCATCATCCTAGTAGAGACGGATATAGGTGGTCCCTTAGAGTACATGAACATGGAGCGCTTGTTGCGGCATATATAGTCACGAAAGACCAAGTATCCACTGGTGCAGGAGTACTTCGGGCTGGGATTCAAAAGAGCAGTTTAGTCTGAGGAGCCCAAAAGGCAGGGGGATCTGGATTCCTTGAATGTCAATGAACTGGTGTGGTCTGAGCAGACAAAGAAGGCCTTGACTTCAATGATCGGGCTGTTGCTCAAGGATTCCGACATCTGAGCTGGTTTTCCGCACGACAAACTTATCTGGATAGGGGTCATAGGCAAGATCTGTTACAGTGTTAAGTTCAGTTGTCAGGATATGATTGCTGCCAATCTGGCGTGTGTAGAAATACAAATACGTCTGATATATTCGTTCATTAACTCACCTGAGTTACTCCGTATACTATGCGCAACGACCACCTGATTTAGATCTATATCATGTCGATTCCCGTATTATAAGCCATCCAGACTCCTACACAAAAGGCTCTGGGCTAAACATTACCTAGCTAATGATGTTCGAGAAGTTGTACTATCACCAAATTCCACGCTCTGTTCTACGCTGTCACATGACATCATCAAAGAAAGCAGCTTGATCCGCTTCCCCGCCTATCTATCTTAAGAAGTTGTTACGTACACCCATATTTTGTTCCGGGTCACCGAGGGTCCACCGCCAAAAGAGGCTTAGCCTGATCAGATGACCAACTTTTACCGCTACACCCAAAAGGGAAACTAGCACCTGTTTAGACCTTACACTGTTTTTGAACGATTCAGCCTCCGGTGAGGCAGCCAGCCCGGCCACCCGGTTAAACGCCTGACTGGCCACCTTGCCTGGCTGAATTCAATATATGTAGACTGTATTGGCTCGTAGAGCCAACATGATGTCCATAATATCATCCATTTTAGCGTTTAAAAAGCGCGATTTTAGTAGTGTAAAAGTAGGTGTTTTAATACAGGCTTCTATGTTGTGAAGTCGTGGGGGACCGCGCATATTACATACCATACAAAAAATGACTGCTACTTTGTCAGATGACGGGGCTATACCATTTTCGAAGGCGCTATTCCGTTTGCGGCGCTTATGTAAGAGACCCTCGGTGACCCGGAACAAAATATGGGTGTACGTAACATCTTCCCTATCTTATCAATTCCTCCCACTTCTTCTTCCCCGGCTCAATTCCCAATTCCACAAAATCAAAACAACCCCACCCTCCACACCTCAACCTATACCCAGCATGTCAATGTCCCTACAGAATGTCTGGCATCTGCGCCGCGTGGCAGATACCGCCGCGAAAGCATGTCACATTTGCTACAAACCATCTAGTAGTGTTCTGATCACGCCTGATAATCGGGTACGCTTCTTTTTCTCTTTCCCCGCATTCCGTATATGCGTGCTTCGGGTTGTTTGATTTTCTTGTATTATGGCTAAGGGGATATATCCAGGACTTCTTCTACGTCTGCCCTTCTCACCTCACGGACCATCACTTCTGCTCGCCCATCGTCGATACAGAAGCCGCGGCAGCCAAGGCAAGAGAGGAGGCTATGGCGAGGGAGATTGAGAAGGTGAAAAAGGAGTATGAGGAGAAGCAGAAGCGGAAAAAGGATGCCGAAACAGAGAAAGAGAAGGAGAAGGAGAAAGATAAGAAAGACAAGGATGACCAGTCGAATACGAAGAAGGTAGATGGCGAGGATAAGGCGATTGAGAAAGAACGCGATGATAAGGTTTGTATTCCTACTTCCCCTTCTCCTGTGCATATCCTTTGGCCTTTGCCTACAGATGTATGTGGCTGATACGGTGGCATCTAGATTGAGGATATCAAGAAATCGGGTGATTCGTCTTCCTCGGATGACGGACCTCGGGTTTTTGCTTTGCATAAGTATTTCTTCCCTCTCGTGTTTCGGAGTTGTTTTGTTAGTGGGTGGAGATGGCTGACCTCGTATAGGAACTTTTATCAAATGCGCATAGACCGGATGCGCAATGCTGAGATCGCGAAGAGGAATCGTCAGCGCCTACAGGATCCGTCTCTGTTCCCGTCGGTTCCAACGGGCGGACTTTGAATCATTGCAGTTTAATGATGATGCTCGTCTTGTGGCTTGGTCGTTGCAATGCTGACGCCGTGTTCGGGTTGCCTACAGTCAGCGTCCGGGCTATCCGAGATGCCTGTGGCTGTATCGGGCCTGAAGTTCCATGACGCGGCTTGGGTTTCAGATGATCGCCTGATAGTCATGGGTCTGGAATGGAAATTCTGTGTCAGATGTGCGGCTGCTCAAATCATGCGTGTACCAGACACAGGTCAGCGAACATTCCTGCCGATACAAGACACCGTTACATTGCTTTGGCAAGATGATTCTAATCATGGGCTCGCGGTAACCAAGTGATCAAATACAGGGTGTGTCAAAATGGCTGCTACTCAGGGTGCATCCCGCTCTTCCTACCTAGTCACTACGCCACTGCTACTACATTTAGCATAAGTCAACTGTCGCTTCCTCCTGATTCATCCGCCCCTGAATTTCTATATCCACCAAAGACCCGCCAGGGATAGCTGTCCGCTATATGGTTCACTCGGAAGCAAATTGGCTGCCTCATGGCCCCGGCATGAGACGGAAGCGTTACGGAACACGGCTCAGCCTTAGACGTTCTGGAATTGCGATGGCTTCTAGAAGGCAGAATAAGCCCACCGAATTACCTGCCTAACGGAGAAGGCAGGGCGTGCTACAGCCTTACACGCTACTTACAAGGCTACAGGTTTACAGCCTAATTCAATGACCCATTTTCAGGAGACAAGACCGGATGACCCATCGCGATCAATCCGAAAATCCAATGCGCAATCCTTCGTTCGTATTAAGTAACTTACTTAGTACATACAGTCACAAAAATAAGCGCCCCAAGAAAAAGCTAGGACTATGCCTAGACCCCGTCACATGCACCCATGATCCATCCATCACACATAAGCGACAATCAAGCACTGATGCATCCACTAGATATAAACTCACCTATATACCTCCCGTCATACCCAACAGTACACGGTACTGTGTACAACCACCACCACATATACCTCACTAAGCAAATCACCAACAACCAAAGCAACTTATCAGATAATTAAACAGATACACCAACACTACACACTAGGTTCACAAACAGGTAAATACTACCCATGTACCTAACACCTAGCCCCTACCTCCTAAACACACAAGTACTACTACCTAGGTAAGCTAGGTAGGTACATAGTACCATGATCTCGCACCAGATTCCCTCATGCAGAGCAGTGGATCCCTCAACGAGGCAGTGCAACTAGCTTCCCCCTCTCTCCCTGAGCCACCTACCTACATCCTGATTCCAGATTGGTGGATTACCCTCGATTAATAATAATCCCCTCTCAAACTTAACACTCACCTAGTCAATACTAAATCCTAACCTGGTAGAACTACCCATGTTTTCCTCCGTTCCAACTGCCCTCTAGCTATACTCATAGGGCGAAATTGCGCCATGGGTAGGACTTGCCCTGTAGGGCGGATCTATCCCATGGACTGACTACTGTACGTATTCGTATACTAGATAACAGTTATTGTATACGAGGGGGAAGTACTACCTAGCTGGATTAGGATTATTATCTCTGGGAGATTGGTATCTATCTACGTACTTGTGCCAGGGTTGCATGAGTCATGAATGAGTATGGATTATACTGTGTAAGGTGTGTGTGTGTGTGTGTGTGTGTGTGTGTGTGTGTGTGTGATGATCCCGTTGACGTCATGTAATGCGGAGACTAGAATGATTTGGATTTGGTGTTGCCTGGATAGTATCGACTGTGTAGGTAAACTGTAAGTAAGCATGGTGGTGCTTTTCTTTGAATCAATGGGAGGGATATCTGAAGTAGCAGGGGTACACTATGGAGTACCTAGTATAAGGTTGTGTTAGGAGTCATGCAAGGTGGGAGATATCGGGATATCTACTTCCAGTCATCAGGTGTGGATGTGGCTGGCTGTGAGAATGATTATCCGCCGGTGTGGAATAATAATGAAGACGCCCTGCCCTATCAATTGTTCTCTCACTGTGTGGGTACTGTGTAGTAGGGAACTACTACGAGCAGTAGTACTACTGTGTATGATGCAGTTGCCACTGGTACGTTATTGAAGATGAAAAATACACAAACCCCAGGACAAAACCGGCAGGGGGACCCCCATACATGGACAATACGGTACGTACCGCCCGGGATCAGCTCATCCATGGCTAGCGTGCCCCAGTTGCGTAAGAGCAGTTTGCACAGCCCCCGTGCCGGCGCTAGTGAAGCAGCCTAGACCTTGCTAGCCCCAGTCGCAGTGACCCAGCCGGCCTTGCCCAGCACCGCTTGGCAGTTACAGTTGTCGCCGTGTGCCTTAGTCATCAGACCCAGGAACTGTGCAAGGCCCGGGAACTTTGTTCTCCCCGATCTTCCTCTGGCCGCAGATCCCGGGACTTACGTCACCGCCTGATTGGGTGTGCTGCTGGGGCCCGTGGGGCTGCGTTAAAACAGCCTCGTGGGGTTTGTGGGGTTATGCCCTGAATCCTGACAGGTCCTAGCGCTCAACAGTCAACACCCTCGATCAGCACCGCCGCATCGCCCACTGGCCAGGGGTGGATGTGATAAGATCGTAGGCGCTGAGCTACGGTCTAGGTAGCTGAAACTAGTGGGAGGGAATTCTCTCATTGGCTGCACCGTCCAATATGTCTATGGCGACCTTGCTGTTCGACTTGCCGCGGGATGATCGGCGTCAGGGTCTGAAACCAGGCGAGCGCAAACCATACCCAAATCTAGTCTAGATCTGAGTCTATCTCGTGCGTGACTGCGTATACCCTCCTATTCCTGCTCCCAGTAGTGTACGGATCCAGCTGATCCGCAGTCCTCCGTGCGTCCACTACATACCATAGCTAAGGCACTGGACGCCACGCTGAGGGGTTTGTCCCCGTATCCAGAAGCATCTGTTCCCACTCACCTGTGGCTTGCTAGCCACGTGAGATAATTAGCAGCGTTCTTGGTTCCAGTGACGTAGGTGGTTGTGAAACCCGCTGGTTCATAGATGAAAAGCGTGGCTAGGAAGGCTATCAAGGAACGTGCGCGGACTCCCGACGGAGCCTTGCTGTCCGTCGGCTACCCCTGACGGAGCACGTTAGATAGCACCATCAGCGGTCACAGATTTCCGCGGCCATTCTCATCTACAGGATTAGGCCGCATTCCAGGCGGCAGGCGAATACCCATCGCAGCAGGCAGGTTCCCAGGCCCACGACCAATGTTGGCCCGCTCGAACACGTCCACTCGGGCTTTCGCAAGGCCGATTGCGGGGACAACCCACTGGCCACAACTACATTGCATGCCCTGCCACGCGAACTTGCCGATATTGGACCCGCAAGAAGAGTTGGGGCAGGTCAACCGGCCAGACAACGGGGCATCCGATCCATAAGGTGAGTCGAGGGTGTCCGAGTCAGTATTAGGGAATAGCGACGGGCGCATCCACGTCAGCGGGTGTAAGAAGACATGAGCGCAATCAGCGGACGTTCTGGAGTTCTTTTGGGAGGTATGTGGGATGATAAATTGTGTCGTCGCCAGCTTACACCTGGTGACTTGGTCAGGAGGAACTCATATATAAGCTTTCTGGATAACGATCAAGACTAACCGGCATTTCCGACATTTGATCTCCGTCATACGATCATTATTTTCTTGTGCTTGGCGCGGCTGCTCATCTTCGAACAGCACGGACTTGAGTTCAGGCGCTCGACCACATGCGACGCTCTCCTCCACCTCGCGGAGATAGAGCCATCGACTGTAGCTGGGGTGGCTGACGACGTCATCTGGACATCCCATCTGATGATAGACCGATAGCTGTTCCATAAACCCCGGATTAGGCTCACACAGTGGTCGGTTTTGTCGGATAATAGCAAGCGCGGACTCCGGCGTCAGTGCGCTAGGCTGACGGTGCAGCAGGTACGCGATACAAACAGTCGCTGATCGGGACTTTCCCATCGCACTAATGACCGTCAGCATCATGTCATGTTAACAGTGTCAAACATCAGTGTAACACAAGGTCAGGTGAGCATGGCACGTGACAATAAAAGCACTGTTTGTCTAGAACAACAAGCTCATTCGCATGTGCAAACCAGCATTGTCAAGGCAGGAACAATGGAATACCTAGCACAATGCAGATCTGGATAGAGGATAGGGTGCCAAGGTAATATTTGAAAACGGGATGGGAAAGGATACTCCGAACGGAGCAAACGGGCAGGGAGATAGGAACTCAAACGGACCAATGCACGAGTACCCCTCCACCTGCATCCAGGCCGGACTGGATAAACTTGATAGCAGCGGGGAAATGTTCTAACAAGTTCTCATCGTCGACATCGTCGACCTCTATGGTGTGGTGTTGGAAAGAATCGAATAGCACATCATCTGGTCGTAAACGTAACACGGAGACAACATGTGTAATGTTTGCTCGCTCCAAGGCTGCTTTGTTCTTGAGTGACAAGATGCTAAATGCGACTCGACATTAGCAAGCATTCTGGGAGAAAACATTATCCCCCCTCTTGGACCCTGGCCCATCATATGACAGGCCAAAGGAAGGCTTAGTATGGTGCAGGGAGGGACAAGGCGACCAACCCTCCGACATAGATGTTCTGCCCAGGAATCTGATTCATCGCCATGACAACAGTCTATCAGGGTCGTGGTCTGAAAAAAAAATACGATGAATGATAATGCCTTCTGATCCGGCCGAGGATGAAGGGAATATGACGACGATAAGAGGCAAAGTGGTGGTGATAGCCAAGATCCGACTGAACATTCCGTCGAGATAATGCCAAGACATAGCGGCCCGATGTGATTGACGGATAGTGCAGCTGCGATGGCGGGTACGGGAGGGGACGGTTAGGGTGTAGGGCAAGGGTAAGGGTACATAGTGGCAGGCCTCTGTAGACACCTGAGGCATGACACCGGAGACCCCGCATAACGGCCGACTTCTTAGTCCTTAGTTTGCAAAGCGCGCTAGCGCTGAGCAATACTAGGTTCAGTCCTGCTAGAGAAGTTTCCAGCTTCAAGACTTCTGATTAATCCAATAATTTGCTTGATTTCAGCTTTCTAATTAGTTGTTTGATTTACTCATAATATGACTTAAACTATATTATTAGTATTTACTGCTTCAGTTTAACAAGGATCTTGAAAAGAGTCTGGTGTTACAGACCCCTGCTAGTCAGGTTACTAGCGAAGCGGACTCGTCAGGCAGAAAGTGTCGGCAAGGCAGGTCTCGGACAACCAGCAACTCTTATCGAGTAGAATCCCGGTTTGAGTAACACCCGGAGCGACCTTGCGTCACGTGATCGTCTACCATCGAATCTACCATTGAAGGTATACGCAGGGTATACTGAGATCATGGACCACGATTGGATCGACCATTGATCGACCCTGGATGGTATACGGTATGGTATACGGAGGATAGGATATAAGGACACTCTTTCATGTACTTAGCTAGTTCTGTTCTTCGTGCTCAATACAATCGTCTTTAAGTAACCATACGTTTGGAAGCTTAGCGACAACACTCGTCCGCACTTACTTACGGATAGCTGCGCGGCACTATCTGGCCTTACTTCTCTTCTCTTGTTCAAGACCAGTTGCCCTTAGATAGTCATCAGTCTGACACTGCCTCGATTCAGTTCGAAGGTACGTATACCAGTGAAGCTAAGCTAACAGGAACAGGGAAGCGATCCTAGGGTTTGACATCTGGAAGAGAAAAAGCCTTCCAGTCTATATTCAGATTGTGGATCTAAACCAAGTCTTTATATATATTCAGGCTGTAGATCTGAATTAAATACTGCGTTTTTAAATACTTGATTAAGCCTTTTAAAAGCGCTCAATAGAATTCTTTAAAAGTGTTTAATAGAGTCCTTTAAATGTATTTAATAAAGCTCTTTAAATGCGGTCAAAGTGCGTTGCATGTTGCTTACTAAGGTGCTTTGCAATGCCTTGGGCTGGGGGCTTCCCGCAGGCCAGGACCTAGTTAGTGACTTACTCCTTGCTGCTTCTAGCCTTTAGCACGCAAGCACGGACTCGGCCCAACGCGAGTTACCTACTCGTCCTATCACCGGTAGGATTTAGGCTATCGCCCCTGGACTAGAGTACACAGCCCCCCTCGGATCGTTTGAATCACCTCACAACCCCTCATTCTTCCCGTCACTCTACAAGGTGTGTGACCACTGACATGCAATTAATTGGCTTACCCTGGCCAACGCACCCGGCTCCAGGATCCTCCGAACCTCCTTGTTGCCAGCGTGATTCTCACGGAGGTCCTGGTGGTACCAAGGCGATGGCGAAGACGGCATGAAATGTCCGGAGCAATGTTGGCCTGAAGCCACCGGCGTATCAGTCTAGTCATTTGAAGCGATGATTGTTGATAGGAAACCAGGAAAAGGCACTTCGTACTACTGCACCTATGCGGCCGATCTCGACCAAGCGAATAGTCGTTTGATTTGTCACATTTAGAGCCACGGAGGTCCAAGTAATCCTGTGCAGCTTTTGGTCAGGCTCAGATGCAAGAAATCGTTATAGTGCCTACCCAAGCAGCTTACAAGTCGCCGGATGCGTCCGACAATCTCGTTCTTCGCTTGCTAACTGCTTGGCCCTTGTTACCCGCCAAGGCTTCCAGAGCTGGTCTCGAATCGCGATCGCTTTGCATCCCGTCCGTGTTGGATGCTACTGGTGTCAATTGGTCCAGAGTGTGACCTTGCAGTGGTCCATGCGTGGTTATAGTTTGGTAGGTGGAATGTTTAGCGCCTGATGGTAACTGTCCAGCGAGACGTGGTGTCCGAGTCTAAAAAGAGTACGGAGTACTACCAGTACGTATTGATGTGTATCCTTCCTATCCAACCATAGTTGGCCCATTGGCGTTATTTATTGGCTCCCACTGGGCTCTTGTCGCCGAGAGGGTACTGCATAGACAGGTAGGACCCAGGCAAGCGTCAACGCTGACATGCCAAGAAGCAACCGGATTTCTTGGTCTCTGCGCATTCAAAGGTAATTGTTAGTAGACAATGCTTGATTCCGCCTGCAGTGACCAATCAAGGAGATCATATAAATGGACAAAAGAAGCAAGCATGAACCGCTTTGGAACGCCCAAGACCTTCTGCAGAGCTCCAGCCAGCCCAAGGGCTATTTCATTCTTATCATCGCGGTGTAACCGCCCATCCCATGTTTTGAGCGAAACCAAAGACCGGTCTGCGGGGTGTCTGTTGACTTGGCTTTCATCTAGGCCATGCAGCCTTACAATTGCATCTATTCTAGTCGCAACGGAGGATGCCAAATAAGTGCGAAGCGGTCGGTATGGCTATGGGTGGTCGTTGCTCTGCAGAACCGGCTATCATGATACCTATCAACTATCGACCACTAATTCGAGACACGGCCTGTGCACGAGATTTAGTCTGCAGCCCCTTAAGGCTTAAGGCTGACGGCACTTTTGTGCGAAGATACGAAGCCTAACCCGACCTTCCTCGGACAATTACTGCTTCTTTTGTTCTTTCCTTGCTTTCGTGGGTTGCCGTACTATGTCACTGTCTCTCTCGGCCGCTCTAGGTCTCTGTCGCCCTACCAGTGACCAGTCACAACCTACAACATGATGGGGTCTTTGTGCCCCGGTTACATCGGGCGGCCATCTGACTAGCACCAGAAGAGCTGCGGTTATCTGATTTTATCTCCCCTGCTGCACACTGGTCTAGTGCGGATGGGACGGCCGACCGGGGTCTCATTGGCCTTGTGCCAAATTAGCTGTCCATCGTGTTAGTCGTGCTATGTAGTAGACTAGTAGTAGTTGCTGCCCTGCACCCAGCGGCCAATAATCTCGGGCATTCGAGACCTGGTCCAAAAACCTTGATCACGATTTCGATGACCTCCTGGTAGGTACGAAGAGTCAAAAGACAGGCCACCGACGGTCAATTTCCCCGAATTGCCACCACCACCTGGTCACGGTGGATGCATGTGTGCGTGTTCAGTCTGTGCGATGGTTGTCGGTGGGCGCGTAAGATTCGCAACGGGTATAGGGAATAGAGATGGATAAGTTTTACTGAGCCCAGCCCCGTTTCTTGGCCTCCTATATCGAGTGGTGGTGGTGGTCGGATTGTTATTGTTATTATTATTCCCGCAGACGGTGCGCACTAAATAATGCTGGCGGTTCCTGTCATGTCATGATTATTGCGAGGAATTCAGGCGAATTGTGGCAAAACAGGGGGGGGGAGACATCTGACGATACCTCGGTGAAACTTCAAACTACAAGTATTATCAGGAGAAGTTGCAAAAGTTGCAAGTTGCCTTGTGTAGATCCATTTTGCCCCTCCCTTTTTCTCCTGATCCCTTTTTGGTACCTTGTTATTTTATTTTTCACTCGCCAATAATCTGTCTGGAGGGAAGACTCATTTGTTCGCTTGTTACATCCGATCCGATAAAGCCGGATTATGGATTCTGGATTACATGGGCAACGGACACGAGCTCTCAGACATTGTGTATTTACGCCAGACACCCAGAGCATGGAGACTGGATAGAGCCAGGGAAAATAATAAAGAGAGGGCAATCAACTGATCCACCGGGAGCAAAACAAGATCAATGAGAAGGATGGCTATTACTCCGCACAGTTTTGTTCAGAATTTTCTACGAGGCAGTAGTGTCTCTCTTTTGTCCCGTTTTTCGATTTTGATTCATTTTATTTTATTGGCATGTTTATTCCAAGTCGAACTTGTCGCTCTTCTTCACCGTAAAGCGCATCCGTTCTATGGACTCTACCTATAGTACACAACTCAATTCGACTCTGGAACCTCGGATCTCCGACCCTTTTTCGCTTATTTTCAGTCTTTCCAGAATCCTTCCCCCCCTCCCTTTCCCCTACTTACCCTAGGTTCTCTCCCTATTTGACCTCCCTTATGCCCAGAGAGCATAACCCGAATGTTTCCAGGGAGAGTCAGTCCCTCGGATCGCAAGGTGCGACGGGAAATGCCAAATGACAGCAATGTGGCAGTGCATGTATCTAAAGGACCAGGTGGGTCCCACTAGTCCCTCATTGGTAGTGGGTCGAGCCCAACAGGGCCACTAATAATCGTTGTCGCTCTTCCGCACAACTCACGGTGGGGGGGGGGCCATGGAAGTTGGAGTCGGTTGGAAAAGTACCGGCTAGTATGCACTCGGTACCCTACTCCGGAGGTCGGGCTTAGGTATCCAGCCAGGTCCGTAGTCCGTCTGGCCATGGAATCCCTGGATGGGCGTTCGGGTTTTCTTTTCTGGAATCCTGAATGGGGTGATGATGATGATGAGGACGAGCAGGCAGGAGGGTGCGGATGATGCCGATGATGATGCTGTGGGAGGGTTGTTGGTAATTTTCGTATAACTCAAAGCTGTCCCATGTATTGTGGAAAAATGGACGCGCGCGGGTAAGGCGACGGAGGAAATAATGGGAAAGTTCAAGTCAACCTCTGCATAACTCCCAGGCTGAAGGTACTCCGTACCTTCCCCCCCCCCGTAGGTAGGTACAGGCTACAGTAGTAGTCAATAGGGATAATCTATATGAGATGGAACTAAGAAGCCCCAGTGGTTGACACGGAGGAATCGGTACTTACTACTCCGTATTCGCCAACCCAAAACGTTCATTCCTTCGGAATAAAGGCCAGCTCTTAAG